AGAAAAATCAATAAATTGTCTGATATATTGTTGTATATGGGAGCAAACCTCGTAACATCATGCAAACTTCTGTTGTTTTCAAATATTCTTAAAAAGAATTCAATACGTATTTTTCTACTTCAATTCAATGTTGTCAAATCTATGGGTTATTACAGGTCACAATCAGGAATACTGCATAATTATATTGCAAACATTGGTTGTCGGTAAGCGATAAAATTATACATGTTTTATTCAGGTAAAACAATTATCAGCATAATATTCAAAGGTTTATTATTCCTTAGAAATGTTTTTATTTTTCTTTCTTATAATTTTCAAAATTTTGATGTCCTGTTATTGCTCCAAAAAAGTTACTGTTTCTTTTTCTTTTTTTCTTTTTTTTTTTTTTTTTTTTTTTTTTTTTTTTGGCAACTAGTACAATTATAGCAATTCATTGTAAGGAAGCCAAAATACCACTTTATTAACATTTTGCTACTTTTAAAACAAATAATTTCATATTAAGAGCTACTTTCTTCAGCTGATACGAATCTTAAAGTACAGTTACTGTGCATATACCACAGATATACATACTATTAAACTCCATGTCTATTAAACTCCATGCATATACAGAATATCTGGTAAGTTTTGTATTAAACCTAAACTTATGAAATTATGTTATGTGCATTCGTTGATTATATTATTTGCAAAGGGTGTTTAAAAAAATGGTGTGGTTTTTATTTGTTTGGGTCTTCAGACCAAACAAATTATGGTAGCGAAATTTTAGACCCTGATGTTCTTATTTGCAAATGCCGAAAGTAGTCCAAACTCATCAAAGCGGTTACTTCCCTTCATATGTACATTAACGCCGAAAAATTAAGGGGAGATCACTGCGTAAAGATTGTGAAATGACATCATATTTAACTGTACTCATCCGAGAGGTTTCACCTATGCTAGTGAATTTAATATTTATACAAACAAGGCTGTGAATCAATGTGAATCGAAAGCCAAACCATGTATCTTTTTGCTGCTCATTCTACTGTCTGGTGACATCCAAATGAACCCAGGGCCTAGGAATGCATCTATTTTCCCCTGTGGAACATGTGAAGCCCCTGTTACTTGGTCTACCGACGGAGTATGCTGCAGTAATTGTAGTATTTGGTACCATAAAAGCTGTGAAGACATCTCTAAAAACATGTCCTACTTGAACAGACCCAGTGTTGTATGGCACTGCTGTAGATGTGATAGCATAAACGTCGATGATTTCACATTCAACAGTTATGAACTAACTACATCCAACTTTTTCACACCAATTGCAAACCTTGATTCAACTCTAGACTCAGTTACATCCTCGTGCTTCAGTCCGATACACACCAGCAGCCCACGTAACTCATCAATTAACAGCAGCCGGCACAACAAACATCCATCGGTAAGCCAAGCTTCCCAAACCCATGGCCCAGAACATTACCCTGCAAAGTCTGCAAACCTACGTCTTCTTACAGTTAACTGCTGTGGCCTGCGTACAAACAGAGCAGAGTTCCACTCAGCCACAGAATACATCAAACCAGATATTATATGCGGTACTGAGTCCTGGCTCAAAGGTGTCCAACCTGGGAAAGACCCTGAAAAGAATGCGTTTAAATCAAGCGAAGTCTTTCCGGAGAACCTGATGGTAAACAGAAACGACCGGGCAAACAGTGTGGGAGGGGGTGTATTCATAGCCACAACCAACAGCATCTGCTCAGACCCACAGCCAAAGCTAGTTACAGACTGCGAAATTGTATGGTCCAAGATAAAGATGAAAAACCAAAATAACTTATATATATGTTCATTCTACATGCCACACCGAAACATGAAATCCATTTCTAAACTATATAACTCAGTTAACAAGCTACGTGAATCAGCTAAGGATAGCCATGTAATAATTGCTGGCGACTTCAATTGCCCAAACATCAACTGGAACAACACGACAGTGGACAAGGGTGCCCCGGAACGGGATGTACAACAGGCATTAATAGATCTAGCCGTGGAATTTGGCCTTACCCAAGTACACGAACAGCCCACACGAGACAACAACCTCCTAGATCTCATACTTACAAGCAACCCATCACTTGTCAAGTCCTCCACATCTGTTCCAGGCATCAGCGACCATGCCATGATTGTTACAGATATTGACATCTTACCTCATTACATCAAACAGAAACCACGTAAATTCTTTCAATATAATAAAGCAAATTGGGACACGTTGAACAAAGACTTTACTAAGCTAGAAAGGGAGATCATCTCAAGCAATGAAAATGACATAGAAAATATATGGTTACTCTTCAAATTAAGGATTCTCAAAAGTGTAGAAGAAAATGTTCCATCTAAGATGAGCAAGAAAAGAAAGTCTCTACCATGGTTCAATCATAAACTTAAACGTATGGTCAAAAGAAAATCCCGCTTATACAATAATGCTAAGAAGACTGGAAACTGGACTCACTTTAAAACCTTTCAACGTGAATGTAAAAAAGAATTCAAGAAGGCTGAAATCGGACACATAAACAGTACTATCATGAAAGGATTAGAAGAAAAAAACAGTAAACCTTTCTGGCGGCTAATTAAATCAAGAAGACAAGACAATATTGGCGTACAACCAATAAAGAAAAAAGGACAACTAATCAATAGCAGCAAAGAAAAAGCAGAAATACTTATAGAACAATTCAGATCCGTCTTTACCAAAGGAAACAACAATAAACCATCGACAAGATTAAGAGCTAAAGCACCAATACCTCCACTGAAAATAACTACTAAAGGCATAGAGAAACTACTTAATAATATAGAAACCAGCAAAGCCATAGGTCCAGATGGAATTCCAAACATTGTCCTTAAAACCTGTGCCAAGACCCTTGCACCAACTTTACGACATATTTTCCAAACATCAATTGACAGTGGAAAACTACCCTCAGATTGGCGAAGCGCAAACATATCCCCTGTCTTCAAGAAGGGCGACTCACACCTTGCCGAAAATTATCGTCCTGTTTCACTCACATCAGTCTCCTGTAAACTACTAGAACACATTATCTGCAAGCACATCCTTGACCACCTTGAACAAAACAACATCCTCACCTCACTAAACCACGGCTTCAGATCAGGCTACTCATGTGAAACCCAGCTCCTCACCACAGTTCATGATTTACTACAACATCATGACAATAAATCTCAGATAGATATCATGATATTGTACTTCTCTAAAGCCTTCGATACCGTCCCTCATGAAAGCTTACTTCACAAGATGTCATTATATGGTATTGACGGAAACATTAACCGGTGGCTTCGAGACTTTCTCACCAACAGAACTATGAGAGTAGTGGTAGACGGTGAAGCATCCGAACCAGTCACAGTAGACTCAGGAGTTCCGCAAGGTACTGTCCTCGGACCTCTAGCCTTCCTCTGCCATATAAATGACTTACGAGACTGCGTTAAATCAACTGTCCGTCTCTTCGCCGATGACTGTCTCCTATACCGGCAAATTAAAACCAGAAAAGACCATCTCCAACTACAAACAGACCTGAAATCACTGGAAACTTGGGCATCTACTTGGGGTATGAAATTCAATGCCAAAAAATGTTATGTTATGAGTATCAACAACAGATCCACTAACTTTTACCAACTAGACAATCATATCCTACAACAAGTTGATGAAAATCCATACCTTGGTGTCACTTTTACAGACAATCTAAAATTTGGAACCCACATCACGAAGATTACCAACAAAGCCAGCTCTACACTCGGATTCCTCAAGAGAAACCTTAAACACTGCCCACTACTCTGCAGGAAAACAGCTTACTTATCCCTTGTTAGATCCACTCTTGAATACAGCTCAATTGTATGGGACCCATTCCTACAGAAAGATATAGACAAGCTTGAGTCGATCCAACGGAAGGCTGCTAGATTTATTTCTGGGGATTACAAATCAAGAGATCAAGGCTGCGTTACCAGGATGTTGAAGCAACTTGAGCTATCTCCATTACAAGACAGAAGGAAAATGGCACGATTGACATTCTTCTTCAAGGTGGCTGAGGGGCTGGTGCCAGCCATGCCCACCGATACCTATCTGACCCCTATTCGTGGTAAACGCCTAATTAAACCTAAGAAACTAGACAATTACATAACTAAAAACATTGTAGAAAACCAAGCTATAAACCATCATAAGTGCTATAAACCTATTATCTCAAAAAGTGACCAATTTGAACATTCATTCTTTCCTAAGACTATTAGTGATTGGAATAACTTAGACAGTGTAGACAGTGCCGTTGTGTGCGCAGAGACAGTACAGAGCTTTAAAACAGCTCTCCAACAGTGCTACTAAATTACTTAGCTCCTCTCTCCCGTTGCGTACATACCGGAAGGTTCTGCAGTGTATACATTCAGATTCAGATTCAGACAGGCGCATTAATTTTCGTAACGAAAAATAGTTCCCGATTTGTCGAAGATTTCTAATATTGTGTTATTCTTATAGATATACATGCTTATATTCAGCTCCATAATTATTTACTTCAGTGTTAAACAACATGTTTACCGTGAACAAAATATATCGAAATTAATAAGGGTTACAAACTCTTATTTAGAATAATTTGGTATTCTTCAGGTTGTTCATCATCATCATCTCAAGTAATTGCATCACTCCGCAAGGAGTTTACTCGCAATTACTTGAAATGATGATGATTATCTTATAACTCCCCGTGGTCGAGGTGTTTACTCGGTCGCCTCGGAAGCGAGAGGTCTGGAGTTCAAAGCCAAGTTCAGGCAACATTTTTTTTTGTTTAAGCCAAATAAACATTGAATTGAATATCAGTGTTGCAATTAGTCTTATAGCCAATTTACTATAGTTATAACACTGGTAACAGCATTGGTGACAACTTTATAAACAAATTGGTTTATAATCATACAACTTTCACATTTCTGTCATTCTGAGACCCAAACTAATTCAGCGCCTTCTGTGCATTCTATTATTTAATACATTTTCTTTTAGTGTAGTGTAACCTAAACCACATAAAGGGTGCTCCCGTTCTTATCCAATCAAAATTTCCGTTACAAAAATAAAACCGGTGTGACGTCATATTATTCTATCACTGATTCACAACAGTTTAACAGAGCATACGGATTTGGTAAATTTACTGTGTTTATTGTTGTTTTCTAATTTGCAACTGACTTAAATCAATCAATTATTAAATAGGTGTTTATGGAAGCTTAGGTTTACATTGTTTAACTCTTTTATACATTATGTCAGTGTTGTTTTTATCATTCATTTCAGAATTGACGCCATTTTCGCGACATCCAGAAAGTCAAGGTGGGATTTCCCAGGTAGTTAGCCAGATCAGACAGGATTTTTTACATCAATCAAGTGTCAACAGAAAATCAGTTTCGTCATACTTATATTATAATTCAAGTTGTCAGTGGAAAAGGAGAATTGAACAAGTTAGGTGTCTGTCCTATTTGGAAGGTTATTGAATTAAAAGGAAGGACAAGGTCACTTGTATGAATTACAAGCTGATAAGTTGGGTTTAATTTGGCACACTGGCTCAACTTTATCACTGGCGTCTGTGTCATAGCAGAAGACATTTCCATTTTATAAGAACGTTCTAAACAACCATGTTTCGTGTAAAGACTCTTTGGAGATGTGCACGGCCAAGTGCAGTAGAGGGTTACAAGCTGGCTTGTCGAACATGTTCTTCCCAAGCAGGATCAAACAAAAGCGGTAGAAACTATGCTACGCTTGCAGCAGCAGAGCCTTTCCTTAGTGGAAGTTCCTCTGTGTATGTGGAAGAAATGTATAATGCCTGGCAAACTGATCCCAATAGTGTTCACAAAGTGAGTGTATAAACCTAAGGTGTTATCTAGTGTATGTGATGAAGGTTGCATGGATTTATGTTCATCTTATCTCTGTTAAATATTAAATATTCTCTTCATATGTTCATAATGAATAGGATATAGGTATTTTTTTTTTTCCGGTATTTGTTTTGGTAATTCCCCACAGTACTGTTGAAGTAAAAATATAAAGATTATATTAGATGCTAAACTTAATTTTGAATTGTAAGTATTTTATATAAAGGTTAGTGCAGCTGCTGTAGTTTGTTTATAACATCATTTGAAGTATGAAAATTTGAAAGTATCACAGCTATGTGAATTACTTTAAATTGTTTTTTCATATGATAATTTACATATAGAACATGTACAAAAATTTGATCTCTCATGCAATATCAAAGCCAAATATTTTATATATAATAATAGTATAGTGATGTAATACTGATTTATACTTTTCCACATTACAGCTTTACACAGCCAAAATACAGGAGGATGGTATCTTTCTGGAAATACTTGATTATTAGACATGTAACATGAATGAAAAAATAAAAACAGCTTACATAATGATAGTTTTCAGAATGCATTTTGATTGTACAAAATGTGTTTTGACAATTTGTGTACCTTGTGTCAGATATCATTGTGGTAGAAAGAATTAAATAATAATATTTTTATATGATGTTGAATTCAGTCAAAATTTTATATTGTTTTCATGACAATGTACAGCCTAAATCTTTATGTTTCCAAATGAGAACTAATGTGTTAAATAAATGTTCAAACAGTATATTTATGATTTTAGAACATTGTAGGTTGAAATAAATAAGTGCACTGCTTAAGACATTTTTTTTGAAAGGTAATATTAAATATATCATCATATATATACCAGTGTAAATATTATATATTTTTAATCACTTTTTTGTGTTACTTTCATGTACTTTAAAAACTTCAATTATAAATCAGAGAGAATGCCTTGCTTGCTATAGTGTTTGTTAAAAAAAAAAGAGTATCTAAATTTCAGTCATGGGATGCCTATTTTCGTCAAATATCTCAAGGCGCCCCTCCAGGCACAGCATATGTTCGGCCACCAACTCTAGCGTCTACTGCAACCTTGGCACAGGGGTCTGTAGCACCTCAGTCAACACAGCTTACCATGACAGAACCAGTTACTGACAAAGTTATTGAGGATCATTTGTCTGTTCAAACTATCATCAGATCTTATCAGGTGCTTACATTTTCTTTTGTGAATATTAAAAGTCTTTTTTTCTTTTAATTTTAATAAGCCCCTTACATTTTTCAAATATTTTGATTACAATCATATTTTAAATTTTTAAAGGTAAATATATGTTGACAATTTGAATTTACTTTTGTTGAATGAAAATATATTAACTTTATGCCTTAAGGCTTGGCTCAAGCAAATATGGTGAAACTATATTTTATTTTGTTTCCTGGAGATATATTGTTCAAGAAAGTATTTATATCATGTGTACATGTCAAAATGTCAGTTTATTTGTGAAGTTTTTCTTTCAGTTCTATGAATGTTTTACATACAAGTAAACTGTAAACTTGGTTTCACTGAAGAATATCTTTTGAAATGATCTGTAATACAGTATTTATTATTTTATAAAGCTTGATAAATGTTCAAGGAATTATACTTTTATGAGTGCAGTTTCCATGATTAAAATTTGATCAATTTCATGCATTGCTTTAGTACTCATCTGAGTGTGGTTTTAACTAAACAAGAATTAAATGTATGTATATGTTCAATAACATTGGTTACAACAATAACATGTTACTTTAATCTGTATATAATTTACAACTGACCTAGAATTAGGAGACATTTAAGCTTCAAACATTTATAAGTTTGTATGGACACTTGCCAGATCATTAATCTATTTTCTTCAGTAATAAGGTCAATATAAGATTGCATAACATGTCATAAGACAATTAAATACCATAATGTGTTAATTAAGATAGGTATCAAATTACCAAATGTATACATGATATAATTAAAGTCAGCCTATAAAAAAAACAGTTTTTCTTTAACACTATATATATCTTACCAAATGAACTGTTTACATTCATTTCACTAGCATGATCAGGCAACATTTTTTATATTGTGGTTGGTTAATATTTAAAACCACAAATCTGTAAATCTCTCTTCCTAGTAATTAATAAATGTACATTGTTAAATGTAAACACAATAAAACTTGATTCAGCTGGTCATTTGAACATGTCAAAATGGCATTTCAAATTATTCAATTGAACAACATAATATTGCATAATGTATTGCCTAGTGACAATAAGTGATGCAATAATTGCCTCAGGTATATCTATTTACCTGTCAAAAGCTGTCACTGGTTTATCTTCTGACTTATCTTCTTTTTAATCTTTTAGTATTAGTATAATTCCTTGGACATAGATATTTCTAGTTGTGTAAAGAAGTATTATTTATAACGATTCTTGTTTTTATTGCCCAACATAATCTAGATTCTAATATTGATCTTCTAGCTTAAGCATGTTTTATTTTAGGTCTATTTTGATGACAGTAAACCATTGCTGATTATATGGTTTTCTGTATTAGTTACCTTACATGATTATCATATAATACTTTTAAGAACAGATTGTTTTTAATACATGAATAACTTTTTGGATACAAGGAAGTGTTCTTTTGTCAAAAACAGAAAAGATTTTTACTTTCACAATATATCAAATTTAGTTTATGTTGGGAGTAATGTCAGAAAAGTATCTACTTTCAGTATTTTTGCCAAATTGTTTTTTTAGCTACAAAGTATAAACATGTAGTTACCTGTAAAAAAAACCCAACTTGAATCAGTTTCAAATATCAGTACATCATAATTATTTTCTTCACAAAGGTTACCTCTATTTATTTTTGTGAAGGCAAGTAGATCAATTTTATTGGCCCTACTAGATATAATGCTGTAAGTTAGTATCTTTTGTTTATGTCTGATCCAAAATACCTAATTAACATCAACTTAAGTTAATAAAATACTTATTTATTTCAGAAGATATTTGATAAAATGAGGTCATGATTTGAAGAGATTGAACTTTTCGTTCAAATGTTATCAACAGTGTTTAATATTTGCTATTGTGACATACTTAATTGACATATTTCTTTCAATTGCAGGTCTAAAAATAGTATTGCTGACAACTTGATTCAGTACACTGACTTACACTTTATTTGTTCTTCTTGTTTAAACAATTCAGGAGATGTTGTCAACTGAACCATGAATAATCTATTAAAGCAGTATTAAATCTTATTTTATAATGACATATTTCTGAAATCTATATGGTGTAGGCCAATAAACTACTCTTGCCTAGTATGCATATTCATGTTTTTGCAGGTTTATTTCAAGCTTTATGCAGTGTATGCATTTCATACAGCTGATATTTTCCTACAGTTAATATATAACTTCACTTGTGCAGAAAGGATTTTGTTCTTAATCTTTATCTTTTTTGACTGTTTTATTTTCTTGGAGGTTTTTTGGAGTTGACTTGAACTATGATGTTTGCAAGACTGTTGAAGCCAAATTCAATTTAGGCTGCCCCAAAACCTATACTTCACAAAGGACCATGCAGAATCTGACATCTGGGGGTCCATACTCCCTTTGCCTGAAAGGGTGGATGGACTCTCATAAAGCATAGACTACCTCACCTGATCTGACTGTTGTAGATTGTAATATTTTCTGTACATTGTAAAGTCAGGGCCACTTAATCAAAAAAAAAAATCAGTAACGGCCTTGTGTAAGGACATTCTTTATTCCAGTAAAATCTTCCATGGAAATTGTTTCTGAATCACATAAATGTTAGATATTTTTAGAACGTTTTATGAATAATTCATTAGTTCACTGTCAGAAAATATTTATATATGGAAAATTTATTATTTCTAGCTAAGTTCATTGTATACTTGAGTTGCTAAGTATGTTACAGTAATATTTTATACCAGAATAGAACTTAAGGTCTGTAAGATTAGGATAAAGGTATAAAAATAAATAAATTTGGGACAATGCAATTATAAAAATTTACTGATTTTAGAAAAAATATTTTGGATGGGGGTTTATAATTTAGAAATATTAAAAAGAAGCCTTGTTTGATACCAGTATTTAAAACATTGTTTTCATACTTTAAGAAAAATCTTAAAGTCTGTCCTTATGATAGTTATTAAAACTAATTGTCATAGCCGATTGCCAATTAAGGATTTAGATAAAAGACTTGACTACAAGAAATAAATGAAACATCAAATCTGTGTGCACAGCTTTGATAAAATTTTAAGGTCTTCTGTTTGACAATAAGGTAGTTTAGTCAGTTACATTTGACAGAGCAAGATGATTGAACTGGACCTGGAGACAATTCCACCAGTATCATGAAGGCAATTCATTCATTATCATGCAGGCACTTTCACATGGAGACTAAGTTCACCTATTGTGTATCATTATCTTATCAAGGCAATTCATACAGTGCCTTACAAGAGTTTTGTCAGTCAATGACTATGAGATGTGGGTGTGAAACAAATGCTTACAACAATACATGGGGATCATTTAAGATCTTGTAAGGATATTGTAATATTGATCTCAGATAAAATAAAATCTTTTGCAATCCAAGTTATAATTACAAAATGAGTTTTTGATGTTGGCCGAGAATAAAATGAAATAGATTTGTAGCTTTCAATTACAGCTTTTAAACTGTGACACCCACAGGGAAATAAAATGAAGCATGGCATCTTCTGTGCATGTCATTTTCTTCATTATGATTCTGATAAATTTTTCTTATACCTCTGTGCTATTTTCTCCATTAGTTTATGTTTATATAAAAGCTATTGATTTTAGGCAAGATAAAAATGAGATTAAGTCTATATACAATAAATATATGGTAGAATACCATCGTACTAGATACTATAGATGGGATGAAAAATGTTAAAGCAAATATTAGAAAATTTTGTGTTATTTATGTTCATGATTTTATGTTTGATAAATTTTGTTCTAGCTTCTATAAACATATTTAGTTTTGCTATTGTATATTGTGTCCTTTGTTCAAATTGGATTTCTTTAATTTGAATTCTTAATCTTTGGTCTTTTTTGTCTTTATCTTTTTTGTCTTTGTAGTCAAAATTCTAGAAAACTTAATAAGAATTATTCACAATATGGGAACTTAAAAATTACAAAAAGAAATCCAATTATGTAGTTGGCTTAGAGGACGTACATAAAATGTGAAATAAAAGTATTGCTTTACATATAGTAAAATCTTATTTATAGACACGGGGCCACAATGTAGCGTCTTTAGACCCACTGGGAATACTTGACGCAGATTTGGACTCCGCAATTCCATCAGAACTTATTCTCGAAAGCTATTCACTCGGAGGTAAGCTGAGAAGAGGGTCTAAATGGTTTGTTGTCATAGCAACTAAATCTTATAAGGCCGATGTTCTGTTTGTTTGTTTTTTGTTATTAATGTTTTGTACATTTTGAGCTTTGTTAATTTGATGTTTGTTTTTTTATTGTTTGCTTCTTGTAGTAAGATATATTGTATATTCCCAGAAACTCCCTGTAGTTTAGGACTTTCCCTGTGGGTAAATAAAGGTCAATTGTAGATAGGGTTTTGCTGTGCATGAGGAACTAATGGCACAAATGTAAAGAAATAGTTTTATGATAGGAAAGTGCATTGTGTGTTTAAGTCATGTGTATTGTTTGTTTAAGTGACTAATGTTCCTTTATTTCACATTTGTTTACTGACATATTGCTCCACTGTAATGGAGTAAATGTATCAGGGGAGATAATTCACTGAATCATGATGTAAGTGCATATTGTAGTGTGTTGTTATGGTCTGATTTCTGATTTCGTCCTTACCTTATTTCAGGAACTAACAACTTATTCCCTTAGACAGTATTGAACTCATAGAGTTTGGTTTTGGTATTTTTACTCTTTTTTTCAGAGCAGTTATAACTGATGCTTATTTTGTTCTTTCAGCAAATGACACTGCATTTTGAAACTCATCTGCACCTTTTTGAATGCTCATACATTCAATCAGGGGACATTCTTGCTAAAACGCTATTTTGATACATACTGCAAAGTTGCATTATTGCAAAAAGGGACATGCATCAAATTTGTACAGAAATCTTCTTAACATTTTCTTGTTACATATTTCTATCTATATAGTTACGTGGGCATCACTCTGCAGACTTAGATCCTCTAGGTATCAATAAACCCTCGATGGAAAATCTCGAACCCAGCACCTTTGGTAAGATAAACATTTTGTATATAAAAAAAATGTGTGTACAGTGGATGTGTTCTGGTGTTGCTTTGCTTGTTAGATTCATTTTTCACTGACAGACTGCATCTTCACACCACCATTTTATTTTAATTCTTTCATATTTTAATAACATTTGCACTTGTTATAACTATCTAAATTTAATTTCATTTTGATTACGTGGTAAAACTTTATATACACGCTATGCATGAAACTTTATTCTTCTGAGAAAAGCTATTTAGTATACAGGATTAATTGAAAATATTACAACAATATAGGACAGGAGTATGTGAAACCTTAAATATAAGTAACATCTGAGCAGAATGGTTATAAGATTTTTTGTTCTGGTCATATTAAAGCATATATGATTTTGCTAACGTAACAGTAATTTAAATAATGAACAAGTCCCTCTTTAATTTGGAACAATATATTGTTATGAATATTAAAAAGCAAAAATCATACATTTAATGATATAAAATTTGTTGGATGTACAGGTTTGCCTTACATGAATGGTTATGCTGATAACAGGCACTCATTAAACATCTTAATATGCACATGTTTTTAAATGAAAAAAACAAACCACAGTGTTTCTTCTAGTTTCATCATACTTATTGTGTAATGCCCCATTTGAATTGTATAGATAATTCAAATTTCAGTACTAAGCAATTAGCAGCAATACATTTATATGACCAAAATAACCAGAAGTAATTATAAAACAAATGTTGGATTATCTTCATTTTCTTTTCTTTGAAATCTGATTGACTCTCCTCAGACTTAAATGTCAGCAATGTAGAATTAACCAATTATGATAATGAGTTTATATGAGCAAGAAGACCAAGAAACGTAATTTTGATCAAGTATATACAAAAAGTATAATGTTAATATCTCGACAAGTAAAAAGGTGAAATAATTATGTTTGTTACATCACATAGTGAGCTAAATCTTGACCCAGAGTTTAGACTGTATTTAAGCTCATAGATTGTATGTTTTGTAACAAATTGATGGCAATTTTTTTTGATAAGTTTACAAATTTTTAAAAAAAATAAATTGTAGACCGATTGCTTACATTATTATCTTTTTTAGCAGCTTGATGATCAACAGGAAGTCGTTTTAATATTGACAATATCACCAAAACATATGCATCAGGAAGAGAAATTTAGTGTGTGTTTTTTGTAAAAATGATTCATAACATATTTTACATACCATTTTGGAGACTGTGTGATCAATGTTAATACCTTTGAATCACTTGCTCTCCACTGGTACAGGATTTGAACCTTACAGGGGAAGTTAAATTCTTCTGTATGGGGAAGACCTGTATTTATACCCATTGCTACTGTGTGAAGTGATGTAGGGAATGTACCTGGAATATCACTTTATCAATTAGGCTAGAAACTAGTGGTATGTCTTCTGAGTGTTGATGTGACTCAAACAACAAACAAACAAAATACGAAAAACATCAACATTTTTTTTTTTGCCATTTTGAAAGATTTTTTTACATTTTTAGGCTACTTTAAGTGTGTTTTTGCTAAGCTAAGTGTTGTGCAGCAGAAAAATGATAAAATTCTTTTAAAAAAATAAATGAATAAATATGCATGATGATTTTCTTTTAAACAAAAATATTTATAAATATAATCATTTTCTAAAAGGTCAAATTTTCAGAACAATGTGTGAAATTTCAAATATGTTAAGTTACAAATATTATATGTTTTAATAACAGATGTCAAATTAATATTTATGTAACCAGAAGATTAAATATGGCTTTTCCTCTTTGTCCAATCAACTGTGCTAAAAGTTTTATAATATATAGGTGATAAGGTCAATTAAGCTGTCTGTACTTATCATGTTGTTAAGCCCTATGACTGATAAAATGTCCAGGTGATGATTGTTGTTATAAATTCTATTGGTCAGCTAAAACGAAATCAATTTTAGAATTATTGTAAAGATACATGTAGAAAATTTAGGGACAGTTAGATTTTGGATTTCCAAGTGATAACATTGTGGCTTTCCACTAGAAATATTTGTTACTGTTTTTCAATATCTATTTGTTAACATAAGGATAACCTGTGTATATGTTATATATTATTTGTGGTATTCCACTAAGAAAGATTAACATATAAAATATAAAACGGAACTTTGTGTTGTGATTCAATCCACCTTCAGTAGACCTATAATTTCAGCGCATAATACTTGGTGGGAATCAGTGTCTTTCCCAACCTCTCAATTTAGCAAGCGAGACTACGAATTCAACTTCCCCAAGAAAAACAACAATGAGTTTCATAAATGGAATACCATTTAGAAGTGAAAAATCATGTGGACAATGTGGACTTAATCATTATAACAGAAAGGAGAAGTGTTGTGCAGAAATGGCAAGATGCAACAAATGCAAGAGAATTGGACATTTTGCACGAGTTTGCCGAAATCAAGCAGTCAAGTCAAGTCTATCTAAACAACGGGATCAAGAACGTATGACAACTTTTATCAGACGTAAGACAGCAGAAAACATGTTACCATTCTATAACGAAGACGATGCCTTCTTTAAGTATATTTTAACAAACAACTCTGTTAGTAACGTTTCTAAAGCAGAATTTCAGAAGATACAATCTTTAAATGATTCAATGAATAAAACAATTCACGGTTTAAAATCAGAAAATGTGGCTCTAATTTTGAAAAATCAAAGACTTAAAAACTTTAATGAAAACCTGCAGAATGAGATTTCCCTCAAGAAATCACAAATATGTAATTTTCAAGAAGCATTGTTGCAAGAAAACAACTCGCTAAAAGAAAAATTAAGTGCTGACTCGTCAAAACTAGAGAAAATGGACAAACTTATTTTAGAATATAAGAAATTGAGTGATGATTATGTAGAATTGAGACTCCAATACAAACAGAAAGCTTATGACGAAGCATTGATGACAGAATCATTGAATGACCAAATAGATGACCTCAAAAATAAAAACCAAACCTTGACAGATGAGATTACTCAGCTTAGAGACAGAACAAAATATCTTTGTCGTAAAAGAGGAAATAGTAATCAGGACCTTTCAACAGCATGTGAAACCGGGTTCCCACACGAGTATAGATCAGGAAGCAAATTTCATCATGGAAGACAGCAAGGACAGAGGGGGCAGTATAACAGAAGTAGACGTTATTAAAAATGTATTGTTTATAATAAAACAGTAAATAGGATATATTATAAGTGGATGGTACTTATGCTTTTTAGCAAAATCGGTGCTTTACGTTCACAATGTATTTCTGTGACTGAATATCTTACGTAAACAGTATTCTTTTAATAATATTTATTTTTGTTACATACATAGTTATGTTTCATTTCACAGGAGTGAAATAATCTTAAAGGAGGGAGAAGTGTTGTGCAGCAGAAAAATGATAAAATTCTTTTAAAAAAATAAATGAATAAATATGCATGATGATTTTCTTTTAAACAAAAATATTTATAAATATAATCATTTTCTAAAAGGTCAAATTTTCAGAACAATGTGTGAAATTTCAAATATGTTAAGTTACAAATATTATATGTTTTAATAACAGATGTCAAATTAATATTTATGTAACCAGAAGATTAAATATGGCTTTTCCTCTTTGTCCAATCAACTGTGCTAAAAGTTTTATAATATATAGGTGATAAGGTCAATTAAGCTGTCTGTACTTATCATGTTGTTAAGCCCTATGACTGATAAAATGTCCAGGTGATGATTGTTGTTATAAATTCTATTGGTCAGCTAAAACGAAATCAATTTTTAGAATTATTGTAAAGATACATGTAGAAAATTCAGGGACAGTTAGATTTTGGATTTCCAAGTGATAACATTGTGGCTTTCCACTAGAAATATTTGTTACTGTTTTTCAATATCTATTTGTTAACATAAGGATAACCTGTGAATAAAAATTATGTTATATATTATTTGTGGTATTCCACTAAGAAAGATTAACATTAAAATATAAAACGGAACATTGTGTTGAGATTCAATCCACCTTCAGTAGAACTACAAAAACAGCGCATAATATAAGATATATTTAATGTGAATGAATTGTTGTGCATGTTCATTTTTACCATTTAAATTGTTTAGCTTGTTTCTTGTTCCTGTTAACTTGTATGTAAACACATATATTTCAACACATCTAAATGAAGCGCATATTTATTCTCTTTTGCAAACTTTTCATGCTTTTGTGTATTTTGTTGTACTCTGTGTAACATCCAAATATCTTTGTGTAATTTAAGAAAAAAAGATTGGTGGCTTTTCAAAGTTTTTTTAAATGATTTTTTGGGGAAGTTTGAATTTTTGCTTGGCCAGAAGTGTAAAAAAAATTTGTCTTGCCTGTCTGGGAAAAAAACGCCTTTTAGAACAACACCATTTTGAGAATCTATGGTGCATTTTTACTTCACTTACACAATAAACAAAATAAAGTATAACTTTATGTTATAACTTTACTGACTTCAAAAAAGAACCTGTATTATAAAATCTTGCACATAATTGCTACAAAAATCTGTAAAGTCTTATACATTGTATATTGTTCTAAATAACATTCAAATAAATACAATATCAATACATATTATAAATTGATTAGTTGATTAAGATTAATAAGTTCCGAACTATATTAAAATGTCAAGTCATTTATAAGATCTATAATTTTATAACAATATTTTTGCATAAATCTTAGATCTTATCAGTAATTCTAATATAATTAACCTGCTTTGATCATAATAGATCCATGTTAATAGACTTACTTCAGAATATAGAATATTTTTGGTCTTGCCAGCTAATCAGTGGATAACATTGAAATCAATATACATATTAAATATCACTTTTAAAAAAATAGGTATAGTGTATATTTTCCAATAAATGCCCCTCCCTCAACTACCCCACTATCTTTTGAAAAAATAAAAATCCAAGAAAGTAAGCACAATTTTTAATATAGCTAGTTCCTTTAGAAATTAAATACTCAAGTAGAAAATAAGACAAAATGGTAAAAATTTTGTTTCCTTTTGATGGTATTTAACTTTATGTTTTGTACTTTAATTAATGCCCTTTTGGGGAAATGTAATACCCCCAGGGGGGGCTTAGTGGAGAGTACATGGTAGGTAAAGAATTATGATGTTTTTCATTGTGTCCTTGGCTATAATATTGCATAACACAGACACTATTATGTTTTTTAGTTAATGTAGGACATTGTCATAACAATTCTTAAAGCAAGCTGCCATGCATGACTATAAAAGAAATCACTTGATCCATGGAGGGTGACGTTATAGGTTTGAATACTGGCCTTGTTTGAAAGATTTGTCTTACATTTGTCTCATTCTGTCTTATACTGTTTGACTTTTTTTACACTCATTTACCATTTTCACTCATTTCAAATGAAAGAGATACACTTACAGACAATACAATAATATCAATACAAAATGCACACATGCTTGCTAGGTTATATTTTAATGGCATCGCAACCATTACATGTTTACATCATTTAGGCATTGATAAAGACATTAAACTGAATGTCATTTCCTGATGTACTGATACTGTATTTATTTGATTAGATGCACTAAAACCACAGTTTCCTGGTATAGTTTACATTTGATTTTATTGTTAAGTACATCAATCTTAAACCTCATGTTTGTTCTAAATTTGATATAATAAAATTTCTGTTTTATTTTATCTGATAAGCACTCCCTTTAATGTCACACAACTAGGTTATTGGGTCATTTCATAAAGGACCTGTTGTGAGATATCTTCTTATACTTGAAGATAAGTTAGTAACAAATTTGTATTTGTCAAAATACAAGGGTATGCTTGTAAGGTTTATAAGTTTTGTGCCATTGTATGCCATTGTGTACTGTCTAAAAATAAAAGCAATATTTAGTGGTAATAATAGCAGATGACAGACATAATTATCTGACACACTCACCACCACTGGCAAAATGTCCACACATTTTCCTCTATCTTTATTAGGTATTTTCATACTAAAATCTTGTTCTTTGATTTATTTAAGGCCAAAATTGATTTTCTAGAAAAAAAAAGTCATTTTATTTACTGTAAATTTAATAAGGTTGGCAGAAATAAAGTGATAGTATATTGTTACCTGCATGGTTGTTAACACCTTGGCTTTTGATGTGGCATATCTCTGGACATAATGATTTTAACAAATTCATTTGCAAATTACTAAGCGCTATGTAACACTTGCACCTGTATTTTTTTATGTCAAGATATCTGTGCACTTGTATATCACATTCAACATTTATCTTTTTAATTTTATCATAACAGTCATTAAAGTTATATTGTTGCTATGTGATAAATTTTACACATAGATTTGTTAGATACATAGTACATGTTTTTAGCTTACTTGTGATGAACTTCCGATATAATTTTATCAAATGCTAGAAATTACATGACCTGAAAGTATAATATTAACAATGGCAGATGTGGCTAAAATATATACAGAAAATATAAGTTAATAGAATTATATGATATATAACATATGCGGTGATATTTTTCATTGTATTTCTGCAGTAGTCTGCTGTTCACTATTTAATCAATTTACTATATTTGATCTTATGTAGTGAAAAACTGGGTTTTTATCAGTGAAATAAAATCCATAATTACTCAAAGCGTGAACTTTTTTTTGGCATGCAGATAATTTTGTATAAATCTGTAAATTTGCAAAATTTACAAAATTCAGTTGCTACATTTTGTTTTTTACAGCAAATTTTTCGATTTTAATAATGTAACTTCAGTAAAATACTAGTAGTTATAAATGATGCTGCAATGATGACCGTAATCATTACTTTTGTTTATGCAGTGTTCGCACAGCCCTTGTATTTCTGATATCATCTTTATGTGCATCTTACTACTGCTCTTCAACGGTTACAGTTGATAGTTGCTATTTTTTACTTATTAGTCATGAAATACAAAAATTGTTTCTGATTGCTCCATTTAGTACTTTCATTGAGTATAATTTACAAATCACTTAATCATATGGATATACCATGCCCCAGAAGATGTCCATTGACTCTAACATTACTTTTAGAGACAATCTGAAATTAAGACCGCCACAGTATTAAGACCATTTTTCTTGCTGAGGCCCACATGGAATGTGTAAGCCACGTTAAATAGAGGCGTTACTTACTTACTTACTTTCTTCAGAACCAGAAGCAGTCTCAATAGTGGGGTTCTACTGTATTATATTTTCTGTGATTTTTTTGATGGCATTCTTAAATGTTGCATGTATGATAAACCAATTTATATGCATGTGATTCCACACTTTTTCTTTTCTAGGTGTATAGTTTAGTGATGGAATGAACAAATGCTTTGTATATACATGTATATTTTATATATGTTTAATCTTTATTTACCATCTAGGACACGGCCACGTTATTGGTAAGAGGAACAGATGGTTCTTCAGACTTTCTCTCAAGGATTATCTTTTTGACACACTGAAAATATTTAAGCTTGCCAGACGAGACAAAATCTATAACATTACAAATAGCTCCATATACATATCTTACTTCCATATTTATTCAACTTTTCCTTCATTTCAAAGAATGTTATTTTGACCAAAGATAGATATAGAAATTTTCATTCTTAATTATAATGTTTTGGCCATTTCATTTTTCGTCATTAAGTTAATTGATGTTATTTTTTAAAATTTCTAACAGAATAAGGTTTTATTGAAATAAACTAAAAGAACATATGATTTCTTTAGTCTTTTTTGGCAAACTTTAATATTTTCTTGATCCATTTGAATTGGATATTTCAACCTGGCTTGGAATTTTAATTGCAGCTACATCATACTTTGCTAAATACAGTAAAACTCAAATATTTGGATAACCTTTAAAGTATCTATACAATTCCAATGTAATTTTATAGGAATTTATTTTTGACTGTTCCAATTCATTTTTATAAGAAATTAATGCCCCTCTTAGTAGTTTTTGGTTTTATATTGATTGAAATGAATTCACTTTTTCTAGAAAATGCTTTGTTTCTGATTACAAAAAAATGATGAAAAAATTGATATTGTGCTACCTTAGTGACTTTGAGTTTTACTGTATTTTGATACTTGCTTTGGACTGTCCAATTTTTTTGGTTGATGGAACCTATTCAAAATGTTTTGACTGACCTATATTAATAATGAAGATAACATTTATACACTTTTATATACATTGATTCTCTAGATGTAAAAAGAAGCACATAAAGTTTAATTTGTTTCAATTTATTGTAGAATGATGATAGAAAGGTGGTCATTATACCCATTACAAAATTTGTTAGTAAAAATCATCATGAAAAAAGTGAAATTTTAAGGTCTTGGTTCATATCTTGAAATAGAATTTGGTAAATACCATTTTTATCTTGAGATGGTGGATAAATGAATAACAATTATTTGTGGAACATTGTAAAATAAAGTATACACATTGTTTTTACAAGTAATAGATATAATTAACAATCCTCACATGTAATTATGTTTTCTTGCTAATTTGCAACAACAAACTATTTGTACAATAAACAGCATGTTTTAGTGACAAGTGCTTGCCAAGAATGGATGTCTCTAAGCTAGATCTGGTTATATTATGCAGTGAATCATCGATTACACTGACATTGCAGTTTATTTGTGATGTATAATTACGAAATTTTCAAATATGATGTATATAAACATGCTAGTTTCTTATTTTGCTAGAAAATAAGATTTTTTTGCACAGTTTATGAAAAAAGAGCCATAACTCTTTGTGGCATGGACTATAGAATGCAAAGTTTTTTTTATTAATATTATACTTGCAGTTGTTTTGTTACCATTACTTGAATTATTTAATCTGATGTTATATTACTATTTCTATTTTTAACCTGGTTTTCAATGAAAACCGGGTTATTGTAATGCCCAAGACGGCAGGCGGGCGTCAACTTTGGTTTCCCCTCAATAACTTTAGTTTGCTTTGGCCTATTGACACCAAACTTGTGTGTAGGTAGCTTATATCAAGAGGCAGCTTGGGATTGCTACCCAGGTGTCTGTGATCAAGGTTAAGGTCACTGTTACTAAAAATAGAAGTTCAGTTTCCACTCAATAACTTGAGTTTATTTTGGCCTATTCACACCAAACATGGTGTATGGATAGCTTATATCAAGAGGCAGCTTGGGATTGCTACCCAGGTGTCTGTGATCAAGGTCAAGGTCACTGTTACTAAAATAGAAATTCAGTTTCCACTCAATAACTTGAGTTTGCTTTGGCCTATTGACACCAAACTTGGTGTATGGATAGCTTATATCAAGAGGCAGCTTGGGATTGCTACCCAGGTGTCTGTGATCAAGGTCAAGGTCACTGTTACTAAAAATAGAAATCCAGTTTCCACTCAATAACTTGAGCTTGCTTTGGCTTATTGACACCAAACTTGGTGTATGGATAGCTTATATCAAGAGGCAGCTTGGGATTGCTACCCAAGTGTCTGTGATCAAGGTCAAGGTCACTGTTACTAAAAATAGAAATTCAGTTTCCACTCAATAACTTGAGTTTGCTTTGGCCTATTGACACCAAACTTGGTGTATGGATAGCTTATATCAAGAGGCAGCTTTGGATTGCTACCCAAGTGTCTGTGACCAAGGTCAAGGACACTGTTACTAAAAATAGAAATTCAGTTTCTGCTCAAAAACTTAATTGTGTTTTGGCCTATTGACACCAAACTTGATGAATGGTAGCTTATATCAAGAGGCAGCTTGGGATTGCTACCTAGGTGTCTGTGATCAAGGTTAATGTATTTAGTTTTCATGTTATAACTTTAGTTTTTTTTTACCTTTTGACACCAAACTTGCTGAGTGGCAGCTTTGGATTGCCACTTAGATATCTGGGAGCAAGGTCAAGGAAATTTGCTTACAATAGAATTTTCAGCATCTACTCAATAACTTCAGTGCACTTTGACCTATTGATTGCTGTCACATCAAAACTTGGTCGTTGAAAACCTGGTTTTCGTCGCATTGCGGCGCTTCTTGTTTTTTCTTCATATCACATAATAGTTTTTGTTTTGACTATTTTGTGAATTACTTTGTGTGCAGCTTACTTTATGTTGGAACCAGTGCAGCACCTCATTCTTGCATTAATATTCTCTTAATCTTTGTGTACTTCTGTTGGTTTAAGGAATACACTCTTCTTTGTATTTCTTGGTTCCTTTTTCCTTGAAAAAACTACAAGTTATTATTAAACAGCAACTAGTTGAATGTGACACTGATATGCTTTCATTCTTTGTCTGTTTGAGAAAATACATTAAATTTATGGCTGCTTTTTATCAATTGATTCTTTAATGTCTAATTTGAACAATGTGTATATCTAATCCAAACACCATTTTGAGTTGAATGATTTTAATTTAAACACCATTTTACAAAATTAATGTATAAAAAATATTGCAAAAAAGTATTAATCTAATTAAAACAACAGGTTATGTAGTGGATGACTAATACTAGCACATTTAATAATCTATCTAATCCAATCAACATTTTATGAAGTGTACACTACTTATTCAAGCCTTATTTAATAATATTAGATAATAACTGAAACATCCATTTAACAAGTATATCAAGAATTTAAACATGAAATTGCATTACTGGTATTATATCAACAGGATGTTTCAAAAGTGGGAACCATTTAACCTTAACCTTTGTAATTCATTAATGGATTCATCCAACTTCCAGTAATTAGTAGACAGGTAATTTGGATGGTCCTCTAGCTTAAGGTGAAGTGATGGGTTTTTCTGGTCAAGTTCAAGGTCACAAATGCCAGAGATTTTAAAACTTGCTTATATAGCTTCTATTCATAAACTGAGGTCATTCATATTTGGTATGTAGATGCTTCGTGTCAAGGTTACCAGTGATCAAAATTAATTTTTACAATTTTGCTTATGTACCCTTCATCTATTGGCTGGTGTCTTTGATATTACAGAAATTAAAAAGATATAACAAAGGTACATTAGATAGTCCCCTAACTTTCAGGGGCCACTGTGGTCAAGGTCACAGGTGCTTAAAATAGATTTTTACATTTAAGCTGATACTGCCCTAATTTATTGACAGATAATTATGCTTTAAGATACATTGACATATATACAGATTTGGGAGCATACATTGCCTTTAGCAATACTTCTTGTTTATTTTTGAGAAAGTGGGGAAATGGTACCTAATAAATTCTTTCATTGTCATATGTGATGGTTAAATTACTTTTTGGTGTACAGTAAAAGTGGATTAGGTTGTATGTATATGGACTTACTAAAGGCTTAAGTGCATTGAAGGTTAGCTTAAGAAATTGATACGTTATTTCAAAGATGACAAGAAAACCATTTAATTTGTTATCAGATAGATACAAGAGGTGTAAGTTAGTGTTGTAAACTCTTCCATTATTTTGTTCTTCATATGTCAGTTTAAATGTCTGTCTTTATTTCACATGAGTACTTTGTTCTATTAAATGTATCATACTGTTTTGTGTCTCTCTTTGTAAGTTGTAAATTTTCATATATTTCTGAGAGTATTTGTTTAGATTAAAGACTTGTTTACATTTAGTTCAGTCAAATATAAACTTAGTTAAACTTTAGTAAAGAACATTTAGGTAACTAGTGATCTTTATGACCTTGTAGTATCTACCTATCCTTTTTCAACCAGAGTTTCTTTAAAGATTATCTTTTTCCTGTCAGTAGTCTAAATACACATTTTTTCACAGTCTTAAAGGTATTTAACAGTTCAGTTTGTTAGTTTTTATTAACTGTATTAAATTTGTAATCTGATTTATTTGTTTCAACAAATGGTGGTGGATAAGTGAGAGATGTATGTGACTCTCATATACATACAAAAAAAGATCTATACTTCTGAAAATAATTTACTTGTTTATTAAAAATGTTGTCTAAATTTTCTGTTTTAGAATGTCTTACTTCATTAAAAATTTAGTAGAAATGTTTCTGTATGTTGGTAGTAAAAAGTTATACAGCCATTACATAAATTATAATGTTTATTATAAATTATGATATATGGTAATAAATCATATAAAATCTCAAATCCTTATTATGCTAGAATCTTAAAAGGATTTTTCCATATTTCAGTCTGGACAAATACATTTATTATTGTTAGGGGAAATTTCAATAAAGTACTGACTGAATAGCTAACAGTGCAGACGATAATATCTGTGCTGGCTGATCTTGGTCTGCTTTGGTTATATGGGTAGATTCTGTTGCCTCATGCAACCTGAGTTAAATAAAAGAAATCATTTTATACTATAAGTTGCTATTAAGGAAGAAGAACATTTGAAACTGTACAAATATTTGTTATATTTACAGATAATACAGATCTGAACAGAGTATTCCGTCTTCCAGAGACGACCTATATAGGTGGCAAGGAACAGTCATTGCCATTGAAAGAAATCATCAATAGATTAAAGGTGAGAGATTGTCAATTAACAAAACATTGACATAAATTTATCAAGTGAAGCTTACCTTAGAATATTGATTGACTTGATTGAAGAGTTGGCTATTAATATATTTATGATCAATTTGAATAAATAAGTCTAAGATAAGAAATTTAATTTCACCACATGTAAATCCTTAACTCTTTTGTAGTGTAGATATTGTAAAAGTTTTATAAAGAGACCATACGAAAGAAGTTCAGCTCGGGTCAATTTTTGAAAGTATTGAACATTCAATGTGTTCATTTACTTCATTGAATGCATGTTCTAAGCTGTTAGACCTCAAGGGCTGATTTAAAAACATGTATATATTCGGAATAGTTGCGATTACTTTAACACACATTGGTACTGAATAAGAACAACCTTGTTCACACAAGTGCTTCAACACAAGTTTTATCTTACTTAACTGAAAGTTACTTGTGTTATTATTAATACATGCATTTGCCTTAATTTTTGTCAGTGACATAGCAGTCTCTTTCGTTATTTACCAAGTAGGCATTAAAAACCATTGCATCACATGATAATATACATAAGGTTCACAGTTTTGTAGCTGATCAAAGCACTAATTGTCTTGATTTATGTACTTCACATGATGCATGATATGATTAGTATCTACTTGAATAAAGTGATGTCAAAATAAACAAATTGTGCAAAGTTTGGTAAGTATAGTCACATTGTGTTTATGCTTTGATTGAAACACATCACTTCTTTTACAAAAACCCTATGTACTTAATATGTAAATGAAAGATTAAAAACGTCTTTTAAAAAATCGCTTTAATTAAAACCCAGTACCTCTATAAAGCAGATATAAATGCAGAAATATACTGTGAACATATCAAGAATAAAAAAACAACATATTGTTGTTTTGAATGTTTTCATGTTCTCATGGTCAATCTGGGAAAGTTAACAAAAATTGTCTCTGTAACCAAAAAAAAAATCCAAAAGAATAAAGCATTCCTAAACAAAGAATACAAATGCTGTTTTAGTAGGGTTAGAAAATTGTTGTTCTCTACCACAGCTTCATTAGCATTTTACAAACATCATTCTTTTAGGTTACCTACTGTGACTTTATCTTTCAGGATATTATGAAGTAATTTATCAATTACAGACAGCCTCCTAAAGCTTTATACCTTTAAAGGTTGAGGAAGGTTTTCCAGAAGAAAAACCAAACTTAAATTTACATTTGTAGATTGAGCAATTTGTTCTCCGAATTCACATACAAGGTTTTTTTAATTCTATTGAATTGAATTTCAGACAATTTACTGTGACCATATAGGCATAGAGTTTATGTTTATAAACAACAGAGAGCAGACTGATTGGATTAAACAGAAGTTTGAGACACCTGGGGTACTGGAATTTAATGATGAGGAGAAAAGACTTATGCTGGCCCGTGTCATTAGATCTCAAAGGTAATTATAAGAAAATGACACGTCTTTCTTACTAGAATTATGATATTTTTATATAATTTTTTATTTTAATCAATTTACAGTTAGTTTAAACATATTAATGACCAATGGTTAGTGCTAAATTGAATCGTTCTTGTGTTTGCTTCCTGAAACTAAATAGGACTGGTGCCATATTAGAAAATGTGGTAGATACAGTAGAACTTGAACCAACAATCCCTAGGAAACATATACCTTAGTCACATGACAATTTCTGTCTTTAAATACAGTTTAAGGTTATTGGTATCTTAGATGTTACTTGATAAAGCAGGTTTGTGCATTATTACTGGCCTGGTAGAATGTTTGTCTGGTTGTGATTCACCATTATTTTCATAGAATTTGTTAGTCATTCAAGTGATAGATAGGTACATGGTAATGAAATTTAAGTACAGTGTTTTTTGGGAAGTTTTCAGGGAAGATTATTATGGATCATAAAAATCAGGATTTATTTAACATTGTAATACAGTTTACTTTAATTTTAGGTAAATGCACAGACTTTGGTTTCTAAATAATCTTTTACATACTGGAATTTGTTTTTTATATGAAAACTAGACAAGAAATGCTAATTTCATACCTGACTATTTTTCTAAAACAAAGTTCACTATTTCCTAACTAAAATGTTATATGACCTGCTTTTAAAACAGAGATGCAGTCATCATATTTCAGAAGAAAATTTAATTGAGATGTTTTTGTATTTTTGCCACACTGCTCAAATTTCAATAACTTCCAATAAACTATCTGATAACAAGCTGTTCATCTGCTGTCATATTTCTGTAATAGATTTGCATTAAAGTCAGTCATAAATAACGAAATTTGCGAGATGTGTAATCAGCAAAAGAAAATGCTTTTAGTATATGGCATTTTCGAGCCAAATTTGGACTTTACTTCCTTCCTTTAATCTATCATTTGATGACATTTGTTGTGGAGAGATGTTTAATCATAACACCTTGTAACACATAAATCATTCTAAGCCAGAGAAAATTTGACTGCTCAAAAACACCATAATCATAACTGCAAATTGCTGCAGGAATGGCTGTTGTCATGTATTGGAAAATCTCCTGGTTTTATGGGATTGCAGCCAGCTCTCAGCAGACAAATTCTTGGCAGAGCTAAATTGATCAGGTTTTTAAGATTCATTGTAAAAAAGATAGAAATTATTAGCAATAGACATAAAATGTCTGCACTAAACAGCATCCTGGAATGGGCAACAAAATGTTTACTAACTAAAATCAAAGATGATTGATTGAAAATGTCTTGATTTCGGCTTCATAACCAGGGCTCTATTGGTTCCTTGTAAACTGGTTATAGATAAATTTCCAACTTAAGTTGTTGTTAGATGTCTTGGATATAGTATGGTAACCTAGTCAAGGCTGAGTCTACCAATTACTTCACATACATATTTAAATACTTCTCACTGTTCCTCATTTCACATGTAGTTACACTTTTCTCTAAAGGAATGAAACATGCCCAGTGTCAGGTAAAGAGATTTATATTCTATGAATAATTTAGGAAAACACTTATCTTCACTTGTAATTAATTTCGGTTTCCAGGTTTGAAGAATTTCTGGCTAGAAAATGGTCATCAGAAAAAAGATTTGGTTTGGAAGGATGTGAGGTCCTTATACCTTCAATGAAAACTGTGATAGACAGCTCAAGTGCACTGGGTGTAGAAAGTATTGTTATTGGAATGCCCCACAGGTATGTTAACATAACAATCAAAATAGTTCATAATATGTGCTTTGTCAGTGAAAGGTGCTTGTACAGTCTTGAATTTAAAATTATTCATTGAAGTATAGATTATAACCAGCAACAGTCTAGTCAGATGACCCAGATGTATAGGATGGCCTTTTTCTATATTTGGTGGCAGTTGCCTGCCTGTATCAATACTGGAGTTCAGAGAAGTACACTCGGAGAAAAGTACAGATCGGAGAAAAAACTGGCTATTTGTACACGTTGTCTATTTAAAAGATGTCATGTGTGACAGTAATTGTATGATAATATTGTATTTCAAAGTTGTATGACTTATGATGGATGATATACTTCACTTATTTTATCTAAATGTAAAGTGATTATTAGTTGAAATAGGATGTTTATTGAATAAATAATTTGATGTAATGAAGGTCATAAAAGGAAATACCCATCAAACCTGTCAGTTCCAGCTCATTTGTCCTTGAGCATTATTGTTTTTTCTCAAAATAGTTTTTTTCGCTAGCAATTTTACAGCTTATGCCCTTAAATATTTAATTGCAGTCACCTGTGCATTAAACATCATCAGATATGTATTCAACTTTCATACTTTCACATTATTTCTACACATGATAAATTCAGTAAATAGACCCGTACAGAGTTATTTCCGTAATAGTTAAGAAGAAAATTAACTCTTGTAAACTATACAGGCATGTGGTAAGAAAGATATATTTGGCATTTTGCTGAATAAATAGGTTCCAAGCCTTCGTCTTTGCTTGTGCAATTAATATACATTACAAGAAAAATGAATTTGAGTTGAAGGGCAGAGGTCATGACTATTTTGCTGTTAGACAATAGGTAAAATGAGTCAAAAGCTTGTGAAACAAATAATTGCCTTTAGTTGTGTGATCAGTATACAAACAACAGGTTTATTTCCTTAGCATACAAGCAAAAATCAAATACTGTTATTTTGATATATATATGTCTTTTTTTTTCAGAGGAAGATTAAATGTACTGGCTAATGTATGTCGTAAGCCTCTAGAGAAGATATTCTGTCAGTTTGATTCCAAGTTGAAGGCTGAAGATGAGGGTTCTGGTGATGTAAAGTATCATCTTGGTATGTCAGTTGAGAGGTTGAACCGGGTCACTAATAAACAGATTAAGATTGCTGTCGTAGCTAATCCCTCTCATTTAGAAGCTGTAAACCCAGTGGTGCAGGGTAAAACAAGAGCTGAACAGTTCTACAGGGGTGATACTGATGGTAAAAAGGTAAATTATCAAAATACATTCTATTGAAAAACAGAAACTGTTCATTGGTATAATATGCTATAACTACGATTGTGGTATATAAGAAATTTGCTTAAAAGTTTTCATTAATGTTTTACTATAAACTTTTTGTGCACACAAAAAGTTCATAATTGCTTAAATGACCTGTAAATCAAGTAAATATTACAAAAGATAACAGCATGTTTCATAGTGTGATAGTAAGTTAAATTTTCATCTAATTATGAAATGCATGATTTATTAAGGTTAAAGAAGAAGAGTGGAGTAAACCTCCTGTATATTTTACTATTACAAAGCCTTATGAATTGATAACAAGTGATGTTGGCTAAATTAAAGTATTGAATACTGTATTAATTCACCGAAGCCACTCTTTCATTTTCATTGTTTTTGTGTACATATTTTTTTAACATGAGGATTTTTTTTTCCACTTGATAAAATACCAATATGGTGGTGTGCATAAAATATGCTCATTAGAGTCTGCTACTCTTTAAAGTTGATCAGGATTTAACTATAATATCATATATGTGTATTTAGTATAAGTGTATGCAAAATTATAGAATTTCATTTAGTATCATGTTATTTATAGGTTATGAGTATATTATTGCATGGTGATGCAGCTTTCTCAGGACAGGGAGTTGTCTATGAGACAATGCACTTAAGTGATCTCCCAGCATACACCACTCATGGTACAGTGCACATTGTTGCCAACAACCAGGTATCTTCTTCTATTTTGTATATAACATACACTTCAAAATTATGTTGCATTCATAAGTAAGATATTAATGGTGATATAGATGTCTTGTGTAATATATTGGCATAGAGTGAGAAACAAGTTTTAGTATTAACAGTCATGCTTATAATCATCAAGTAAAAAGCAAAATTTTATTCAGTATAAAATTTTTTATTTTTAAAAATAAAATGAAATATACCTCATTCACCTTATACATAATATTTTTTATTTTTGCAAGGCAATTTCAATATCCTTTATTCACTTAATGCAAATCCTACATTTGAATATTTTTTCATGACTACATCCTTTATGACCATTTGTACAATATTCGAGTGGCTTCTGAAATGAATTAAAACCATGGACAAATATGTTTCTTTCAGATTGGGTTCACCACAGATCCTAGGTCATCCAGATCTTCACCATACTGTACAGATGTAGCCAGAGTGGTGAATGCTCCTATCTTCCATGTTAATGCAGATGACCCGCTGGCTGTAGCATATGTCTCAAAGGTTGCTGCAGAATGGAGAGCTACTTTTGCTAAAGATGTTGTCATTGATCTGGTAAGAATGATAGAGCAAACTTTATTTTTTTGATTGAGCAAACTTTATTTGATAAGCTTGTTTTGAAGTTGAATCACTTATTGAACATCAGCAGACTAAAGGCAGAATACATAAAAGAGTTGAATGACCTTATTTTTTTCTACAGGAAAAGACCAATCATTCATGTCAATAGGCTAGTATTCATAAAGTTTCTATGAGAACTTCTAAGTTGCCTTATGCAACTTTTGAAGAGATATTGTTTATATATTTTTTTTTTGCATTTTATATACCCGAAGATAACTATGATTATTTTATTGTCCCCCGCCTTTTCGAAGAAAAAAGGGGGATATAGAAATAGGCTCCGTCAGTCTGTCCGCACTACCGAATAGGGATAGGGGGCCATCTAACTGTAAACAGAACAAAAGAAAACAATAGAGTTCATTCCATAACAATAGAGTAAGGGGCCATTGGCCCTCTATTAAACAGTAGAAAATAACAAAAGAAATGGCCCCTTATTCCATTTCGGCCAGACTTCCGTCCGTCAGTCACACTTTCGTGTCCGGTCCATAACTTTGTTATTTATCAAAGGAATCTGAAATAACTTGGCACAAATGTTTGTTATGATAAGACAATGTGTCATGCGCAACAACCAGACTCCTACCTCCAAGGTCAAGGTCACACTTGGAGGTCAAAGATTAACATAGTCTGTTACAGAGTGTATTTTGTGTCCGGTCCATAACTTTGTCATTTATCAAAGAATCTGAAATAACTTAGTACAAATGTTTGTTATTATAAGATGATGTGTAATGAGCAACAATCGGACCCCTATCTCCAAGGTCAAGGTCGCATTTGCTCATTCAAGGTCAACATTGTCTATTTGAGGGTATATGTCGTGTCCGGTCCATAACTTCCTTATCTTAGAAGGGATTTTGTAAATACTTGCCACAATTGTTCAAAATAATGAGACGATGTGTCATGCACAACAACCGGTCACCTACCTCCAAGGTCACACTTGGAGGTCAAAGATGAACATAGTCTGTTACAGGGTATATTTTGTGTCCGGTCCATAACTTTGTCATTTATCATTTTCTGAAATAACTTAGCACAAATGTTTGTTATAATAAGGCAATGTGTCATATGCAACAACCAGACCCCTACCTCCAGGGTCAAGGTCGTACTTGCTCATTTAAGGTTTGAGGGTATATGTTGTGTCCGGTCCATAACTTCCTTATCTTTGAATGGATTTTGTAAATACTTTCCACAATTGTTCACAATAATGAGATGATGTGTCCTGTGCAAAACCGGTCACCTACCTCCAAGGTCAAGGTCACACTTGAAGGTCAAAGATTAACAGAGTCTGTTATGTGGTGTATTTTGTGTCCTGTCCATAACTTCTTCATAGATCAAGGAATTTTGAAAATACTTGGCACAAATAGTCGCAATGATAAGATGATATGTCAGGCTCAAAAAAACATGGGTCCCTACCTTCAAGGTCACACTTAAAGGTCAAAGATAAACATAGTCTATTATAGGGTATATTTTATGTCCGATCTTTAACTTCTTCATAGTTCAAGGGATTTTGAAAATACATGGCACAAATAGTAACAATTATAAGACAATATGTCATGCACAACACCTGCACCCCTACCTCCAAGGTCAAGGTCACACTTAGAGGTCAAAGCTAAACATGATAGATTTTTAATTTCCTCGTTTCATTTTATTTCTTTAATAAATTTATTGTTGCATTTGCAGATATAGCATTGATCATAAACTTTGACTGAAAGCCCTGAGATCCATACCTCAATATTTTGAAAAAGCACAATTTTATGCTTCATATAAAACTTCCCCGAGGCGGGGGATGTTGGTAACTCTGTTACAAATTCTTGTTGTATAATGTTTGCCCATCTGCGTTAATTATAAATCTTTGGGTCATTTCAGGTATCTTATAGAAGGAATGGCCACAATGAAATTGATGAGCCAATGTTTACACAGCCCCTCATGTACAAACAGATTGCTAAAACACCAACAGTGTTAGCTCAGTTCTCTGAGAAGTTGATGGCCAGTGGTACAGTCACTCAAGAAGAATATGAGGTTAGTACAGAAATGATATATTGAAATAATCCTTTTAAATTAATATAACATATTGCTTTAAATCAGTTGTGTGCACATGTAAAGAAAATTTAAAATGTTTTCAGCTAGAAATGTTGTTATTGTCTATTGTTTTTTTGGAAGCCATTGATTTTCCAGTACAGTGAGTGATTCTTGGGAAAAAGTAATGTTTAAAATAAATTGACCTCCATCTTTAATGAAAGAGATTTAGGGGAAGAGGTTTATTGCCTCATAAAGATAGAAAGTATGATGAGAAAGAACTGACGTCTCTAGTATTGAGTAGAGATCTACGGATCCTGTTCTTGAACACACTGGTTAATTCATTTTAACTCGATGAGAAAGAAATGAACAACGAATTTATTAATCAGAATTCCTACAGAATGGTAATTCATAATACAGTAATACAGGTTAGGCAAATGTCTGTCAGCACATGACTGAGCTTTTAACACAAACTGATGCTAGATGCAGACTGATATTTATAGTAAACATAAGAAACTCTATACTGAGGAAATAATTGGAGGTTCAAATAGATTTTTATGTTAATGTTTCACATGTGATCTTGTTTCTTACATTAAACTTGTATAATTATACTGTACCATTGACAGTATGAGGTAAACAAGTATGATAAGATATGTGAGGAAGCATACATGCTGGCCAAGAAAGAGATCTCTGTCTCAAACAAGGACTGGCTAGACTCACCCTGGGAAGGTTTCTTTGACAACCGTGAAGCTATGGTGCTACCTAAAACCGGTGTGGAAGAAGATGTTCTCCAACATGTAGGCACAGTATTTAGCTCCCCACCTCCGGGTGATTTCGTCATACATGGAGGTAAGAGCACTGTGAAAATCTATTTATTTTGATGTTGGTTTGCTAAGACAATCAATTCTTTTCACTTATGTTGTAACACTTGACAATTTTTTAATCTAATCTTTCCTTTCTCATGTGTAATTTTAGCTTGACTATTCGCAGAATACTCAAGCTAATGCAGTCACCCATTTGTCGGCATTGGCGTCCCTGTGGTTTAGTTTTTAGCTCGACTTTTCTATGAAAAGGGGAGCTATCCTACTCGCCCCGGCGTCGGCGTCGGCGTCACACCTTGGTTAAGTTTTTCGTACCACCCCACTTTATTTCAGAAGTATTACAAGTATGGCTTTGAAACTTACCATACTTGTTCACCATCATAACCTCCATCTACAGACAAGAGTACATAACTCTGTCAAGGTTTTTGACAGAATTATGGCCCTTTTTTGACTTAGAAAGTGTATTGAGCTTGGTTAAGTTTTTTGTACCACCTCACTTTATTTCAAAACCATTGGAGGTATTGCTTTGAAACTGACCATACTTGTTTACCATCACGACCTTCATCAACAGACAAGAGGACATAACTCTGTCAAGGTTTTTGACAGAATTATGCCCCTTTTTGACTTAGAAAATACATTGAATATGGGTAAAATCCACTTATTGCCTTAACCCTTTGAGATATTGCTTTGAAACTTTTAATGCTATTTCACATCATTACCCCCATCTGTACGCAAGAGAAGGTAACTCTGTCAAGGATTTGTTTTAAAAAAAAATTAAGGCCTTTTATCGACTTAGAATCTTGTTAAGTTTTTAGTACCAGTCCACTTTTGACTGAACTGTTTGAGATATTAATTTGAAAGTTGGAATACTTGTTTACAATCATGATTCCCAAACATGTCCAGGAGAAGGTAATTCTGTCAAAGATTTTATTTGAATTATGGCCCTTAACTGTCAATGTTTTGTATTATAGGCAAGCACTAAAAACTTAAAAAATCTAAAAAAATTCATTCCTATCCACTTGTTCACTTTTACCATAAATTATGTCATATAAAACATTGCTGTAATATTCAAGGGTATCAAACAACTAGTTTTTTTTTCTTTCTTACCAGCCCTCTTTTGACTTAAACATTTCAAACTTTGCTGCAGTGTTCAAGGGTATCACACAATTCAGTAAAATAATTCTTCACTAAATATCTTAATGCTCATGGCCATTGTTCACTTTAAAAATACAGAGATTCTTGTATTGCCTTTTACTGCAAAAACTTTTTTTATTGGCAAGCAATAAAAAAGTCGAGCGCGCTGTCTTACGGACAGCTCTTGTTACGTGTAAGCTGGTATCTCCATAAGTGCTGAAGGGAATGGATTGAAACTTCACATGCTTATTTTCTGTTATTATCTAACATGATTGGCACAAGTCCCATAACTTGCTTTTTTGCATATTTATGCCCCTTTTTCGAATACAAATTCTGGTATCTCCATAAATACTAAAAGGTTTGTGCCTTTTTTTGTGACAATTTTATGCATTCATAATAATTAAGCAGTGATTTACTCGATAAAACATCCTGATAATAAGCCTTTGTACCTTTTTGGGAAATTTTATGATTTCATATTGGTAAGCAGTATTATACTCAATGAAACACCCTTGTGACAACTCGATCGAGTTGTCGAGCGTTGCTTTTGTTTCCAATCAATTTATATGGTTAAGAAAAATATTTTGTTGACAAAAAAGAATGGAAAAGAATTATAAGAATAATAATGTCAAAAAATTATTAGTGAAATATTGTTGAAAATAAAGTACAAAAATATTCTGCTAAAAAAAAAAAAAAAAAAAAAATTTAAAAGAGACACTGTCCAAAAATTAGGTAGAAGCGAATTATGAATTATGCAAAAAATGAGTTACATTACATATTCATTAGAAGGAAGTTGTTAACACTGATGTTTAATGAAAACTTTAGGCTTGAAGAGAATTTTAAAGAGTCACATGCAGATGGTTAATGAGAGGAGTGTAGACTGGGCTCTTGGTGAGGCTCTCGCTTTCGGTTCCTTACTAAAGGAAGGTATCCATGTACGTCTTAGTGGTCAAGATGTAGAGAGAGGCACTTTCAGGTAATATACTCTGTAAATCTATTTTTAGTTTTTTCAAGTTACTTACAGTCTTTATTTCTATAAGTATTTTTCTCAGACTGCAATCATTTGTACCTCACTGATTTTTTCCCAGTTAGATAGAAGGTTGATGGTTTGCCTGTGCCTTATAGAATGTTCCTTTGCACTGGTCTAAAGCCACTCGTAGAAAACATGCATTTCTTGTTCATCACAAGTGAGACTCATTGACTTCTATTAGAATTTAAGACATCCTTTTTGTCAACATTTTGCTGATTATTTCAAATAGAATAACTATATTTTGTTTGTTTAAGGAATAATAAAATTCATAAATGTAAATATGTTACAGCCACCGTCACCATGTGTTACATAACCAGCTTGTAGACAAGGACACACACATCTGTCTGAATCATCTATACAAGGGTCAGGCACCTTACACTGTGGTAAACAGTTCACTGTCCGAATATGGTGTACTGGGTAAGCTTTATACTATCTTCATAATCTCTCTGAATGTATTGGAGTTTCATGTTATAATATTATCCATATTGACTTGAATACCTGATAATTGTCCCCCGCCTTTTCGAAGAAAAAAGGGGGATATAGTAATAGGCTCTGTCCGTCTGTCCGCCCGCACTCACAGGAGAGTAATTATGTGGCTAGAGGGACAATAGGTTCTCTTTGATGTCATTCATTCCGTAATGCTTTTATGTGGCTATTTTCTTTTGCGTGGCTAAAAGAACAATAGAGAGAACATTAGAGTAGCCACATAATTACTGTCCTGTGAGAACGTCCGTCCGTCTGTCCGTCCGTCACACTTTCGTGTCCGGTCCATAACTTTGTCATTTATTGAAGGAATCTGAAAAAACTTGGCACAAATGTTTGTTATAATAAGACGATGTGTCATGTGCAAAAACCAGACCCCTAACTCCAAGGTCAAGGTCACACTTGCTCATTCAAGGTCAACATTGTCTATTGATGGTATATTCGTGTCCGGTCCATAACTTTCCTACTTGCCACAATTGTTCACAATAATGAGACGAATGTCACCTACCTCCAAGGTCAAGGTTGGAGGTCAAAGATTAACATAGTACAGGGTATATTTTGTGTCCGGTCCATAACTTTTTCATTTATGAATCTGAAATAACTTGGCCAACAAACCAGACCAGACCCCTACCTCAAGGGTCAAGGTCGCACTTGACTATTCAAGGTCAACATTGTCTATTTGATGGTATACGTTGTGTCCGGTCCATAACTTTCTTATCCTTGAAGGGATTTTGTAAATACTTGCCACAATTGTTCACTATAATGAGACGATGTGTCATGTGCAACAACCGGTCACCTACCTCCAAGGTGAAGGTCACACTTGGAGGTCAAAGATTAACATAGTCTATTACAGGGTATATTTTGTGTCCAGTCCATAACTTTTTTTATAGATCAAAGGATTTTGTAAATACTTGCCACAAATAGTCACTATAATAAGACAATGTGTCATGTGCAACATCTGCATCCCTACCTCCCAAGTTCAAGGTCACACTTAGAGGTCAAAAGATAACGTATTCTATTTTAGGATATATTTTGTACTTCTTCAGGATTTTGAAATAACTAGGCACAAAAAAGTCACAATAATAAGACAATATGTCAGGTACAACACCTGCACCCCTACCTCCAAGGTCAAGGTCACACTTAGAGGTCAAAGGTTAACAGAGTCTGTTATATGGTTTATTTTGTGTCCCGTCTTATAACTTCTTCATAGATCAAGGGATTTTGAAAATACTTGGCACAAATAGTCACAATGATAAAATGATATGTCATGCATAACACATGTGTCCCTACCTCCAAGGTCAAGGTCACACATAGAGGTCAAACATTAACATACTCTGTAATAGGGTATATTTTGTGTCCAGTCCCTGGAATTTTAAAAATACTTTGCACAAAAAATCACAATAATAAGATGATATGTCAGGCGCAAAACATGGGTCCCTACCTCCAAGGTCACACTTAGAGGTCAAAGATTGACATAGTCTGTTATAGGGTATATTTTGTGTCCGATCTATAACTTCTACATAGTTCAAGGGATTTTGAAAATACTTGACACAAATAGTAATATTAATTAGATGATATGTCATGCACAACACCTGCACCTCTACCTCCAAGGTCAAGGTCACCATTAGAGGTAAAAGGTTAACATGATAGAATTTTACATTCCGTGTTACATTTTACTAGTATTTCTTTAATAAATTCATTGTTGCATTTGCAGATATAGCATTTATTATAATTTTGGAATGAAAGTCCTGACATCCATACCTCAATCTTTTGAAATAACACAATTTTATGCTTCATATAAAACTTCCCCGAGGCGGGGGACGTTGTTAACTCTGTTACAAATTCTTGTTGTAACTTACTGATGAGGTAAATTATATTATATTTTATTCATTTCTTGTAAGTGATGATTTGAAAAACTAATAAATCATAAAATAAGCTGTTATTGTTACCAACTTTTAACAGTTATCTTTTACAATATGTTTCACAGTATCTACCCTTTGGTAAAAAAAAAGAGACTTGAAGACTAAGGATTAAAGATTAGCTTTTTTAGGACATTTTTAGCTCACCTGTCACAAAGTGACAGGGTGAGCTTTTGTGATCTCTTTTCGTCCGGCGTCCATCCGTCGTCCGTAAACTTTTACTTTAAATGACATCTCCTCATAAACCACTAGGCCAATTTCATCCAAACTTCACAGGAATGTTCCTTTGGTGGTCACCTTTAAAAATTGTTCAAAGAATTTAATTCCATGCAGAACTCTGGTTGCCATGGCAACCGAAAGAAAAAACTTTAAATATCTTCTTTTAAAAAACCCTAAGAGCTAGAGCTTAGATATTTGGCATGAAACATCTTCTAGTGAGTGTCTACCAAGTTTGTTCAAATAAAAGCCCTGGGGTCAAAATTGGCCCCGCCCCAGGGGGTCATGGCTTTTCCCTATATGCATATAGTAAAAACTTAAAAAATCTTCTTTGAAAAAACCCAAATAGCTAGAGTTTAGATATTAAGCATGAAACATCCTCTAGTAAGTGTCTACAAAGTTTGTTCAAATAAAAGCCCTGGGGTCAAAACTGGCCCCGCCCCAGGGGTGTCATTGTTTTTAACTATATGTGTATAGTAAAAACTTAAAAAAATCTTCTTTTAAAGAACTCAAAGAGCTAGAGCTAAGATATTTAGCATCAAACATGTTCTAATAGGTGTCTACCAAGTTTGTTCAAATAAAAGCCCTGGGGTCAAAATTGGCCCCGCCCCGGGGGTCATTGATTTTCCTTATATGTGTATAGCAAAAACTTAAAAAATCTTCTTTGAAAAAACCCAAATAGCTAGAGTTTAGATATTAAGCATGAAACATCTTCTAGTAAGTGTCTACAAAGTTTGTTCAAATAAAAGCCCCTTTGGGTCAAAACTGGCCCCGCCCCAGGGGTGTCATTGTTTTTAACTATATGTGTATAGTAAAAACTTAAAAAAATCTTCTTTTAAAAAGCCCAATGAGCTAGAGCTTAGATATTTAGCATGAAACATCTTCTTATAGGTGTCTACCAAGTTTGTTCAAATAAAAGCCCTGGGGTCAAAATTGGCCCCGCCCCAGGGGGTCATTGATTTTCCCTATATGCATATAGTAAAAACTTAAAAAATCTTCTTTTAAAGAACTCAAAGAGCTAGAGCTAAGATATTTAGCATCAAACATGTTCTAAAGGTGTCTACCAAGTTTGTTCAAATAAAAGCCCTGGGGTCAAAATTGGCCCCGCCCCGGGGGTCATTGATTTTCCTTATATGTGTATAGCAAAATCTTAAAAAATCTTCTTTGAAAAAACCCAAATAGCTAAAGTTTAGATATTAAGCATGAAACATCTTCTAGTGAGTGTCTACAAAGTTTGTTCAAATAAAAGCCCTGGGGTCAAAATTGGCCCCGCCCCGGGGGTCATTGATTTTCCTTATATGTGTATAGCAAAAACTTAAAATCTTCTTTGAAAAAACCCAAACAGCTAGAGTTTAGATATTAAGCATGAAACATCTTCTAGTTAGTGTCTACAAAGTTTGTTCAAATAAAAGCCCTGGGGTCAAAACTGGCCCCGCCCCAGGGGTGTCATTGTTTTTAACTATATGTGTATAGTAAAAACTTAAAAAAAATCTTCTTTTAAAAAGCCCAATGAGCTAGAGCTTAGATGTTTAGCATGAAACATCTTCTTATGGGTGTGTGGGGGGGGGGGGGGGCTTTATACAGGTGAGCGACCTCAGGGCCATCATGGCCCTCTTGTTATAACCATCTTTTAAAAAAAAAGTGCTTCTGCAAATAAATGAAGCGGTAGGGTTTTTTAAGTGTTTCTGTAATTTTTCAGGATTTGAACTTGGGTATGCATTGACCAATCCCAACTCTTTGATTCTGTGGGAAGCTCAGTTTGGAGATTTTTCCAACACAGCCCAGTGTGTGATAGATCAGTTTATAAGTAGTGGACAGGCAAAATGGGTCCGTCAGAATGGTATTGTTCTCCTTCTTCCTCATGGCTATGAGGGAATGGTGTGTATATACTTTTATTATAACAGCTTTATACATGTGATTCAATTAAAATTGGATCGGTAAATTTTATTGAATTAATATGCTTTGTATTTTGAGTAGTTATTAGAAGTTTAACTTCTTAACTGCTGAATTTATGTAATGGATTTTGCCCTGCTTTGATTTTGGAACAGTCCATTTGAATTTTAAGGGATTTCAAAAGCTAATACTAAAATTGAGCTGCCAACAGTATAGAGCCTGGAGAGACTGTGCTGATTTGCAGGCTAGCTCAGCTCTATACGGGTGGCAAAGGTTAGTCACTTTCGGTTCCAGGATGTAAAAGGTTAAAGTTCACTTGTGACTAAATTAGCAATGTAAGTCTGGTTAGACTATATGGATGTGCAAGCTTGCCGCCTGGCTCTAAATTGATGGCATAGATCTCTTATTATTGCTGCAATCTGAAATATTAAGTACCCAAAATATTGTTAAATATCATTGCAAACATTGATGGTCATTGAAGTTGTAATGTAAATGTTATCTCCGATGAAACCAATTAAGCTAGACCTAAAATATATATTTGTGACTTGAAGGTTTGCTTCTCTTTATGCCATAATGTTATGTATCTTGATATATGAACATTTTTTGCTGTTACCTATGATGTATTCTTTCTCAGTAAATTTACTATTACTGGTTCTGTAATTGATGCAGTCAGTTTTGTAACAGTGTTTTTTTTTCCAATTTTCAAAACAACCTGTGGCTTTCTGAAGGGGAAAATATAGCGCGATAAATCAACAAAGGGGGAAAACCTGAAATCAAATTCCAACAACTGAAAATGGAATTTACCCACACATTTTATGTAAAAAATTAATATCAATTCAATTTAACATGCATGGTACATAGCAGAGGCTATATATAGGGACATATTTCTGTCATATATAAGTCAGGTGCTGTTAAGTCATGGTTCTGGTGAGGAAGAGCACTAGGCATTTTAGGGGAAAATGTACCTCATTTGGGCTAGGGGAAACAGCCTTCATTTGGCTGTAAAATACAGTGAAAAAAATCACTGTGTAATTAATTGTTTTACCATTTATATGTCATACACAGATGCTATGCAGGAATTCATAGTGTCACTTATGTTTATGTTTCAGGGACCTGAACATTCTAGTGCACGTCTTGAGCGATTCCTTCAAATGAGTAATGATGATCCAGAGCATTTCCCAGTAAGTAAAAGATATATGTTTATATAGAATCAGCGCCTAGTGTGTCTTGACAGCTCTCTAAGTATCAATCTACAATGACATTAAATGACAGTAATTAGATTAATACATAATGGAAGAAATGAGTGAAAGCAAGAACCTGCTGTCTTGTATCTGGCAGCTATTTTACCTTTGGCTACAGTTTTAAGACTTCAGTTATCAACAAAGCTTCACAGGAATGTTCTGTGCAGGGTCTTGATATATACAATCATTGTGAATATTTGGCTGTTATATTTACCCCTTAAATTTGATACAACACACTATTCTAATGAATTATGTGTCAATTGAATTGTTGCAGATTAACATTTAGCATTGCAATGATTTCTAGAATGTCAGTAACTGAAAATAAAAACAAAATTAATACAATTATTATGGTATTAAAGTCAAATATGAGACATCCAGAAGTTAAAAGCATGAATACGTTCTAGCTGCTATCTTTGTGGCTGTACACATATTTGCTTATTGTTTTCAATTCAAGTCCTTCTAAAAAGTATGTCATTGAATAAAAAAACACTGACATCTTTTTATGATAGATTTTAATAAAAAAATAATCCCAAAACTTTATATTATGAACGTTTTAAAAGAATGATGCTATGTTTATTATATATGTATATTATGTGCTGTTAGATGCTCTCAGATTGTAAGAAGGTAATATTCTCCAATGTTGCTTTGACATCTTGGTCCATAATAAATTAATACAACTTTTCATGCTATAAAATTTCTTGGCTTAAAAATGCAGCCATATTGATTTCTTTAATGCTTTTTAATGCATACTTCACTATACATCAGTACATTGGTCTGTTGGCTATTTGTTTACAAGTATTGGGTGACATCTGTTTATAACTAAGAATCTTGGCAGGATTCAATGATATAGGACTTCAATATTTTGTAGCGTTGTGGCCCTTAAATGAGTAAAATAGCATGCATAATGTGAGGGACATTTGGAATTTATTAATTAATTTATTAATTAATGTTATAGTAATAATGATGATGTGCTGTTGCCATTGTGTACCATACATTATCATATAGTATGTTGATGTCAACTTGGTAGTTACCAGTCTGTGCTGCATGTATGTTACTATTGGTGATATTTGAAACCCATTGTCATACATCCATTATCATGTTCTTTTATCTTTCAACACAAGACAGATTACTACAAAGTAACAAGTCAGACTAGATATAGACTTGTTGCTGAAAAGTATCTCCTTGCAGTATTGTTTGATTTAAAAGACAACTGTTTTGCCAGTGTGTAAAGAATTCTTTTTTTGAGTCAGTCACAATCCCAAGATGGCTTGTTAAAGCTGCCTCCAAATGAGCCAAAATATTTCAAGATAATTAAACTTGAGAAAAATGTACTAAGATTTTAAGAATAGTTAAATATTAAAAATTCAGGTCATAAATTACATGTAATGTGTTATTAATGACTGATTTTGCAGTATTCATCACAATATTTCTAGTGCGTTATATAGCTATTTTGCATATTTTGACCTCTTCTTGATAATTTACGTGGATTGTAAGTTTAAATACTTTGTTCACTTCAAATAGTATTTTACTTTTAAATACATTTTCATAATATTCATGAAAATTAGCATTAATCTGGAAGTGTGCTGGTTTAAATAAATCTATTAATGCTGTGACGGAAGTTAGAGCTAATGGAGGGATATTTTGATATATTATTACTGACTGATATTGATTCGTGACAGCAATTTGTACTTTGTTAACATCCTGCAAGAGATATTTCATGGATTTCATCACAAGGGGAATGATTTTATCTTGTTTGTTAGTTTAGAAGGTGCTCTCCATCCCTTATTTTGTTTTGAAATTTGTGATATTCTTGCTTGATTGTACACTGTAAATTCAGCACAGTGATAATCAGCTTCATTTGCAGCATTGTAGGTAGATCTAGATCCACAGTTATATTTTGCACAAGATACTTCAAAATAATAAAAATTAAAAAAAAATTGATCATAAGTTTTAATTAGTAGATTGATATACAAAATGCTCTTTCAGAAGTTTGAAAAAACTGGATTAAATCAGGTAAATTTGAGGTAGCTTCGATATTTAAATGCATGTTCTTGTTCCTTACTGTTGTTACTGGTATTCTATCTTTTGAAAATGAAGTTGATATGTAAGATATCTTTTGCCGTTTCCAGTATAATATCAGATATAAGGATTATAGGCCTAAGTACATATGCAAAGTGCTGCTTCCTAATAAATAATGCTTTCCTGGAATTTGTATAAACTTCATGATGTTGTCATTTCATAACTTTACATGTTTATTGTCATGGCAACATAAATACTGATGTGTTTGATCTATGGCAATCAATCAATTATACCCTGTCTTTTGTTTTCAAGTCTTTATCATCTTTAAAATGGATTAGGTGTCTTTTGTACCGTGACACCAAAACCAGCTGAAAATAAATCTTGCTGTAAATATCAATTTTCCTGATGTGGTCAGTTGAGACAGCTTTCTGAAATATCATATACATATCTTTCATTTTCTTGTAACATGTGAACTGAAAGGGAGATTTAAAGGACAGGTCTTTGTTTCCTGTCTAAAATAAGGCATGAAAGGCCTTAAAGTATAAAGGGTTGCATTTTGAATTTAAAATTGATTGTATATTATATAGGTCAAGTTCAAGTTAAAATGTTTTATATTTTGTTAATTTCATTTCAGGTTTTATACATGTTATTATATTTTACAAATTATCTGCGAAATATTTACAAAATGGGAATCACTTAAGTAGCAATTAACTACATTGAAGTTACATATGTATGTTGAACTTGGCCTAGTTTTGGTTTTGAACTGACATGGATGGTTTGAAGACATTTTGATGCAATGTACATTTATTTAAGTTGCAAAAATTGAGCCACCAACAGTATAGAATATGGTCATTATGAACAGATGTGGAGGCTGACCTTGCTCCCTATTGTTGACTAAGGCCCATGAATTACTGCTTTCATTTAAGGGAATGTGTCGTAACGTAATATAGTTATATCATGAACATTTAACATTGTAGAAAGAGAGTGAGGACTTTGAGATTCAGCAGCTTCATGAGATCAACTGGTTTGTTGGTAACCTGACAACACCTGCCAACTACTTCCATGCCCTGCGTAGACAGATTGCCCTACCTTTCAGAAAACCTGTGAGTAACATCTCTCTCTGTAAAATAATTTGATTGAAAGACATATGTTTATAGAAAAAAGAAAATTACATTATCTATTTAAAATACTGAAATACTGAGTTAGATATTACTACAGGAAATATCATTCTTAGATAATTTTACGAATATCAAAATAAATATAGAGTGGTGGCGTGGCTGAGTGGTTAACTTATCAGCCTAGTAATCTAAAGATTGCTTGCACTGTGGGTTCAAACCCTGTCAGAGTCAAGCCAACATTCTTTTGAGCATAAAACTTTACACTCATTGCTTAGCAATAGTTGGTTCCAGGAACGGATTCGAGAGTGTTTCAATAAGCTAACAGCTTCCAACACAAACTAAAAGAAATTTTTATAAACTAAACAAATAAAATTGACAAGAATAAAAAATTGAATATTTTTCTCTTTTCAGCTTGTACTTATGACACCAAAAAGTTTGTTACGTCTGCCTGAAGCTAGGTCTAGCTTTGATGAGATGGTAGAAGGCACAGGCTTTGTCAGGATGTATCCAGAGCAAGGCCTGCCATCTGAAAATCCCAAGGCTGTAAAGAAGCTTATCTTCTGCACAGGCAAAGTTTACTACGATCTAGTGAAGGAAAGGGAAAAGTTGGATTTGGTTGATAAAATAGCCATTGCTAGAATTGAACAGGTGATTACTTGCAATTGTTTATAATACATTTTTGGGGTTCTCCATAGCTGAGTGGTTGAGGTTGTTGACTTGAAACCACTTGCCCCTGACAGCTGTGTTTTCAAATCCCGGTAGGGACTAGATTCTTTCAAGTAAGGAAGCTATCCAGGATGCTTACAAAACATCAGTGGTTCTACCCAGGGGCCAGTTTGTGCACAAAATAATGTCTATTAGCTTACAAAGCTTTTTCACAATCAAGCAATGTATGGTCAAAAATACAAATGCAGAGATAATGACTTAAAAAAGTAATACTTTGCTAGTCTGAGGTTTCTTTTGAAATGTTGATTATAACTGATTTACTGAATAATAGAATTATTATAAACCTTTAACCTTCTGGAACTGAAAATTATTAGCCTTTTGTACCAGTATAGAGTTGAGCTATAAAGTAAACATGTTTGAAAAGTCTTCTGAAACTGAAGTGCCCTGGGAAGCATCACCTTGTTGTCCTCTATAAAACTTATAGAAATCTATAGAAATCATGCCCTTGGTATCAAAATTTGCCCCGCAAGGGGTTCATTATATTTATATAGACTTATGTAGGAAAACATGAAAACTACAATGTTTTAACCAAAATTAATACTGTCTGCAGAAACTTATGATAATATTACTTTATGAATGTATCCATTTAAAAAAGACCTGAGCTATTTGTTCCATTAATGACCAGTGAAAAGTATTAAAGATACATATTTTTGATATATTTCAGATTTCACCATTTCCATTTGATCTTGTGAAAGATGAAATGTTGAGATACCCAGGTGCAAGAATGGCATGGGTGCAAGAAGAACACAAGAATATGGGGGCATGGTTTTATGTTGAGCCTCGTATGCGTACAGTACTGAGGAAAATTGCTGCAACTGATCAAGCAAATGAAAAAATGGCTTCAAAGAAAGTAGAGTGAGTATTGCTCAGTTAGAAATACTTATGATTTAAAATTAAAAATAGAGAATTGCTTCACATTACATTTATAATGGTGAAACATCTGCTTGAATGTGAATATAATAGGTGCATCACTTTCTAAATAAGGACAAATGTTGACCATATGTGAACCATGGCTTAATAAAATGAACGGTTGGCACAAAGTACAATTTTATATAGTGACAAATTGAACTACCATTTGCCAAATGGTAATTCAATTCATATATTTATCAGTAGAAATAGGAAAGTTACTTGATATCTGGAGGGATGGTTACTGAAGCCAAAAATGCTGGTTTGATAAATGCCTACCAGTTTCTATAGTATCAGTTTGTACAAAAACAGGCAAAATGTTATGACGAGCTTGAAAGCTATCATAACTGATGAATTAAGTGTCAATTATAATGTAATTTTACCTTTCTGTTTCAGATATATTGGTCGCTACCCATCGGCAGCAACAGCTACAGGAAACAAGAGCAAACATTTGTGGGAATTTGGTGAATTCATGAAACATGCCATGCAGATGAACTAAGTTACAACAACAGCAAAACTGTTACATTTACTGAAATAAGGAAATAGGAAATACACTATTTTTAACATTCACTACATAATTTTTGTATATATTCAATCATTAATGAAAAGAAAAGCTATAATTATGTCAATAATGAATTAGCTTTTATGACAAAATGATGGTTTATTATGTTTTATCTTTGGACTGAACCCTGTGGCTGACTGTTAGTTAAATTGGACTTATTTTTTTAGCGTTTGCAACATATTAAAAGGATATTTAATATTTGATCTGAATTAATACACATCCGAGTGATCATTCAGTATTGTGAGATTTGATTATGAATTATTCATATTTTTATTGCCTTACAGTGTTACTTTCTACTTTGTTATAATTGCACTGTGCGGTATTTTATCTCTCATTTAAGGAAATCTGTACAAGAACATCCAATCAAACATGTTGTAATATTTGGTGCACAGTAATTCGGAAGCTGTTGTAATTGAAAGGTCACATGATGATATTTAATGTATATTTCTGTATTGTCTCTATTGTGTAATATTATTAAAATTATCTAAATTATTAAAGCTTTTTTAACCAAATGGCAAACATAAGAATGAAACTTGTCCAGAATTTGTACTGTTATATGTGAGCATGATTTTTAAGAAATAGCATTATTATATTATGGGGTAAAAGTGATTTCTTGCGCATATGAATATTAAGTTAGTATATATTTTTCAGAATTACATATTTCAAGTAGTGCTTTATTAAATGGCAAAATGTCTAGAATATTTTTGTTTTGCATAATCTGGAAGTATAGAGGTATTGGTGTTTTAAAGTAGATACTATGTCATGTTTTTAGTTTTTGAATCCCTAAGGCAGTGCCTATTTGTTATTATTAAAAGTAAATGTTTCTGTCCCTTGTGTTGAGCATAATGCAGCATTAATGTTATTTAAGGTGAAATGTAGGATGAAGTTACACATAATTGTTTTTGTTTCTTTTTGGTCAGATTTTCGGTATCAAATGTTGATCATTCTATAAGTTTTTCCAAACTTTATTAAGGATCTGAGTTTTGAAGTACTCATCTTGTCTAGTAAATTCAAGTGTTATTTTTTTTAATATTTCCAAGCAGGCCTAGTAAATTAAAAGTTAAAATTTAATTAAATAATTGGTTTGAAATGCTTAATGTATCATTGCCATATTTCATATAATTTTGTACCGTTATGTGTCTTATAAGATTGAACTTTGTGGAAATCTATGATCTGCCCAAAAGATAACAAATTTGTTAAAAATATTCCAAGTAGGAGCTTATTTGATTTTTTTTTGCCAAGTTTTTGAAATGCACCAAATAATTGTAACATCAGATCATTCTTTTATATATTTTCATGGCTTTTATTATTTTATTTGTTTTATTTATTATTTTCTCTTGAGTTTTATTCATATCACAAGGCTATTTCCGAGTGAAATCAGTGACAATGACAAATTTCACTATTTCAGAGTGAAGTCACATTGAAGTATCTGATATGCAGTGATATTTTGTTTATTTTGTAAATTTCCTTATATACATCAACTTAGTGATTGGTGCCAAAACAGTCACAAATGACGGATTAAGATAATAAATGCCACATCTTTGGTACTAATCAAATTTGATACTAATAATAGGATCAGAAACAAGATGAATTCTTCATACTATTAAAGGCTGGTACAAGTACAGATGTGAAAAAGACTGTCAATAGTAGATAGTGGAATTCTTTCAGGCACACATTTAATCTGAGCTTGTAACCAACTCTTGTTTTGTAAATTGTAAATACAGTGATTGCTATTTATTGCAATTTTAGATAAAGACAATAAAAATTCTCTTCCATGTTACTTTTGTTTTGTTTAGTTTTTACATAAGGGCTGTATCCCAATATGTTAAATTTAACAAGAAGAAAAAGAAAATAAAAGGCTTTTCCCAGTTATTAGTGTTTTCTGTTCTAGGTGTTCTAGGCCTTTGTATTAAAGAATTATGTTCAGAATTATTTTATTTCCAGTCTGAGTTTCATAAAAAAGGGTCATTATCCTACACACATCTTCAACACATGATAAAGGTTTTCTTTGTTCACTTGACAATATTCTATATATCAATACATTTTAAAAATTTTCATGAAAATTGGCATGAATCTGGAGTAATGTTGCTTAAAATAATCAGTCAATAAAGGAATTCCACATTGGTAGATCACTTCTACAACTTCACCTGATAAGTTTGTCTAATTGATTTGTCGTCTGTTGAATTTGGAACAGTCCATACAAAGTTTAAGGGATATCAGTTTAAAATTACAAGCTCCCACCATACAGAGGCTGGTCAGACTGTACAGATGCGTATGCTGGCATGGCTGTATGCTGATGGCAAAAGCTAAACACTTCAATTCCAACAAGTTAAGAGTTTATTTTTCCCCTTAGTGAACTTAGAGCATTCCTGATTACTGTGTTGTGCCCTCTTCATATTTCAGACTAAGATTTGGTTTTAAATAATGACTAGATGTTAAATATAACTTTAGATGTGACTAATTGTCCTAGACTCATAACTCTAGCATGGATTGTCACTTAAGTTAGTTAAATATCTCAAACTTACATTTCAAAATGATCTGTGTGGGCTTGAAATTTGCTGAGCATGAACAAGACCAGTGCCATGAAGTTTTGCACAAAAACACAACCCTTGAGTGTAAAGGTATCTTTTTAGACTCATTTGTAGGTTTACTTTTGCTTTTTTTTTTAAAGGACCAGAAGATGGTTTGATACAAAGCCTTGATAATGTACAATCAATTTTGTGTAGGTAAGGACTAATTCAGTCATAATCCAGGTAATGTCTAGGATTAAATGCCAATAAAGAAAATGCATGTTGGTTATGGTGATCTTGGTCATTGTCAAGTGATTCCAAAGATTCATTTGAATATGTCCCATGGTTAACACACTTTAACTTTTACCAAATGTTATGCTGATGCCTAGGATAGCAACCCTATTCTTCAAGTGCAAAAACCATGCAGCTGGCTTTTATTTGTGGAGATTAGCTTAAGGTAGTACACCCCTAATGGGCCCTATAAGGAACTGTTAAATTGACAACATAGGACAGTTATATGCCTTAAATGTCATCTGTATGCAAAATTTAAACACAATTTACCGTGTGGTTTATGAGTTATGGACATATTTCTGAACTTAAACTTTGCCATTAGAAGGGCTTTTTTCAGAAATGAGGAAACTCAAAATAATCTATAATATCATCATTATGAAAAATGTTTTCCTAATGCCCATTGTTCAGAAACAAATAATGACATTTAGGTAACAAATTAAACAAGCAAAATGATTGTTTTTAAACGAAATGTTTTTAATATGTATAAAAATGTTACCCTACCCCACCCACTTTTAACACTTATTTGACCATTTCCATGTGTAAAAAGCCTTTTGTAAAATATCCCTAAAATTTTCCACAATGAGGGGCTGTTTTCAAAGTTTGCTTAAATTTTCTCTAATGTATATTGGTTGGTCTTACAAAATATAAAATACTTTTACCGTGTAGTTTTTATTTTATTAAACTTTGAAAATATCTGGTATCGTATTTGCTTTTAAATTTGGCATTATTTAATACATAGAATAATTAAAATGAATCACTTTTTTCTTCCATTAGGGATCTGAGAGATTAATTAAAAATGTTAAAAAGGAAAAAAAGAAATAAAACAAAAAGTTGCCCCAACTGGGGCTCGAACCCACGCCCCTCAGTTTCAATACGCTTTACAGTGATTCTAGCCTATTTGAATACTCTTCAAAGAGGAGATAGTGCATTAGGGGTGTACTACCTTAAGTCAAGATGCAAATGGTTGGATATTACAAATTTCTTTTTTTCCAAGCTTTTCACACTGTGAAAATATTAGTTTTTGTATTTATTAATTTTTTTTTTTTTGAAATATGACTTATATGTTGTATGCAAGAGAAAGAATCAAACACTGGGTGCACAGACAGGAATATTTAGCTCTGGAGCAACTGTTAGGCTGAAACTTGGTGAGCCTCCTTACAGCTGTAAATAATTTACTGCCAGCTAGATGTTCTAGTCTGTACTGGCAGTAGGTGCAGATTTTCATGCTACCAAACTCAGTCTTTGACTTGCATCAACAGCTTGGTTACTATAAAAAGTGTGTTTAAAGAATATAGAAACATAAACAAATAGTTTCTCATTTTCTCAGTGAGCCCAATCATTTCTATAAGCATCAATGAATGAATGAATGACAAAAATATAACCAAACACAACCATCAGTGTACTATTTTGACATTAAAGTTTAACCTTTTAAAACTCTCAACCTGGCATTGACATGTGACAAATTTTCCTTTGTCAAAAGGAATTTTGATGTTATTTTGAATTATTTAATTAATATATTAAATATATATTAAATAATTATTTAAAATAATTTTGATGTTCTTTCAAAATCCATTCATGGATGACCAATTGTTGACTGGATATAACCAGTGATGTACTTTTATGAAACTATAAACCTTAGAAGTCCTAGCGTAACCTTGATCTTTAAGCTACAAACTAATCACAAATTGTTTTAAAGAACCATAAATTTAAGCCAAGTTCTGAACCATCAATGCACTGTTATATCATGACTTGACACTAGTATGAAATTGACATTTAGGTTGCAGAGCTAAATTTTGTTCATTACACAATTATCATCTTGATAAGAAGCATATTTATGCCAAATAATTTCAAAGTGCTGATAATCCATGAATGTCAAAGCTATGCACAAAAGACAAACTATTCACAATCATGTTTGACATAAAAGTGTGACTGAACTGTAGACCTGACCTGTTCGATGATGCATCATGTGTTACACAGTATGCCAAATTGACCTTTGAGGTAGGAACCCGATTCATGCGCATGACACAGTCATTGTGTCCAACAAGTTTTATCATTTTCAAATCAATCCAGGAACGACAGAATTGTTGACCAGACATTTACATCAGTGTACTTTTTGTAACAATTTATATCATGAATTTTGATCTACAAGTGTAACCTCAACCTTTGAGCTAGGAACCAGATTCTTATGCTCAACACTGTCATTATGGCGAACACATTTAGGCATAATTTTTGAATCCTTCCAGGAATGACAATTGTTGACCGCAGAAGATCAGTGTACTTTATTATGGCCCGACCTATAAATGTGATCAGGAACTACGCAAATGTGGGTTTTTTCCCAGCTAATCTGTAGGTACAAAAAAACATTTTTATAGCTTCACAGTGCACTACCCTTCAAGAGATTAGTCAACATGTGCAATTATTTTCGAAGCTGTAACTTTTAAAAGTTCATACCTATCAATTGCCTAGGAAAAACCCAAGATACTCCAGACATTTATACAAAAAATATTTCAAATCCATCCATTAATGAGAAAGCTATGGAATGGACAAAGTTTGGACAGACGCTACAATAACTATATGCCCCATCCTTTTTAGAGGGGAATAAAAACATGGCTAAGGTCTACAAGGTATTAAGAGGAAGGGAATAGATTACACAATAGTTAAAGTTTCTTTTTATTTAAAAACAATTTATTGAATATTTAAAACATGTAATGAATTGATTAGTTCATAAAAATTCTACATTACGTACAAATTTAAAAATTCAGTTAGTGGAAAAAAAACAACCCAGAAAACCATGATTGTAATCTATGAGCATTAGAACAAAATGATATTTACAATGAAGTCAGTCTACGTGTAATCTTGAAAGAAAATTCGGAAAGCATTTACATGTAATTTTCACTTGTTCATAATTCTCAACTGTTCTTATTGATTAAAAAATCAAATTAAATATAAATTATGCACTTTTTACAATATCATATAGCTACTATAAGGCTCACTATTAAATAACGCACTAGAAAATCACAGTCTTGCATTGTAATTCACATTATTATAAAGTCCTAATCACTTTTTACTCTTGCTGGCTGAAGCTGATCCAGGTGTTTTTGTCTTTGCTGCTTTCAAAGATTTGGTTGTTTTCTTTGGTGTCTTCAGTGTTGCCTGAAAAGACAATCTCTGTTTTAATATTTTTACATGCAGTCCAATTAATTCATCATAGTGCAATATTTATCGTTATATTCTCATAATGCTACATAAGTTAGTAGAACAATATTTAACAAAGCAGTTACTGTAAAGTTGCAGTCAATTAGAAAAACGCCACTAACTTTTCTAACCATAACTCACAAACTTTTGCTACTGTAGCAGATAGTTAATGAGCATAAACTGATATAACTTTGTAAAAAATGAAATTTTAACAAAAACTATACAGGTACTCTGAACGGAAATTCATTTGAAATAGCAATTGCACTGCCACAATAAACAAATACAGGTATATGCATATATTGGTAAATACTATGTTGGAAAAAAAATGCAAGTTCTGTCTGGTTTTTCGAGAGTTAAGATTTTCTTGTACTCGCAAAAATTTGCAAGTGGAATCTTTGAAACCATAATAACAGAGTTATCTACCCTTGCCTATGAACAGATGTTGTGGTCAAAGAAATTTAAAACATATTGAAGTGTTCAGTGAAACAATTTATTAAGTACTTTACAAAGGTTAGATCTGGCATATTTTTGAGAACTTGAGTAGAAGAATTTTATAAGAGTGTATTTTTAATTTGAATCCTTTGTTGTAAGAATATTCATTTAAAATGCCTCAAATATATAAAGTTAATTGTAGCATGTATATAATTAAACTTGGAGAAATAAAATATATTTTAACTAAACTATTAAGTCAAACTATTCTCATAATTTTTATGCTACCCACTTGAAAAAGGCACCGACAAATTCATATACATGTATTTTACTTTTCTATAACTTTAAATACATGTACCTTAGCTGCTTTTGGTTTCTTTTCAACAAGTGTTTTCTTTGGTTTAGTTGGTGTTTTCTTGCCCGCTGTTTTCTTGACAACTTTCTTTGCTTTGTCTCCAGCTTTTGCCTTAGTAGGCGACTTCTTTACACCAGGCTTTTTTGCAACAGTCTTTTTTTCACCAGTTTTTGTTGCAGTTTTCTTTGCAGCAGTCTTCTGTAAATAAGGAAAATGTCAGCATCTTAACAAAGTTTTAGGTTTGGTCCAATTAAGATACAGTAGGACTGTCATTGAGGGAAAATTTTGTATGGATATCTCAAAAGCCAAATATCAACAATATATCAAATGAAATTGCTTGTACAGAGGAAACTATTTGAATATGTGTAATAGACTGTCATCTTGGTGTAATTCAAACATGTTTTATACATACAAACACAGCATACCAAAAGAAAGCATGTTTATTTGGTTTTATATCTTACAGATCCCTTGAAATTAAATCCACTGTTTAAACAAGAGCATCGCTAGGCGGAGCATTATATGCCCGAAAAATTTTTTTTTTAAAGTAAAGATGAAGCATTTGTAAGACATGGGAATTAAATAAAGTATTACCTCCTTCAAATAACAATCCTTGTATGAAGTTTGAATATTGTGGTCCAAATGGAACTTAAGTTATGCCCCGGGAACTGTTTTCAGTTTTAAGTTAATAGTGACCTTGACCTTGTGACCCCAAAATCAATAGGGGTCTTCTACCCAATATGGACAATCATCCTATGAAGTTCCCAATATGGACAATCATCCTATGAAGTTCCCAATATGGACAATCATCCTATGAAGTTCCCAATATGGACAATCATCCTATGAAGTTTGAATATTGTGGGCCAAATGGAACTTAAGTTATGCTCCGGAAACCAAATTGCTAACGACAGACGGACGAACGCCAGGGGGTATAACAGAATATGCCCAAAATTTGGGCATATAAAAAGGGAAGGTGGCTTTTCCCCTTTATACAAAATAGCAAAATGGTGATATTTCACTTAACATGATACATCAATATTGCATTATTAATCAACAGCCCTAAGATACCGGCCGCTAATGATAATATGAAAACTTTCAGACTTAATGGATTACTGGCGTAATTGTCTTGTGCTATTTCAAAACTTACAATCTCCCAAATTGTTGTCTTAGAATAGGTGTATAGCAGTTAAAATTTGTAACAATCATTCATGCCCTGATACAGAGCAAAACCATAAAAATACAGATGCTTAACAACATTCTTGTAAACTTTCAGGCCTACTGGTCAAATACTTTTTGAACTATGCATAAACAAGTTAAAAATTGAAAACTTATACTAAGTCAAGGGTTATACTAAGTCAAGGGTAATAACTCTTAACAAAACTGAACAAGAACCAGTTGAACTGGGTGATGTTCCCGGAGTAGGTTTTGGACACAGAAAAGTATACCTCTTGAAGTGTCGGAGTTATTTCTCTGACAAAGTTCAAAGTGTAAAAATGAACAAAGTTCAATAACTCCAAAATTAAGCAAGGCAGAGTTAAGGTTTTTTTGCACTGCTCTTCTATTTAATGAGATCAATCTACCTACAAACCTCTTATGGTTTCAGAGCTATGTCTCGGACAAAGTTCAAAGTGAAAAAATTACCAAAGGCCAATAACTCCAAGATTAGGCAAGGAAGAGTTAAAGCTCTTTTGCACTGCACTTCTACCAAAAAAGATCGATCTACCTACAAAGTTTCATGTTGATACCACTTGTTGTTTCAAAGTTATGTCCAGGACAATAGGGAATGGGCGTACGGACAAAATGGCGACTATATGCACACCCTTCGGGGTGCATCATTACTGCTAAATTCCCTGCCCCAAACCACAGACGCTTGGGTGTCAGGTCCTGCCCCCCAATGTGATATGCTCCTGTTAACTCTCTATCGAAACTATTTTAATATTTTAACATGAACAGGAGGACATCTGTTACAACGATAAATCTGGTTTTCAAACAATTTTTACATACATGAAAAAAATACCATATACCACAGTGATTTTTTTTCATGTATTTTACAGCCGAATAAAGGCTGTTTCTCCTAGCCCAAAATAGGTATATTTTCCCCTAAAAATGCTAATATTTTCCCCTAAAATGCCCTGTACACATTCTTCACCAGAACCATGACTTATCAGCATCTGATTAATATCATCTAGCAGATAAAGCTGTTACTATAGATAGCCTCTGCTATGTACCATGCATATTAAATTGAAATGAAATTGAAATTTTTATAAAATGTTGGGTTAATTCCATTTTCAGTTGTTGGTATTTGATTTCCCCTTTTCTGATTTATCGCGCTATATTTTCCCCTTCAGAAAGCCACAGGTTGTTTTGAAAATTGCAAAAAAAATCACTGTACCATCAAGTATCAAGAAAGTAAAGATTGAAGACTCCAAAATGTCAACAGTTTAACCAATATGTGACCTGAGACTAACATGATTGCGCTCTTGTTTCACTTTTTGAGCTGGGACTAAACACTATATAATTATCTCACAACTAAACTTGTATCAAATTCATCACTATCGGGAGACCAAATATGACCAAATTCAAATATTTATATTGTACATTATACAAAATAAAAAACTTGTGAAACAACACACTGTGCATCTTGGAAATAGTTTTATTACAAATTAATGTCTTTTAAACAAGGGCTTGCAGACAGCTGACTCGCGAGACATGACGAAAGAATGCTAGAGTAGTCGAAAGCATGTACCTGCTTGTCAAGCGCTCCAGGCAGACCCGATACTCTTCTTGAAATGCTTGGACAGATTGCAAAATTTAGTTTCGGTTTTAATTAAATATTGATTTTCATATTAAAATGTGATTTATAAATGTTTATTCTGATTGCAACTAGATGATAATTCCAAATTCTATCAATTTACACCGGAAAAGTCACAGAAAGCAGGGTTTTACATCTCTTTGAAATTCTAGGGGTCCAGTGAATGCACAGCCTAGAAAAGTAGGGGTCCAGGTCTAAATTTTAGGGGTCCAAAATTATATTCACTGTAAAAGACTATGAAGACCACTCAATTTTGCTCAAAATTATTTATTTACCCTTTAAGAAATATGTAATAGAAAGAGCACCGAAACACGAGGCTATCTGATTTGTACGAGGGGGCGTAGCCCCCGAGTATAAATCAGATTGCCGAGTGTTTTGGTGTTCTTTCTCTTTTGTATCATAGTCAAACATGACAGCACGTTCCCTGTTGTCATAATATGAAACCCCAGAAAAAAAATAACCAATGAACGAGCATTTGAATACAATAGTTCTGCCCCTTTCCCTTTCTCTGCCGTCACAATATGTAAACCCCGGCAAAAATGAACCAATCCACGGGCATTATCTGGAGTGCGGGTAACTGATACCCGCACTCCAGTTACCGCACTGTGCATGTATATGTATACGATTTAACTCTTACACTTTTTCAACAGAAAGGTACCCAAACTATGATACAAGCGTGTATATTGTACTGTTTTCATAATCAGTATCTGTTATCACTTTTTAAATTAGTTTGGTTTTTATTATAGCCCTTTACAATAATATCATGTGCTATTTCAAAGGCTTAGTCTTTGAGTGGCTGGAATGTCATGTTTTAGTAGCATATATTGTTATTGATAGGTGATTACACCAACAGACTGAAAACTGTACTAATCTATCTGTAAATATTTTAGCTGTACTAGTAAACACGCAATAGATATCTTTACAGACCAGTCAGCTAAATATGTTGCGTTTTTAAAAAATATAACACAAGGCCGCCGAAACCGCTTTTGCACCTCCTCATAAGTTAAGTTCGCCAAAACCATTATATTTATAACACCAACGATAATTACATACCCAGTGACTTAATTTCTATAACACTATGAAAATAAGTTTGCAAAAACCACAGCCTTTTTTATTATACAAAATACGAACCGGTAGATTGACATTGGATACGTTAAACAATAGTAATTGCCTGTTATAAATAGTCTGTCTAAATATAGCCACAGAAAAACCAAAAACAGCTACCTAAAATAGTTTTACGGTAAACGTCATCAGTTACTGTAGGCTGTAGCTTGCACGGTAAACATCAGTTTCTGCAGCGGGCACTTGCCAATAGCATGCGCAGTAGATTTCAATTATGTTAACTTCCGAAATGAACAAATACAAGCATTTTCTGCTCGCTATATAAGATTTTAACTGGAATTTTGCGAGCTTCGAGAAGAAAGAGATAAAATCATATCGGGTCAGAAACAATAATATCTATTGTCTAGGATTATTTTTGTGCGTACACTTGGACGCAAGTGGATAACTTGCATGCGTACTGGTTGGGGACCATCAAAACCTGACAACCACCAAGCCTGGACAGCCCCGAAAATGCTTAATTTAGTTTTTTTTCTTTGTTCATTGATTGTCGGTCTATCAGACATTTTTTTTCAGAACAGTAACTGCATGTTTCTTCTATAAATAAGTAATTAAATTTTGTCTATTTCAAGAATGCTGGTGTTGAAAATTTGGGCTTTAAGAGTGCAATACCTGACCTGATATACCAGCTATAATCATTTGCAGAGTAAACAATAAAATATCCAAAACTTTAGCATTTGCTGCTGAAATATTGTTTATCATGTTAAAAATGAAAAATTAAAATACCAAAGCATTTAACAGAATTAAATCACATCATGTACATATCTGTCTGGACACATGGTACTGTAGTGTAGACAATTAAGGTAATTTTGATACCCTCCTTGACGAGCCTCAGATACAAGCGTCAATGTAATCAGAAATAAACAAACTAGTTTGTTAGTTAGGAGAAGAACCTAGCTGAACCGTGTCAAATTTTCAGGTCTCTAGGTTTGAAATTATGAAATTTGTATGAAAAAATGTTGAAAAAATGTCCGGTTTATGGTCTCCAACCAAAACATGTCAAAATTTATGCGTATATATAGGGGCGCAGAATTCTGCGTCTCATAAAACCCTGCAGAAAGGTTTATTTAATAATGATTTATAAGGTTTTATTAGTTTAGGGAATTCGTATGTACATTTTGGAGTCTGCAATCTTTACATTATAGAGATTTGATGGTAAACAGTATTTTTTCATATATGTAAAAATTGTTTGAAAACCAGTTTTATCGTTGTAACAGGTGTCCCATTCGTGTTTAAATATTAAAATATTTTTGATACAGGGGTGTATCACGTTGGGGCAGGATCTGACCCCCAAGCGTCTGTGCCCCAAGAAGAACAGCTAGCATGTTCCCTGCTGGACTGACACAAAGCTTCATGTGCCCAGCAGAGCTGACAGGTAAATAACTAAACTTCTAGGAATTACAACCGGCTAGTAAAGTCTGTGAAATTTAGAGGAAAACACCCCTGGAAATATATCGCATAAAAATGTATCACAGTGATTTGTAAACATACCTTTTCTTTCGCTTCCTTTTCTTTCAGTTTCTTTTTCTTTTCCTTTTCTTTTTCTTCATTAGTGGCCTTAGCTTTATCGACTTTAAATCTTCCTGTGTATCCTTTGGCATCTGAATTTTTCGGTCTTGCCAAAGTGCCATTCTCCAAACCTTTTGCTAGCGCTGGTTTCAAATGTATTCTCACGGTGTCTCCGTCAATGGCGTATTTCCCAGCGATATACGACTGAATTGACGGAACAGTTGATCCTTTCTTGTCACTCAAAGAAGTTATTGCTTCCTTTGCCATTTCTAAATATGTTGGATGAGTTTTTGTGCTGGGCTTCTTAGCCACCGCTGTGCCTTCGTTTGCCGCCATTTTTTTTTTTAATAAACACGTTACTAGCTCTATGTCAAACAAAATGAAACTCCCGCGTAAAGGTCGTGCGCACGCGGTAATATAAGCAACGCGCGAACCGTTAAGAAGACATGTGAGGTTCGGCTAGGGTATTTGAAAATGCTCTTGGTCATTCTAACAACACAAATGTTTTTGGTATTTCCCTTCGGATTTTTCAATTACCAAATTATCTTAGGGTACTTTTTTGTACATTTTAACGCAGACATAACTTAGTAATCCAGAAAGTTGTATTACAAAGAGAAAAAAAAATATGATTCATGGACGAGGTAATGCATATCCCACAAGCAGTCGGGCATTTTACTAGTTTTCCGGTGGCAGGGTTCGTGGGAGAAAGGTGGGGTCATGAGTATTGGCATCTGGGGCCGCAGATACAAAATTGCAAAAATGATAATCATATTACTTTACTAAAAATTGTACACTAATAAACTTAAACTCAAAATATCAGAATACATAATGTACATTATTCAGTAATAATAAGTAAAAACGTATAGAAAGAAATTCCATTTATAACCCTTGTCTCGACCTATTTACATAATGTTTGACCAATGTATACACACCACTCTCTCAAATATCGTGAGTGAGCAGCCTTGTAATTACTAATGTTATGAATTTTCGTGACTTTCGTGCTAAACCTGTAGAAATAATGTACACGTAAATGTCAAATTTATATGTGCACTCTGTTTAAAATATAACATTTTTGTCGAAAAGATGTGCCACATTATTAGATAAACTAGAGCTACTGTGTAATGTTTATAGGAATGTAAGTGAGGCATCTCCATTGTTACGACAGATTGCGATTGTCAATGAACTATTTAACAAGTTCACGTCTTTATTGTAACTAATTCAACTAATAACTTGTATAATATTTCATATAATATTTTATTGTACTAATATACACACAATATACAATTTCATAATCGTACCTTCTAATGAGAAGAAAGATGAAGCTCACATTGAACTTCACCTAAAAGTTTGAAGCACTATTATTTCTTTTTAATTCTACGTCAGCATATGTGACAATATACCAGCTCCTACACGTAGTACGTGTAAAATGAAAATGGAATTATTTTGAGATTAATGTTCCATTTTATGTAGGTCTAGACCAATAACTTGTGTGCAAAAGCTCATATCATTCGCTCACTCCGTATTTCCAGAATAATTATTTTAACTGTGAAAATTGGCTAAAAAATGGAAAATTGTTACAACGCTTTTCACTCAAATAGAGCAAAGAATAACACAAAAATACAATTTTTATTTATTTCTGAGTGTATTCTCTTAATTATCTTTTGCGTATCAGCTGATCTGTATAAGAAAGTCATTTTATATGCTTTTGGGCCTCAGTGGAGTTCCTTTATGCAGAATGTTATTTTTATCTCTTTCTCTATAAATAATATAATTATATACATTTCTAGTGAGACTTCGGAAAATCTATCTATTTTTTTTTCTTTTTAGTTCATCAGAACGAGCTATTAGTATCAAAGGGGGATACTCCGTCGTCGTGCGTCAACAATCATCTTCTTCCCTGAAATTGATGGGCAGATTTACCGTAGCATCCTTGTGACAGTAACACTTAAATTTGCTCATGTCATTTCAAGTGGGCCCTTTTAGTTTAAAAATATTTTATTGAATTAAATACATGTATACAAACATATTATACAAATAATGAGTATATATCAAAATGCAAATGGGTTGGGCAACAGAGCTAAATTGGGCTCTTTAAGGGGTCAACAGAGCTAAAAATGAAAAAAAAAGCCTTTAAACATCTTCTACTACTAAATTAAATGATGGATGATCACCAAAATTTGTCTGTAGCATTCTTAGGTAGTCTTGTATCATATTTGCTCATTTTAATTTGATTGACCCCTTTTAGGGGTCTCTAGAACTAAAAATAGAGAAAAAAAACATTTAGATATCTGATTCTACAGAACTAATTGATGTATGATCGACAAAATTTGTCTGTAGCATTCTTAGGTGGTGTTTTATCAAGTTTGCTCATATTAATTTGATCTTTTAGGGGCCACTAAAGCTAAAGAAGAAATACCTTCGAACGTCTCTTTCTACAGAACTAATTGATGGATGATCACCAAATTTTGTCTGTAGCATTCTTAGGTAGTGCTTTATCAAGTTTGTCATATTAATTTGATTGGCCCATTTTAGGGGCCGCTAAAGCTAACAATAGAAAAAACATTTTAACATCATCTCCTACTGAATAATCGGTGGGTGATCACCAAATTTTGTCTGTAGCATTCTTAGGTAGTGTTTTGTCAAGTTTGCTCATATTAATTTGATTGGCCCCTAAAGGGACCGCTAAAGCTAAAAATAGAAATACATTTAAACGTCTGCTTCTACAGAACTAACAAATGGCTGATCACCAAAATTTGTCTGTAGCATTCTTAGGCAGTCTTTTATCAAGTTAGCTCATATTGATTTGATTGGCTCCTTTCAGGGGCCGCTAAAGCTGAAAATAGAAAAAACCTTTGAACATCGATCATCTCCAACTGAAATTATTGATGGATGATCACCAAACTTTGTAGCATTAGTAGGTAGTCTTAAATTATCATGTTTGCTCATATTAATTTGATTGGCTCCTTGTAGGGGGCGCTAAAGCTAAAAGTAGAAAAACCTTTGAACATCATCTTCTACTGACATAATTGATGGATGATCACCAAATTTTGGCTGTAGCATTCTTAGGTAGTGTTTTATCAAATTTGATTGGCCGCTTTTAGTGGCCGCTAAAGCTAAAAATAGAAATACCTTTAAACGTCTGCTTCTACAGAACTAATTGATAGATGATCGCCAAACTTTGTCTGTAGCATTCTTAGGTAGTCTTTTATCTTTTACTGAAAAGCAGTTGTTTCTGGTGAGCGACTCAGGGCCATTATGGCCCTCTTGTTCAATTATTAGCTGAAATTACAGAATGATACACAAAAAGTAGTAACTATTGAATGTTTTATGTAATTGATCCGTAATTACGTTGATGATTGTTTATGTCATCTCTTCAGTACATTATGAAGCTTAACTGCAATTTTGGTCGGCGATTATTTTGTTTAAAGCCAATTTAATCTCAATATATATTTTTAACAATAAAGGTTTGTTTGAATGTTAAACATCGTTGTGCTGTCATATTTCGTGAAAACATTATGTTTTGTGATACTTTCTTTTGTAAGTATACTTTAATTGGCACCCACAACAGTGAACGATTTCCTCTTCCACTTTTTCAATACTGTATAGACTAAAACAATCGATGCATGTCATCAGTTTTAAAGTAAAATTGAAAAATGCACATTATACAAGCTGCTAATAAATACTGTACAGTAGCCATTTATTCAATTTCCATAAAAAAATCTGGCAGCGGTGGGATTCGAACCCACGCCTCCGAAGAGACTGGTGCCTTAAACCAGCGCCTTAGACCGCTCGGCCACGCTACCACATGAAGTTAGAGAGGTATATACATTTGTTTTGTAAATAATCAATATAATATTTACGCTGAATCCCTATGTTTTCAAGTATGCTCGGTTTAATTAGGACGGAGCAAGGGAACCAGTCCCAAATTCATTTTCAACTTCCGCTAGACGACAAAAATGTTTGCCTGCGCTTGTAGGGCTATTTTAAGGGCACATTCTCTTATAGAGAATAATAATCAAAGGTTCTTGTCTTCAGTATACACAAGCAAAATATCCCTGACAAATCTCTATTCTAAAAAACAGGAAGAGGGACCTGTAAAGCTGAAGGTTAGTTAAAACTTGATACTTTTTCGGATAAGGAACTTTTGGATATATGTGTATTTATATAATAAAAAGCCCGAAAGCGTACACTTTGTTGGGCTACCCTCATTCTGTGAATCTTTCTAGTGTAAATATTATTTCAACAACAAATAAACTTTTTTGTAAATTTTCCTTTTTTTGGATAAAATATTGAACTCCTGACAACTTGAAGAATATTTTTGAAACATATACTCGGTTCCTATGATATCAAGGGTTCTATGATATCAAGGTATTTAAATTTTCTGTGACTGCTAGTAAAAGCAACACACGATGATGCTAATTTTTGTAAAACTTGCACACTAGATTCATTTTCATCTGCCAATAAATTTAATTTGGTGAATAATGAATGTAGATTTCTATTTGTGGCAAGAAAACTATTTTATAAAATCTTCATATTTGACTACCATTTTCCTTAATGGTTTTTACACAGTCAATTAAAATATGTTATAAACACATATACTGACATATAGTCTGTTCATAAAGTTTTAATTTTATAGCAAGTTAACTGATGGAAGTTTTTCACAACTTAACCTGAAAGTTTTGACCCATCAATCCTTCCATACTTGCTTTTTTTGGGGATTACCTTGATACCGTAGTAACCTCCTCTGAAATGACCCAAAATGGCAGGCATTGAAAATATTCTAAATAATGTCATTTTTATTGGTTCTTTTGAAATAATTTTTTGAGAAACAGTTCTGGAAAAGGTTCATTTATAAGAAGGTTAGAAAAATCTCATTCATTTATGATATTTATATTTAAATATTTTCCGATAAATGTTAAGTACCTTGATATCATAGAACCCCGGGCTATATCATGAAAGACAATTCACAGTTAACTTACAACATTTTATCTATTAGCCACAGAAAATTGATCAGCAACATTTTGCGTCAAGTTTTTTAGTGCTTTATTTGTTCTCAAGGTTGATAACATACAAGTAATAGATGAAGATACTGATGTGGAAAAATTTAGCGGAGTCATACCTTTAGGTAAGTCTTATGTTACCTTTATATTTTCCAATGTACCAGTTAATTATAGGCTGTCACAATATATCACATATCCATCTTGAGGAACTGAAAATGTTTAAGAAAAGAGGAATCTGTTGATACGGAATCACTTCTTTGCTTGTAATCAAGAACTTTTCTGGTTGAAACATTTGAATGGTCATTTATATAAATGCAAATATGGAATTGTACTGAAAATATAGTTGACCAAAAAATTAATTTTTGGTACATTTATTGCATTCATTATTTATCAGCAAATTGCTTTTCACTTGTCTGAAAATGCCATAAATATCAACTTTATACATGTAAAGTAACAAATAATGTTACTTTAAAAAAAATATTTTCAGATAAAATACAGATACAGTATAGTCGATCTAGTGGTCCTGGAGGACAAAATGTTAATAAAGGTATACAATTATATTTATAAAATCTTCAATTGTAAAACTGCTGGAACTGAAAGTTATTACCTTTTGCCACCAGTCCAGTATAGAGCCAGACCAGCCTGAACATCCATGCTCAAGTCTATTCTATTGGTAGCTTAGTTTTCATGCCCTTAGCCATAAAGTGTAAATGAGGTGGAGGGGGCAGATAGTGTTGCCTTTGTATGTACATGTGTGTGTATACTTTGTGACTTGTCCATAACTTCTGCATGCATGAATTGATGGAATATTAAATTTGAATTTGTACACATGACAACCATAAGTAGGCAATGTTTTTTTTTTAGACCCAAGTTCAAAGCCTCAAAGGTCAAGTTTTTCAGAAAGGAACTGAATGAACTTACTTACTAAGTATATTTTAAAAGTCAGTTGGAGTTTTTTCGTCAAGCCCATATTAAATTTCAAAATGCACATGACCATCAGAAGTAGATGATGTGATATTTAAATCTCTTAGACTTTGAAAAAACTTTTCCAAATAATTCAAGGCATGGCATAGCCATCATTTACACTGCTGTTGAGGAGGTAAAGGAGAAGACAGAAATCTATGATCTGGTCTGAATATTTATATTTTTTGTCTCATCGTCTGACTGCTTATTCATCCATCCACCAGTCCTTCTTTTTGTTCAGTTCATGAATTTGTCATTATTGATGGTGTTTGAAGTTATTTTGCTTAAATGTGTGGCACATTGAGATATGGAGATAATGTATCACATTCAAGACCCAGGTTTGTATGTCAGAGGTCAAGGTCACACTAAGACTTAATGGTAATTTTCATAAAAGTGCATTGATAATTTTGTATGGTCAACATTTTGACATGGTGATGATGTGTCACATTTAAGAATCCAGTCTCCATCACAAAGGTCAAGGTCAATTTTTGTATCCAAAGTCGTGATATGATTGTAAATAGATGGTATTGTTTTTAACTTATATTTGTTAATATTGAATACATTTGTGGCACATTGAGACTGTGTTGCATGCAGGATTCACATTTGCCACCATTAATTTGAAAGGAATTTGATTTTTAAAATTGGTTGTTCTTGTCAACAATTTTATCATTCAAGAATTGATTTTGAAATAATAGTTTTGTTAAGTTAAATGACATTATTGTTTATTGCCTCCAAGAAAGAAAACAATTGATTTTTATCAGATTGGACATGATAGCTTCTGTCCAACATTCAATCATTTTATTTTAGTTATTCTTACTAAATATTTTTTAATTGGACATAAACCTGAGAGTTTTTATCTGTTTAATCTAATAATTATCATATTTTGTTTTTACAGTTAATTCTAAAGTATTCGTAAGATTTAATGTAGATGATGCAGACTGGATACCAGACTGGGTTAAACCAAAGATTAAAGAACAGGTAATAACATACTGTTTTTATGATATTTATATGAATCAATAATATTGCCCCTCTTTAATACATGTTTAATGTAATTGTTTCTAGAAAATTAGGCAGACAATTTCATACCTGTCCCTGTATCTTTTTTGAGACTACAGTTAAGGTGGAGGTATTGACGTGGGACCTAGATATAAAATTTTCCATTTATAATCAATTTTGCTGTATCATGAGTGTAAAAAAGAAATGTTACTCAATAATCTTTTTTAAAAACTTATCAGTTATTTTTGTATTTATTTGTTTATGTTATGAAACATGATATTGTGGGGCTTGTGCAGAAATTATACAATTTCTCTGGTGAATATAGCAGATTAATATGAATTGTAAACATTGTATACTTGTAAGGTGGGATCAGTGCAGGCAAAGACACTTGCATACATGTTTCTGTAGAAAGTTTATAATAAGTATTTATAGAATATAATATTTAATATATATATTATAAAAACAGTGCAATGGCTGCCCTATTTCATGTATATTTTTCTGGTATCTTTATTTATAATATATTGAATTATTTATATATATTGAACTTTTTGCTATGTAATAATGTACATTTTTTCCCAAGCAAATTTAATGCATAAAAAAACCAGGCATGTGAACATATTTTACTTTACAATTACAGCAAGCAAATAAAATAACGAAAAATGGAGATTTTATAGTGACTTCAGAAAAGACAAGAAAACAGATATTAAACCAAGCAGACTGTTTGGACAAAATTAGACACATGATATTCCAGGCATCTATACTTCCTAAAGAACTTACTCCAGAACAAAAAGCTGTAATAGAGAAAAGGTATAACTTGACTGTTTGTTTTGGAATGGTTGTAACAAATAAGAAAACAGAAGGTTATTAACTTATAGAACACGAAGGAGGGCCAAACAACTTATAGAACACGAAGGAGGGCCAAACTCTCTTAATTTTGTTTTAATTGGTCATTTGAACTAAGAGTTGATATGTAGGACTTTATCAACAGATCTGTATTTCAATAAATCAATTTGTAAGTTGTAACAAATTACAACCCATGTTCTTTGTAGGTCAATGTACCTATACTAAATTTACTAGGCATTTATATTTCATAAATACGAGGTATGATCAAAAACTTTTCGGCCCGATATACTTCTAGCCACTACACTGACATTTACACACAATAAGTTGATACTGATATCTTATTGAAGATTACTGACTGAGTTACACATGATTTTACACAGATTAAGTGACGTAAAACACACTTTGATCAGTAGAGGGGTGTGTCATTTAGACCAAATGGAGAAAGTGGAAAGAGTCCCCTTCCTATAGCACTGTGAAATAATGGGCTGCTGAATTTAAGAGGGGCAGGGAGAGCTTTGGAGATGATGGGCGGCCAAAAGATGCCACCAACGATGAAACTGCCGAAGCTGTGCACAATCTGGTGATGTGAGACAGAAGGCGACACCTGCGAAGCATTGCTAGGGAAGTGGGTAAAAGCTTTGGTTCAGATCAGGCAATTCTGACTTATGTCTATGGCATGTCAAAGGTTTCTGCTAGATGGGTCCCCAGACAGTTGACTGAGGTCCAGAAACGGACCAGGCTTGACATTCAAGATGTCTTTTGTCTCGCTACGAGATGAACCTGATTTTATCTTCCAGATCGTAACTTAGGATGAAACAAGGGTCCATTACTTTGATCCAAAATCCAAAAAACAGAGCATGGAGTGGAAGCACCCTGGCTCACCCCCTCCGAAGAAATTCAAGAGGATGCCATCAGCAGGGAAGATGATGGCTTCAGTTTTTAGCTCACCTGTCACAAAGTGACATGGTGAGCTTTTGTGATCACTTTTCATCTGTTTTCCGTAAACTTTTACTTTAAACCACATCTCCTCATAAACCACTAAAACTTCACAGGAATGGTCCTTTGGTGGTCACCTTTAAAAATTGTTCAAAGAATTTAATTCCATGCCTAGCTCTGGTTGCCATGGCAACCGAAAGAAAAAACTTAAAATATCTTCATTTAAAAAACCCAAAGAGGTAGAGCTTAGATATTTGGAAACATCTTCAGTGAGTGTACCAAGTTTGTTCAAATAAAAGCTCTAGGGTCAAAATTGACCCCGCCCCAGGGGGTAATTGGTTTTCCTTTTATGTATATAGTAAAAACTTAAAAAATCTTCTTTTGAAAAACCGAAAGAGGTAGAGCTTTAATATTTGGCATGAAATATCTTCTAGTGAGTGTCTACCAAGTTTGTTCAAATAAAAGCCCTGGGATTAAAATTGACCCCGGGGATACTGATTTTCCTTATATGTCTATAGTAAAAACTTAAAAAATCTTCTTTTAAATAACTCATAGAGCTAAAGCTTAGATATTAAGCATGAAACATCTTCTAGTGAGGGTCTACCAAATTTGTTCAAATAAAAGCCCCAGGGTTCAATTTTGGCCTGCTCTGGGGGTCTGATTTTCCTTTTATGTCTATAGTTAATACTTAAAAAATCTTCTTTTAAAAACCCCAAAGAGCTAGAGCTTAGATATTTATCATAAAACATCTTCTAATGGGTGTCTACCAAGTTTGTTAAAAAAGAAGCCTCTGGCTTAAAATTAGCCCCGCCCCAAGGGCCTATATACAGGTGAGCGATTTCAGGGCCATCATGGCCCTCTTGTTTTGGATAGTCGGGGGATAATCATGATTGACTATCTTGAGCAAGGTCATACCATGAACAGTACGTACTATGCAGACAAATTAAGACTTCTGCATCAAGAAATCGGGCGTAAAATGGAGGGGCAAACTGACTCAAGGCCTTCTGCTCCGGTAAGACAATGCGCCAGCTCACACATCCCAAGTTGTGATGGCTGCTGCAACTGACTGCGGCTTTAAGATTGATTCTTCCCCATCCCCTATATTCTCCAGATTTAGCCCCCTCTGACTTCTACCTGTTTCCGAAACTGAAAACCAAGCTTCGTGGTAGACCTTTTTGAAGCAATGAAGGTGTCATGGAGGCGGTCAGTAAGTTCTTTGGGGACCAAAATAGAGAGTTCTATTTTTAAGGGTTAAACAAGTAGGAGCATAGGCAGTGATTTTCTTGCTTATTTAACAGACTCCGATAAAAATCACTGATAGGTGGGCAAAGTGCATTGATGTATAGGAAGATTATATTTAAAAGTAAGACCATTAGTTGGGTTTTCTGACTCCTGGAAGTACATCGGGCCAAGGACTTTTTGATCAATCCTTGTACATGTACCATTTTGTTCTTCTTGTATAAATAAGTTAACTATTGTGTGTGTTTTTGAAAAAAAAAATCATTCTTTATGTCTGAGAATTAGTATTAAGTATCTCATTTGCATAGACCATTACTAAATTAGCATGAACTTCTTTGTCAAAGCATGTGAGATTTTTCAAGGCATATCCGAGAAACCTTTATGACATTGACAGGTGTATCCTGCTAGCAAATGGAATAACATAGAGGCAGCAGAGGTATTTCTTTACAAAAAAAGGAACAAGTCAAAGTTATGACTTGAGAGCCAATCAAAATTCAAAATATTTTTAAAAACAACAATGTTAATATTGAAATTATTTTCAAAGAAAGTATCATAAAAACTTTAAATAAAACTACAATTTATTTTCAGGGAAAGAGCAGCTAATGAGAAAAGAATACAGGAAAAAAAGCGACGATCATTACTGAAACGGTCACGAAGTATGTCTGTTCTGGAATAATTTTTTGTATTTTTTATATGTCATTAATTAAATATCAAATTGATTTAATATTGTGTTTGTTTTTTGTGTCCATTGACATTAAAATACAATTTCCATTTTTAACTTTGGCAAGACTCCATTGACCCTTATCCGACTAAAGTTGAAAGTGTAAATTGCCTTTACCACCAGTATAGCCTGGCCAGCCTGCACTACCATACAGTATGATTGTGCTCTAATTTCTTGGCTGACTAAAGTTAAATTTTTATGTTGTTATTCTCAAAATTGATAATGGACTTTATCACATATCCGTAACTCCATAAAAATGGTATTGCACATCCATACATATATTTTTACAAGACGTCATTTGTAGTGGCGTAGCTTCTATTAGGCCATATAGTCACGAACCTACAAGTTGGTCAAGAAATTAACATTTTCAAAAGTCCCAAAAATACAATAAAACAAGCGAGAGTGGAGTTGGTGAGTTCAAGCGGTATAGTTGAATCAAGTGTGTGCGCATGATTTACCATCCTCAGTAAAGTATGCATCTAATCAAATTCATAGTTTAAAATTATTGTTTTGATAATTTTCCTTGAACATACTTTGGAACATGCATTTTGCTATTTTTAATCTGAACTTGTTTTTGGTTTCCGGGGGCTAAGCCCCCAGACCCCCTTTTATGTACCTACAAGTTGAAAAAAGCTGGCTTCGCTCCTGATTTGCATTATATAAACATAGCGTAAAGACATGCTAAAGATAGTATTACACTATGAGCACGTCAATGAAAAACTGGTTCTTTTTTACTGTGAAAAGTTCTTATTTTGAATATGTTATAAATAGAATATTCATGTAGATTCATTACTAAATTTATTGAACTCGAATAAAATAATATTAAGATCGCTAAAGGCTGGCATAATATAATTTTATTCAACTCATTCAATAAAGTTAGTATTGAACCTACTCTCATTCAATATCCTTTATGTGCCATAAATACAATGTAGTGATAGTCACTTTCAGTAAATGGAGGCATTCCCAATGTCAAGACATGGTTTTTCCCCATTAAGAAGCATATACATTGTAACTTCCAATCCTTTGCATTTATAACGGTGTTGCTTTTCTTTGAAAAGCATTTTTAGAATGGAATCCCTTGAAATACTTCCATAAGAAAATTTAAATACAAAGGGTGGTAACATGAAGCTATTCTTGTACTTAGTTTTTAGCTGGGAGCTGTCCTACTTGCCCCGGCGTCAGCATCCAGATTTCAAATCAAAGTTTTGGTGCAGTAAAATATTTTTCACTATAACTTTTTCATTTCTTAATGTATCAACTTCAAATCATCAACCACATCTTATGTGACAAGATTCATAACTCTAGCACCAATATTTTCAGATTCATCTCCCCTTGAACTTAGAATTTTCCTTAAAAAATACTATTTTTTTACCGTTACTTCTTTATTTCTTAAGGGATCAACTTCATACTTCAAATATATGTTCCTTATCATAAACCACATGTTATGTGACAAGGTTCAATACTCTAGCACCAATATCGCAAGAATTATCTCCCCGATTTTTTTACTTGAAAAATGTTATTTTTGACTATAATTTCTTTAGTTTTTAAAGGTATCTACCTCAAACTTCAAATACTTATTCCTTATCATCAATTACATCTTATGTGACAAGGGTCATAACTCTTGAAGCAATATTTTTAGATTTATCTCTCTTTGAACTTAGGATTTTCTTTAAGAAATATTATAACTTCTTTACTTTTCAAGGTATCTACTGCAAATATATATTTCTTATTACACACGTTGTGTGACAAGGTTTATTACTCTAGTGTGACTATTTCCAGAATTACTCCCCTTGAACTTTATGTAAACAAATGTTATTTTTTACTATAACTTAATACATAATTAAACATAATTGATTTTTCTTTCATAGTTTTGTCTTCCTTACTGCATCCAGTATTTTATTGTTCAGAGCACATCTACACACATTGAGGAATTTTAATGAAACTTCATAGAAATGTTTACCACTATGTGAAGCTGTGTAGCACATATAAACCAGCTCTAGGTCAAAGGTCACTTAGAGGTTATTGAAAAATGCTTGTCCAGAGCAAAATTACATGCGTGCAAAATTCAAATGCCTGTGGCCAAGGTCACAAATAGGTATCAAAGTTCAGATAAAAATGTGTATTCAGACCATATAGTCATCATTTATTGAGGGATTGAAACACAGATGATCATTTTTATGAATACCATTGTGAAGCTAAGTATTTCGCACATAATTCAGGTCCCTGCTACCAAAGTCAAGATCACATCGAGAGGTCAAAGTTTGTGTACGGTGACCATTTAGTCATCATTCGTTGATGGATTGTAACACGAATGATAACTATCATGACACATGTAATTTAGGTTATTTGCAAAATCACTAGAGATGATAAAATATCAAGATATTGCCCACAGCATATGTTTTATACCAACATCTCTGACAAAAACTTTTGTGACAGGCGTATTTTGCGACAATGTTGCCCTTGACTTGTTGACATATATGTTGTGCTGAAATTCTTGTAATCCTCTTAGCTGATAATTTAATTTATTTATATTAGGACAGATATGGGTCATGTAAGTGATAGTGAAAATAGGAGATAAATACAGGTCCCTGATTGTCTCAGGTCCACATTATAAAAACACAAAGCATAACAGATTGTTGATATTTATTTGTGTTCTTTTTCGCTCATAATAAAACAGACAGACAGACAAACAGACAGACTATGTAAGTGAGAAGGATGTAACAGACAGGTGAGATTGGTACAAGAGGAAAACTTTATAGAGAGAAAATGTAAATAGAAACACTAGAGCAAACATTCACTGATTTAGAACATCAAAAGATTATATATAGTAGTATATATATCAAACATAACCATTCACTCATCACAATAAAATACATCATTTCAATATTCAATTATTATAACTCTTCAAATCCAACTTGAAAAGTTTGAATGTAACATGCCTTCAAGCTAAATTAGTGCAAAAAGCAACTGTATGACATGCACAAATACAATAGATTTATATACAAGTCAGTACGATATGAAAAATTGTTAATATGTAATATTTTGTTATGGTTGAATATAAAGTTAGGAGGTACATGTATATAACAAAAGTATTATTTTATAAGTATCTTGATCTATTACTTCAATTTTGCTTTAACATAATTTTATTCAAACAGACCACATTGCATGTCTTCTGAGATCCTACCCTGAAAAAATCTAGTCTAATGCAAGTTTCAAATAATGATATTCCTATAATCCAAATGTGTTTGGAGTTTACTGCAAAAAATGTAACAAATGCTGTCTCTTAATTCAATATTATATGCATATATAAACACATGGGTAAAACCATTGACCTCCCTGAACTAGACACCAGATTTTTTTATGGTAACAGATTAATGCTGCCAGTTTGTGCATTTTGGACAGCATGCACACCTGTTCTGTTTTATTAGGCATGATACTTTTAGCCTTTATTCAGCATTAAATCACTGAAGTCTTAAAACTGCTATCAGATAGGTCTAAATGTACAAAAGATGAATAACAGAGCGAAAATGATGATCTGAATTTAATGAGATCGACTTATAACTGTGCTGGATGAAAACTTTAAATGTAGGTTATTAAATTACTAAGTGTATATTTACTTCAATAACATAATTTACCAAAATTTACAAAGCAAAACTGTTATATATAAATATATACATTAAGCACTGAATGGTTAAAACAATTCAAAAGCACTCGCACAAAATAAAATACCAGTATTGTCAAACCATGAAAACATAAAAATGTCCAGGTCAAACAGTATTTCACAATTATTACACGTTATCACATATAAGAGATGAACACAAAACAATTTACAAAAAAATAGTAGAAAAAAAAGAAGAGGAGACAATTTGAACACATGATCACTGGTGGTTGTTGGCCTATAATAAGTATAACTTGATACTGAAGGCTAATGGTAAGACTAAGTTTAAAGAATGTTTAACAAGTTTATATATCTTTAAATGATCATATTTCATGCTTCAAAGTGCATTTACTATTGATTCTTTATATCTATCAACACAGAAACGGTACCTATGAACTTGATATGTAGGAATTCAATTGTTTATATAACATCAAGTCTTAAAATGTATGTTACTTCGTTTTATTTTCTTGTCTTTAAAGATATTTTTGTTCTTTTTTGTTCATCTGTTACTAGAAATAATTCCTTTTTGCTCATCATACAAATGCTTTTAAAATCACCTGGTATGATCTAGTTGACTTTACACACTATAAAGCTCCGACAGACAAAAATATACTATGATAATTAATTACCAGTCTCTGTTAATTTCATTTACATCAAAGTTAACAAGCCCTTTAAAAGGCGATTCCTATGACTTGAGAAAAACTGCATAAATGACTGTGATGGGTTAACAAGAACAGCGCATGAGAGAAAACAAACATGATGCACAACAAGTTGGGTTTTTTTCAGCACGTAGATGTTTCTAGTCTTTCTGTTTTACAATTACAACGTTTGTTTTGAGCATAACAAAACCACTGGTTATTATGACACTGCTATCTGGTCATTGTTAAGATCTAGCTGGTAGAGCAGATTTATCGAGGTTGGCAAAGTATGGGTGATTTAATGTCTCTCTTGCTGATAACCTGAGAGCAGGGTCGTATATCAACATTTGCTGTAATAAACAAACGGAAATTATATATCATAGGTGTTCTATCTACAACATCTTTAATTAAATCAATAACAATTTAAAATCTGAACAATAAAATCAGTTTCCAATCTCAAAACGTTAATATAGGGTTAACGCACGTTTTTCCGTGTTATAACGTCTGCAGAGTCCCGATGAACGGTTGGTGCCCGAGCCCGGTAGGGCGAGGGCTCCAACAGTTCCGAGGGACTCTGCAGACTTTATAACACGAAATAAACGTGCGTTGACGCTATTATAGCATAAAATTTTCAAACAGATTCGTGATGTATAGTTTATACAAAACACAATTACATTAAATTCTTGTGCTTGGACGGTATTTATCCAATTCTATGTTTTACTTATGCGTTTCATTTTTCCGGGGCCAACAACGAACCGAAAGAAAATTTTGAATTTTAATTGATTTAACAAAGCTTGGCCTTTGGAGATTAATTATCTCAAGAAAAAAAAACGTTACATTACTCTACCCTCTACCCAAGACAAAACATGACCCTCAGAAATTCTTAGAGTGATTTCAGATCAGTGACATCAGAATCGGTTTTTTTTCAAGCAAACAAGTTTAAGCATTCTCTCAAAGAAATATAAAGAGCATTTATCAACATTAACATAAATAAAAAACATTTTCTCATATTAATTTTGTGTTATCTAGTTTTGTAAGTTAATCGGAGTGTTAACCTGAATGACAGGTAGATTCTACTGTATTTGTTTACATTGACAACTGTCCGTTTCTTAGAAAGGGCGACAACCAAGATGTCTATACGCCGTTTTTCCGGCATAGTTACTGGAATATGCGACTGAGGCCCTCAAATCAATAAATTTCAATATAACAAGAACGCATGACTCTTCGGCAAACAGGCCAAATCGTCATTTTTTGTTTGTTTGTTTACTGGGCCCTGTATGTATTGCGCATAGGTGAAACCGGGCTATAACAAGAGCGCGTGACTATGTTAACACATGGTTTTGGTCCCGTTATAACATGGGCAAAAGAGGGAAAAATAGCCGATTTTATGCTATAATAGCTTAAAAAACCTTGAGCACCTTTAACTGGAAAATATATTTTACTTTATATATTTAACTTACTCAATTCACATGAAAAGCTATATGCTAATCTTAATCACCCTTCTAATAGATTTTCCTCTAGAACTATTTATGGCCAAGAACTAGTGTCATGTGCATAAAACAATTTTCTTAACATAGTTATGTACGAAACCATTTAGGTTAAATTGTGTTGAAATAAATCATGACTACTTAATCATTTTTATCATATTTACAAATCAATATCTATGTCAATAATTACCTGTAAGAGATCAAGGCCTTGATTATCTAGCTGTTTTACACAGCTCTGTAACTGGTTGGTCTTCCAGCAAGGAAAGGTTGGTTTATAATCAGGTAGACTAGTCACTCCAGGCCATGTCTCTTCTGTTGGTGTCGTCAGTGTTCTATATACGGTAGATATAAATGGCAAAAATTTTGAAGGAAAATTACCATTTTGATGGTAATTTAAAGTCCTTTTTTTAAGTTTACATTAACATAACTTTCACCCAATAATCTAGCTAAACTCAATAATATGATATTCCCTAGGTTATTATGATGTAACATTTTTCGAAATCTTCTTTGGTACATACTGTAATTTTACTTAAAATTTTACTTAGCTGGCTAAGTATCAACATAACATTATTATACTGAAACAGAAAAAATGCACAAAAGGAAATATTGTGCAACGTGTAAACTGAAAAATAATCAAAAACTTACCTGAATATTCTGAACAGTTGATCAATTTCTGAATCTCCATGGAAGAGAGGTCTCTTTGTGACCATTTCAGCGAATATACATCCCACACTCCATATGTCAACAGGTGTAGAGTATCTCTGTGAACCCAGTAGGATTTCTGGAGCTCTGTACCATAGTGTTACAACCTTTATAAAAGATAATACAAATGTTATGTTGTTATTAAACTTTAACTGTTAACATGAAAAAATATTAATACTTCAGTACCACATATATGTATTATTATACAGGATTTTCAAGTGTTTCCATCATTCAGTTCTGAAAAAAATTCATCTCACACCGAGGGGCCCTAATGTGTAGGAGTTGCACGCCTTAAATTACAAGAATGTCATTTTGCCACCTTTATGGATGACATTTAGAATAAGTTACAAATATTTGTACTTCCACATGTATAACAAAATAGATCAAAAAGGTACATCAGGGGGTTGCCAGAAGGGGGATGTGCCCCTTCCGTTTTGGGGGTTTGAAGGGGGGCAGAAGTCCCTCATCGCCAAGAAAATTTTGGACATGTGACAGGCTAAAAATGCCAGCGTTGGTTACATGTTACCTTACGATCCACCTGAGGCCATAATGGCCTCAGGTGGATCGTAAGGAAACATGTAACCAACGCTGAAAAGCCTTTTACTTCATCTCAATCCATTGAGAAGTTGCAGCACTTTGAAATCATTTTTGATGGAAAAAACCAATGCAAAATAGTGATTTTTGGCAATTTTGAGACGTCCCCCCGTTGCCATGGTAACAGGAAATTTAATATTCAGCATGCTGTTACAGAGGCTATGGTCCGTCAAGTTTCATCAGTATTGTAGCATTTTTCATAGTTCCAAAGCAGTTTGAATTTGTAACAGGAGGCTTTTCAATAAAAACGGCCGTTTTTCACAATATGTTCATGAGGTAAAGGGTTAACTGGTCAGGATGAATGTTACTTTCAAAGACATAAAAAGAAATGTAAGTATGTAAATCATAATCAATGAGTAGAAGGTATACCTCATGGGTGTATACCCTGACTGGAATACCAAATGCTCGAGCAAGTCCAAAATCTGCTAGTTTTATCACACCATTATTGTCAATGAGGAGATTTTGTGGTTTGAGATCACGATGTAAGACACGACGCTGGTGACAAAATAATATTCCCTGTGTTATCTGATATGTGTAACTCTGTAAAATAGAAACAGTAAAAGTAACCTACAGTTCAAAGCAACATTTCAGCATAAAGAAAATCTATCAAAATGGCCTGAACAATCCCATATCTTATAAATTACATCTAATGAAAGCAGTGTTCGAAATTAGCAGTAGTCCTATAGCCCCTGACTACTAAATTTCTCCTTGGGCTACCAACTTTTCACAGTAACAAGCCCGACCAGGCTACTGTATTTTCAGAGGCAATATAAACAACTGTTTTGATCAAATGAATTGTGCTAGTGAAATGTCTTTTTGGCTAGTGAATATTCCAATCTCGTAGTCCAACCAGCCTAGTGGATTCAAATCCTAATTTCTTACACTGTGAAAGTATATTTATTGACAAAGCCAAAAGATTCTTTGTACTGTCTATATAATAAACTCATTATTAATTAACAATGAAGATACTGATCATTTCATCCGTACAAGTCATTTTCATCAGTACAGCAATTTACATAATTCTCAATAAAAATTCAACATCAATATGTAAATATCTTGGTTAATGAAATCCAACTTATAATCAACACTACTTGGTATAAATATGTTCTTGACATTTCAAATGTTCAGAGATTGTAGAACTGAAGTTTGACTTGTTTTCAATGAAGTGGCAAGTGAAATAAATGATCTTAAACAAGATGATCATAATCTAAACTTCAAAAGTACACTGAATCATTTTTGGCCAATTTAGTCTACCTTATCAAATCATTGTCATTTACATTCAACATGAATTTTTTTAACCAATGGAAGATATTTTTTAACCAATGGAGGATAAATGACTTAGCCATTGCCAGAATTACTTGTTTCTTTTCAAACTGACAATACTTTGTGAATTTAAACTAGAGTGCCTTGATAAAAAAATATAATTTCTTACCTTGACCAACATTTTGTCCATATACTGCCCACTTGGAATGGTATCCATGTACTTCTTCAGGTCCATAGAAAGAAATTCAAACACAAGGTAAAGTTTATTCTCCTGCATTAACACATCTTCCAAGCTGAAAGAGCAGAACAAAAACAGTATAAATGTGAGATAATGAAAAGAATTAAATGCAGAACATTCCTACATCCATAAAATCATGCACTTCACATGTGTAAGTATTGCCTTTCAGTTAAGGTTTGTATTCTTAATATGTTATATAAATGTCTACATTGATCAGCTTATAAGAATCTTACACTGGCTGCTGGTACAGACCAGAATATCTAGCTCGAGGGTAACTGTTTACGGCGGTAACGAGGCTCTGCCGAGTTTCCGCTTAAACATTTACCCGAGAGCTAGATATTCCCGTCTGTACCGACAGCTGGTGTTTGATTCTTTTTCTTGCATATTACATATCAATTATTTTCAGAACAGAAATTACGAAACCTGATATTCTCATTACGCACTTTTTTCTTATAGTAGCGTATGAACGTACAACTTCATTCATAATGGTTAAGTGACATCATCCTAAGAACGCAATTCATTCTTAAACGGTGCACGGCAATGACGTCATTTAAAGCAAGCGACTTGTCTTACATGGGGGGTGTAAGACAGGGTTTTCTAGCACTCCGGTGTAAACGGTAGATAATCCTGTCTGACATGCAAGAATAAAGCTGCACACCTCCGGATGAGCCAAAATACACGTATTTAAAAAAAACAAAACTTTAATTAAAATGTACTAAATTTTAAGAAAAGTAATAAGATACAAGTAATAATTTATATGTTATGTGCGGTTAATGACTGATTTTGCAATATCACCAAATTTCTACTGCATGACTAACACGGTAATCCCTATTTTTGCATGTAATGACCTTTTTAGTAATTATTTACATGGAATGTTAGTAAATTACTTAAGGAACAACTCTATGGACAAACATACGTTTCAAAATACGCATACATCTACTTGAAGCACAGTAACTCTTTTTTTTATAATTTTAGGATCAATTTCCTCTTCACCCCATGCTTACTTTCTTCCATATTTTCTAACAATTGTAAGCAGTTGAAATCTCTCAACAAATCTTCCAATTGGCAATATATAGGCTAGCACATTTTATAAGTGAAGTTTTTTTTTCAAATGAGAATTATAGAAAGGAAATGGTTGATATTTACCAGACAATGTTTGGATGCTGCAATTCTTTCAACAGAGATATTTCCCTGATAGCAGTTGACGGGACTCCCTCATCCTCACTTTCCAATCGAATTTTCTTTAAGGCCACAGACTTGTTAGTCTTTTTGTTTTTTCCCTTATACACGACACCATAAGTACCTGTAATCACAGTAATGTAGAATAAAAGTGGCCTGATCATACTTCTACAATAACAGCACAGTCCACTGGATCACAAGTTGATTTGTATTTTTTTTTTTACAAAGAATGTTTGATATCTATGCTATTCTTGGTCTGAATTTTTGTTCATTACTGACTTTTACCTGGTTAGTGTTGTTAATGGTCTAACCCCGCTTTGAATTTATTAGCATTGTTCATTGTATGAATTTCAAAATAAAATTGAAAAAAAAACAAACAAAAAAACTGAGTGGCAAGGAGCCAGGTCAGTTTAAACCGTTTAAAGCATTATTGCTGTTTCTTTAGTAAACTATCTTTGTCATTAATGATAATTATCACCATCATCCATCTAAAAATCTGATAATGCTGCATAAGAAGACGAGATGAATCATGAAATGTACTCACCTTCTCCAATTTTTTCTATTTTCAAATAATCATCCATCACTGCTTCTGAAAGAATGATATTTTGTTTAACAAAGTAAAACAATAACTTTTAAAATGTTAAATGAACACTTATATAATGGTAAACCTCACCATCCCAAACAGGTTTGGAACTGACTTTCATGTATTACTAACTACTACATGTGTATTGTAATGTCGGTCTATTTCTTCTATAAGTCATTGTTCAATATAATTGAATAACACTTGAAATGCTCTGAGAAACATGAGTACTAAAACTGAATTCAATCCAGATAATGGCTTAGGTTTTTTAATTTATACTAAGGAAGTGGCTAGCCGAACGGGCCCGTACGGCTAGCCAAAAGTTCTAGCCGTACGCGAGTCACGTACGACTAGCCAGGACACACTGTATTGGCTAGCCGTACGGCACTTTTCAAAATTATATGGAAGTCGAAAATGCATGCCTTGTTGGCTACAGTAAAGAAAGTACGAATATCTATCTTTGTCATCTCAAGATGTCGAGAAAAAAATAGCGTTTGTTGCAGTTAAAGAACATCAATTGAAATAGTTTACAATTTTGAAAATAATCCTTTTCTGTTTCATTAAGTTTAATTTTCAAATTGAAAAAAAAAACAACAAAAAAAAAAAAACACCGAAAATAATTGTTGTTGGGCTCTGATAATTGCGTCAATTACCGACGGTATAGTTCTAAGTTTGTCAATCATTAAGGAAAGTTTGCATGTTCCATGAAACGCATTCTAAAATTCTATTGTCAGTCCCATGGTAGGCTTTAATTAAGGCTAATTAATTGATTGTGCTTTTATGTTCGATATTTATCTAACTGTATTTGAAAAATATTTTTGCTTTTCACCGTTTTTTTTTTTCAGAATTCTTTTTATTTATTTATTCCCCTCTGATCATTATTTATTCAATCCATGTGCTTAATTAACAAAAATGATTTAACAATTCATCTTTCATATATAAAACAACAAATCATAAGCATGAAAATCGAGGACGTTATAACTTATAACATGCAACTTTGACACCTTTATCAAGATAGATTATACAACGCTTGTTCGTATTTGATTTTTTTTACAAAATGGCGGAGCATCTTTATTAAAGTGTACACACTAGTATAACAATATGTAATATAAATCCGTGCTAGGACAAATGCGGAGACTTGATTAAAATCATCGTTTAAAGACACAAAATAACATTTGCATTTTCGACTTCCATATAATTTTTAAAAGTGCTGTAAGGCTAGCCAATACAGTGTGTCCTGGCTAGACGTACGTGAGTCACGTAAGAGGTATTGCACACTCAATGTCAAAATTCTTGTAATAATATAAAACTTCCACAATTTAAGAAAAATAATGTAATTAATTAATTACAGAAGAAACCTGCATTTATTCTTGATAAAAAAATCTACTGATTGACGATCACCAAACCAAAAAATTTAATAGAATTGACTGATTGAGCGTCAACCACTGGACAAAGAAAACACAAGATCTTTTTTTTGAGCCATCTGGGTTTAATGGTCATCTGGTTTTAAAGGAAGTTTATTATCGGCAGACTTTGAAGGAAAATGATCCAATTTGAAACCAATGTCACTAAAAGCAGTGTCTTTTTTAAATAACATTCTGGGAAATAACTTATTAAGATTCAGGGAATAAAACAGATAACAATATGTATTGTACAGTATATATAAAAGGGCAATCAACTGGATACAGCCGAGGAACTGATCTGGTCCATGGACCATGGTGCTGATTAGTAGTTACAAGTGTTCTGATGTAAACTAAACAAGTCTAAACATGCTTTATTAGAATAACATTGGATAAAATAAGAATGCCTAACAGTCAACAACAATTTTACAATCGGTAGAAAATAAACTGTCAGTGGACATTTCCCGTTTTAAGTTCACCTTCAAATTTCAAAATTTTAGTCGCATGCAGTAAGTTAATAGATCAGGCACAATGTAACGGATTTTCGTGACATGTCGTTTGAACATAAATTTATGACAAAAAATGAAATGAGTCATCAAAACAAAATCGATATGGATCTAATCATATTTACCGTATATATATAAAACAATTAGGTTAGTGGTTGATTAATATTTATCAAATTTTGTTATTAATTTTTTGTTGTTTCTTCTTTGCCGCTCCTAAAATGATGTTCGAAATAAACCAATCCGATTACGAGAAATATCTGCCTCGTTTCAAAGCAAAAGAAGATGAGTTCATTTTCTAACAGGTGTATCGGGTCAAAAGAAATACGGATAAGACTACAATGTTTAACAGAACAGAAACAAATTGAAAGTAACAATCATATAAGTTATTAAATTAAGTCAGACTATGTATTGCAGGATACAAAACAAGATAAAGTGTTAATATGTGTGGTCATTTAAATATAAGACTATAATTAGCTGAATGGACTTGCCTTAAGGATATGGCTAAACTTTTACCAAGTAGAAAAATCTCAAAATTTATAGGCCAAGGTTTCATGAATTTTGAAAATATTTTTTATTAGGGCTAAAAAGATTAAATTAGCCATAAATGTTATAATATGAATATATGACCGTTTAGAACACGGTTAGGCTTCCTGCCATAGCAACCGGTGAGTCAACCACAAAGCTAGTCATAGCATTAATAATAATAATAATAATAATAATAATAATAAAAATAATAATAATAATAATAATAATATCATTATTTAAAAAAGGTTACACATTAAGAACATACAATAGCAAATTCATCCAATCATATATATTTTATTTCCAATGTGGACTTCTGAAATAGAAAACAACAACAGAACATGCATCTATAGGTAGAAAAATGAATGTATAATATGTAATTTTTAGAATAAGACAACTCATATACTTTCGACAGACACTCAACAATTTTTTTAAACATATACGTATAAATTGCATCATTCGTTCGTTCATTTATTAATACATTCATTAATATGAACATAAAGATATGTTTTGTATTTTTCCTTAAAACATTTTTAAATAAAAGGTTATTAACATTACGAATATTTAAAGGTATACAGTATTGTTCCAAATGTTCATGCCATAATAAGAAAATGTGTCTTTAATATAATTCGTTTAAGTTCTTGTCCATAATACAATATCTTTTCGTGACCTAGATCTTAAGTTATATATTTTGTTGTCGGATAAAGTCACCAGTTCTGTCATGTAAGTCGGTTCCATATTATTTAAAGTTTTGAAAACAAGCACCGCCGTGTGGCATTTACATCTAATAAGTACGATAATCAGTTAAGAGCTTCGAATAGCTTCATTGACGGAGATCTTTGTGGTTGCTGTAAAATGATTTTTTGCAATTCGTTTTTGTAATTTACAAACATTATTTATGAAGTTTGTGTTTCCTTTACCCCATATAATACAACAGTAGTCCATAATTGGCAATATATATGCATTGTAAAACAATAATTTCATATCAAAGTTAAAAAAACACGATATTTTTTTCAATAAAGCAATTTTTCCGTTTAGTTTTTTTTACAAACATAGTCAATTTGCAAGTGCCATTTTAAGTTGTTGTCTATGCAAATACCCAGGACTTTTTGATCAGTTACATTTTCAAGAACTATTTCATGTATCTTAAGATACAATTTTCTCATAATATTTACTTTTTGTATATAGCCTGTTGATTGTAAAATTTATTGTTTATATTGTGATTACAATATTTACAGAATACCTAGATAGAAAGAAGTTTATCAGTATATTTTATTGAAAGTTAGTAGGGTATATGTGAAATATTCGTCAAACCAACTAAAAATAGCAACATAATATTTTGTTTCTAGATGTACGTAAAATTCATGTATAGATCATCACTGTCAACAATAAACCACTTATAACAGTGTACAGTGGACAACCTCTCAAAGTCTATGGCTGTATCAATCTCCCTTGTACATATATTGGTCTAATCTGTACAAAAGAGTTTTACATAGATACATATTCAAACCCCATTCTATAGGTGTCCAAATGTGCCTTAAGTTTAACTTTATCAAGTTGAAAGGTACATAATGTAGTGTAAATTTAATGTAGCATTAGTTTTGAAACAAGAAGCAGTCAATATCACTAGAAATTGAACATTTGCGATATTCAAGTTAATAAAATTAAGTCGTAAAAATGGTCGTTCATTGAACACCGCCTTTCCTTGTTGATCTTGTTTATCATATTTCATTATTCTCGCATTTCTTTCATTTTCTGTAACGATGCAAGTCAACCTTCATGTGTTGCCTGGTCACTGTATGCATCTATATTGTTATACGTACCTATTTTAGGTTGGATAGGGTATATGTAAGTGAAAACATTGCAACCTAAACAAATTAACTGAATGCTAAAATCAAGAACAGTACGTTACAGAGATTTAAATGCTTATCAAGAACTTTGATCATATAGTGGGTACATTTTAAACCGAAATTTAAGTTCATCTAAGTTAATTGATTCGATATAAATCTATCACAAACATGTTCAAGAGGTGACATTCAAGATGGAAATGTTTGGCAGTAAAGCTATTCAAAACGGAGTTTCGACATGTAAGAATGTCTAGTATGTCCAATTCAATATCTAAGAAGAACAACTTGATCAGACCCACTCTCCGTGTTAGTATAAAGTGCGATAATATTATGAAAATCATATTAAACTCCTTTTGCGATTTCATTTTTTTTTTTCCAAAAAAAAACAACAAAAAAACTAAGTCAGTCAATTAAATTATGTTGGATCCCAAAGCCCTTTTCAACACTGAATGGACAAAACTGTATTTATTGAACTTCATGATATCAACCCTTGTCTTGATAAATCAGAATTTCTATATCTCCTAGCTGAAGATATGGACATTATATACCGAATATTTCAGCGGCATGTGTTAAGAAGGAACCGTGACTTGTGGCATTTGATAAAGAAACGTGGAAAGAACTCAATTCCTATCTTGTACTTGTCGCAGTGATAAATGCAAGTGTTATGGCAGAGTCGTTCAGAAGGAAGATAACTTTATAAGGGGTCCTTACTTTCACCAACATGGATATATGCCTTTTTTAATGACAAAGATTGTGTTTTTGTACAAGTGCACATAGATGCAAGTACACAACTCTTAGAAATATAATTGAGATAGAGAAGAATGCCCGACGTGCTCGACTTTTTCGAAGATAATAGCTAAAAAGCTTTTGCTACGGTACTGTTGTCGTTGACGTTGCTGGTGCCGTTGCTTGTGCCGAGAACAGTGACTTTCAAGGTCAATTCTTTGGATATTGCTTGATTGTTTTGCTGTAATTGTCTATAACTTTGTTATTTTTGAAATATTGTCATCAAACATGGACATACGCTCCCTTCGCAGCTTACTGAATGCACTCACGCTACTTCAGACGTAAGAAGTGAGCGTTAGTGAAACATTCGACCGATGCGCAGGAGAGTAACATGGACACAACAATCCTTTGGAGTAGACTTTACAATAGATCAAACCGATTATAACCTATTATCAATGACTTTTATTTTTACTTGGGTAAAAGAACACTTTTACAAAAATTGACATACGTTTAGTAATACAAATATGACCTTCACCAATAAAAATATTGACCATCAAGATAAAATAGTGAATTTAACTTAGATTGTCATAACTTTGTTATTTGTTTATTTATTTATTAGATCGATTTATACTTGAAAATGTTGAATTGTTATGATATGATCTAAACCTTAAATTAACCCTGACCTTGAACGTCAATGTCAAATATTGAAATTTGATTAAATGAATAAATTTTTACTTTGTTGGAAATCACAGGTATGCGTTTTAAAAACGTTTAAATAATGCTTTTAGAGCATGTCAAATGTTTGTTACCTGAAGAAAGTTGTGCTAATTGTAAAATTATTAGTCATAAAAAATGCGAAATGTAGCAATTAATCACTATAACTGTACTTACTGCCAAAAACCAGTACCGTCCATGAAAAGGCTCAAAGGCCGCCCTTCCTTGTTAATCTTTGTTTTTATATATTTCTTCAATGTATATACATGTTCATGTGTGGCACAAGGTCCAGGAAGTCGGAATGAAGCCAGCTCACTTCCGTCGTGCGTTAGTTTATACATCATCATAACATGAGTATCTGCTAGTATGTCCAAAAGCTCCTTGCAATCCATTTGTCAATACTCACACTACATGATTTGCCATCAAGAACAAACAATGAATCTAATCACCTACATGGAGCAGCAATGGATTAACCACTTCATCTTCTCATATTAGTCATGGTCTTTGTATGGTCTTAGCATTCGCACAGACAACGACTACGAGGATAAACATTTTATAAAGCTGTAATTATACTGAACTTTATATACACGCGAGTTTGGAATTAATTGCTTTTTAATATCTTACAAGAATTATTATCATTATTGTACAAAAATATTATTTTCTTATGTTTCCATTTTGTACCGTTTGTAATTACAGGTTTGTACCTGTCTTACAAGTGAGGCTGAATAAGTTGAGTATTCCTTACTTCACCTCAGAGATGGGATTTCTACCCGTCGTATACGTCGTGAAGCACATTATTTTGAGGAGAAAAATAGGGAGCATTGGAAGAAGTATTCTGCAAGGAATTGTAATTAAAAAAGAATTATTTAATTTATATAGGTGGTCAACACTTTCCTGTAAGCCTTTATCAAAATTCTTATTCGTCAGCAGTTTCCCACATTTTCTATAACGTCATCTAATTCGTCAAGAGTTTAGTAAATTATAGCACAGATTTCAGAATATGTTCTTATTTTTCCCATTAAAATAATTTTAATCAAATCGAGCACAGGACTGTCAGTTTGTCATACGTTTTCGCAAGTAACATTGTTTTCTGACAGTTATATATAATTAAAAAAAAATGCCGATACATTACATCGGCAGAGAAAGTTACTTTCATGGGAAATCAATTTATGAAATAGCAAGAAATCTGAGGAATTTTGGAGAGGGTCGTTATGTATATCGTGTCTCATTTAGCAAGCGATACAAAGAACCCTCGTTTTACAAACTTAGAAGAGTAGTTCCAGATATGAATGCAAAGGTAAATACACCAAATCACAATGACAATATTTAACCCCTCTTCTTAAAAGAAAGGACTTGTAAATTTGCCCTTGACCTATCGGCACATAGACTGTCAAAACAGCGAATTGTTGCATCCATGTCCTATACACAGGCAATTGTACTATGGCGCAAAGGTGACATTTGTGCGTTTTTATCTATCTCATGCACACGAGCTATTACAGCGAGGCCACAAGTTACAAAGTTTTAGCAACGAGATAATTTTGTGGCACAAGACTGACAAAGAGATACTTTGTCATGGCCACAAGTAGTTCTGGCTTCCAAAACTTTATAAGCCGCTCTTTAACATTTTTGTTTTTCATCTGATGCGGCATTAAAGTTTTGGATTAGACCCGTTATGAAACCTAACCAGAATAACATAAGTTGATTTATTCTTGTTTTTCACTTGCAAATACACTTGACCAATCAATTCTTGTGCATTTTACGATAAAACAATCATTTTAATATCATTCTATACCAATTAAAGTATCAAAATATTGATACCGTCATTAAAATTGCCTATTTAACTGTAAAATATCAATTTACGCCGACTACAGTTGGCCATGACATTCAGGTGCCACGCGAGATCTCGTATGACGTCATTCGCGGGAACAGATTTGAATAGAGTCGTGTAACTATATTTAGAACATTTTGTTGACATGATTTCGATACTTTTATTCAAGATAATGTTTTTATTTATTTTCATTAATTTTTTAGTACTTAAATACGATTGTATTGAATATAAAAGTCAGTAAATCACCTTTTTCAATACCTTTAAAAGAAGTAATTTATAAAAATATTGGAGGCCCATGGGTTCGTAAAGGTCAATCTCGTAATCACGTGATCAAACATTTTGGCAATATGGCGGCCAAGTGCCGAAAATTTTACCTGTCGAAAACTATTAGGTAGTTTATGTTCGTAATAAGATTTTTATTTGTCCATCCTTGGCTTATCAACAGAATATATATAGTTTTATCAAGGTATGCTTCACTTTACTTCATGGCATGTTCGATGAATAAATACGAGCGTGTCAGATTCCTGGCACGATTATTGGTGGACTTTCCCTATGGGGTTATCTTCAGCGTTCACGTCATGTCATAGTATATAAACGGGTACGCTGAAGACCTTAAGCTAGGCCACAAGTTGCTAGGTCTTGACCACAAGATAATTAGGTCGTACATATATATAGTAACTTTTGCCGATTCAGAGTCAACTCGTCCCCTGGTCAACTCGTCCTCTGGTCAACTCGTCACCTTTTTGGTCAACTCGTCCCTTGGACAACTCGTCCCCTGGTCAACTCGTCCACCCCCCAATAAATTATCATAGACTGTTAAAATAATACATTATAAAATTACTGAATTTGACATATTTTGACGCTTTTTGTATGCGAATATTTGGAGGTTTTTTTTGTTGTTAATTAAATATATCATGACACGTGCCTTTGGTTATTAAAGTAAACACATAGTAATTTGATAACAGGATTAAAGACACATTTGCCTCTGTGGTTGGATACGTATATACATATTAAACAGAACGCGTGTCTTTAATTAGAAATTATACAAATCGCGTGAAAATCGTGCCAAAGGTTGTTATAAAATTTTATTTTCCAAATGTCGACTTTGTTTTTGATGGTGTATGGTCAAATATGTGAAAATGTTGAATTAAATACAATTAATACATTCAATATGTTGACTTGTATTATACAAGAAATTCTGGAACTCGGTTTTATACAGCTCCTCTTTGAGATCAATTTAAAGATTTATTTATGGAAATTTAATATTAATCTTTACTTATTAATCTTTACTTATTATTAGATGGCAATTGAATATTTAGTAATAACTTTATGTTTTCAATTAGTTAATATCCACGGCAAATATCATTGTACGGATTTTTTATTTAAAAAAAAATAATGAAAAAAAAATACTAACTCTTTCAAAAGGCATGTATGTTTATACAACTCCTATGATAATGGACCATAATATTACAATGAAATTCAATTTTAAAAAAATCAGAAACAATTGACAATTTCACAACAAACAATTATCATGTTTTTTAATTGACACGATCCTTCTATAATGAGATCAATACGCACCGACATAAAGTTTTTAGCACTTCCAATTTCTGTTAATCTGTCGTCAGTCTTTAATCCATTCAGGGAGGAGGTAAAAATCAAAGAGTTGGACCTAATTTTAGTTTTAATTATCATTAAAACTCCGATTAATTAAACATTAATTGAATGTTTGCAAAACTTACCTGTCTTTGTAATTTTACATCAAAGCTATGCCTGTGGGTTAGATAAAGATCATTAAAATTTAACGTAAAAAAGACGTTATTTTATTAATATTTCGATATCAATCAAATTCATTATAAATTTTACATAAAAAGTACTATTTAAAGACATTGATTTACAACATAATAGTGACGAATAGATCGAACGTAGGGGACGAGTTGACCATATTAGGGACGAGTTGACTCTTTGAGGACGAGTTGACCAAAAGTAGGGGACGAGTTGACCAAAAAGGTGACGAGTTGACCAGAGGACGAGTTGACTAGGGGACGAGTTGACCGGATTGCACTTTTGCCCATGAAATAGTATCTCATGCACATGACTTAATTATCTTGTGGCCACGACTTAGTAACTCGTATTCATGACAAAGTATCTCTTGCTTCTTGCGGGCACCAGTTCATCATCAATGTCACAGGTTGTATTTGTTCACTATTTAGGGGAGAAGATGTGTAAAAGGCCAGATAGCTCAGTCAGAAGAGCACTGCCACAGAACAGTATTCTGAAGGTTCCTGGCATGAGTTCTGGTGAGGCTGCAAATTGTTCCAGTCCTTGGTTATTATCCACAATTACTTTAAACAAAAAATTTCAAAAGAATACTCCTTAGCTTGGCCTCAACAAAAGTTATATACAATTAAAAAGTTGAGTGCATTTGTAGGTCACAGGAGTTAAAAGTAGACTACAAAAATTGAAATCTTTTAAAATTGTCTACAATGCCCAGCATCATCTGGTAATGCTCAACAAAATATATGTAAACCATGCTCTTGTCATGGGGGTTCTTAGTTTATATAGACTTATATACATGTATATACTATAGACCTATAAAGGAAAGTACATGTAAGTCTTCTTTTGTGAAGCTTTATTGTGAAGCTATATATCTGTTACATACTTGGCAATTTCCTGTCCGCTCAGTATCTTTTGAAGCAGTGGAAGAAATTGAAACTTGATTTGTATCCACTTATATGGGAAACTACATTTAAGTCTTATTGTGTGAGATTAAAAGGACAAGAATTTTATATTTGGCATGTAGCAATGCATCTCAACAAAACTGATACACATCATTACTTTACCTTGGATAATTATTTGCCCTAGCCCGGGGGTCACATGATTTATGTAGTTTCATATTGGGAAACACGTTTTAAAAGAAGCGCAAAACTACAGTGCTCAGAGCTTAGATGTTTGGCATTTATCAGTAAACCACTAAAAAAATGATAGTAATCATGCTACTTCATTTTGGGTCAATATTTGGCTCACCCCAGGTATCAGTAAACCACTAAAAAAATGATAGTAATCATGCTACTTCATTTTGGGTCAATATTTGGCTCGCCCCAGGTGTCACTTGATTGATCTAGACTTACAGAGGAATCTGGAAACCATTTAAATATCATGTAACTCAATTTTTTATGGTTTTATATCATAATTATAATGCTCAAATGAAGATTTATCAATATTGTAAGTTCCAAAAAGCATAATTTGTAAAGATACCAAATTTACATTTCATGTTAAAAAAGGGAGGTAATTAGATTTTTTTTATGCCACCGCAGCATCTGCGATGCGGTGGCATATAGCGATTCACCTGTGTGTTTGTGTGTGTGTGTTCTATAGATTAAATAGTGAACTTAAAAAATCTTGTGAAAAACCACTAGTCCAATTTCAACCAAACTTGGCAGGATTGATCCTTGGGTGAAGAAGTTGTTCAAAGAATTTCATTCCATACAGAAATTCTGGTTGCCATGGCAACCAAAAGGAATTATAAGAATAAATTTAAAAAATCTTCTTGTAAAGACCCAAAAGGCCTAGAGCTTAGATATTTTGCATAAGGCATTGTCTGGTAGACCTCTACCAAGATTGTTCAAATTATAGCCCTGGGGGTCAAAATCGGCCCTGCCCTGGTGGTCATTGATTTTCACTATATGTACATATAGCAAAACCTTAAAATACCTTCTTGTAAAGACCCAAAAGGCCTAGAGCTTAGATATTTTGCGTAAGGCATTGTCTGGTAGACCCTTACCAAGATTGTTCAAATTATAGCCCTGGGGTCAAAATCGGCCCCGCCCCGGGGGTCATTGATTTTCACTATATGTACATATAGTAAAAACTTAAAATACCTTCTTGTAAAGACCCAAAAGGCCTAGAGCTTAGATATTTTGCATAAGGCATTGTCTGGTAGACCTCTACCCAGATTATTCAAATTATAGCCCTGGGATCAGAATCGGCCCCGTCCCGGGGGTCATTGGTTTTCCTTATATGTATATAGTAAAAACTTATACATGTAGTAAAAACTTTAAAAAAATTTCTTCTAGTAATTGACAAATGCTAGAGGTAAGATATTTTGCATGAAACATTATGTAGTGAACTTCTAGCAAGATTGTTTAAATTATAGCCCTGGGGTCAAAATTGCCTTTGCCCCGGGGGTCATTGATTTTCAATATATACATATAGTAAAAAAATCAAAAAATCTTATTGTCTGAAGGTACAAGGCTTAGTGTTGTATTAATGCGGTGGCATAGCATTTTTCTCAAATGCAATCTTGTTTTCTATAAATCTCAGTCAAATTTTTCAATAAGAAATGAATGCATTTATTTTAATGATTACATGTAATGTGGACAAATATTTGCAGTACATATTTTACATATTCTTCGATGTTTGAAACTTGTTTTAAAAGCATTTATAAATTATATACATGTGTAAATATATAAAATTTCACTTGAGTGTGGTTACAATCTTAATTACAACATAAAGGATCTTTAAGTGTTCAACTATAACTCCAGACCTCATATATTTTGCATGTAGCATTACCCTGTGGACCATCACAAAACTGATATTTATGATGGCCCTTGGGTCAAGTTTGGCCTCGCCACTTGGATCACTTGGTTAATATAGATTTCAGTAGAAAAACACAGTCAACAGCAATGCCCAGAGCCTTGATATTTGGCATGAAGCATTGCTTAGTTGACCTTTACAAAAATTACATAAACACGATCCTGGGGTAAAAATTTGACCTACTGTAACCCTGGAGGTCACTTAGTTTCTTATCTTTAGATACATAAAATAAACATATCTTGATTTTTTAACTCCGAAGTCCTAACTATAAAAGCCAAGAGCTTAGATATTTGCCAACATCAATTTGAACTTTTCTACAAAAGTTATGTTCACCTTGACCCTGAGGACAAAATTAGCCCTGCCCAAATGCCCATAAGCCTTATGTAGACTGATGTCTATTCTTTTTATGAAAATCAGCAATGCCCAGAGCTTATATACCGGTAATTGACATGCATCATTGGCTAGTAGACCTTTTTAAAAGTTTTATGACTTATTCACAAAAAAATGCTCCCACCTTGGGGTTATAAGGATAAGGTTAGTGAATGGGTCTCTTTGAAATATTATCTTTGATTAGTCAAACAAACATGGTTAACATACTAGTACACATAATTTACTAATTACCAATTTGTCTAGAAGTGATTAACTCATAACCCATTACTGCATGAGCATTTTGTGAAAAATGACTGTTTTCATTGAAAAGCATCCTGTTACAAGTTCAAATTGCTATGAAACTATAAAAGATGCTGCAATATTCATCAAACTTGGCACAAATGGTGACTGGTACCATAGCCTTTGTAACAGCATGCTTAATCTTAAATTTCCTTTTACCATGGCGATGAGGGGACATCTCAAAATTGCCAAAAATCACTATTTTATGTTGATTTTTTCCATCCAAACTGATTTCAAAGTGCTGCAACTTCTCAATGTATTGAGATAGAGTCAAAGGCTTTTCCGCATTGGTTACATGTTACCTTTTGATCGACCTGAGGCCAATTTTAGCCCCCCCCCCCCCACAAGTCCAAAATCTTCTTAGATCTTCAAACCTCTAAGCAGAAGGGGGCACATCTCCCCTCTCGCACCCCCTGGATGTATCTTTCTGATGGGGGCAGCACTGCAAAAAAGTAATCACTTTCTCAAACCAAAACAAGTGTTTTGGGCATAAATAGGACATTTTTTCACTATTTAAGGCCTCAAGGGGGGTATTGAAACTTGAAAGTACGTTGTTTCGCGTATATATGAGGTAAAGGGTTAATCCAACATGATTTTTGAATAAGTGTTTCACAAGATTCAACATTATGTACTTTTAACTATTTCAGGGATATTGTCGAGGAACAGCTACTGGTGAAAAGATTTTCCGTGGAGTGAATTATGGCCTGTGTAACATAGATGCTGGACAAAAACTTGATTGGCGTCTTATTCCAAAAGACGAAGAACAAAAATGGATTGATGCATTTAAAGAATATGAACAAAAACCTATACATAAACCTGTTATCCCAAGTATTTATAAAGTTCCATGTCTTTTAGAAATGGTATTATCTGAGGAAAAAACAGTGTATGAAATTCCATTTGATAGAGAAGAAGCAACTAAACTTAAAGTAAAGATTAAAACAGGAAAATTCAATAAAGCAGTGTTAGCAGATGGATAGGAAATCAACTTCTTACAAGTGTATGTACAGTTAAAATACTGATGAATGTAAAAAGATGAATGTATTATCAAACTCAAATAAATGAATGTTTACTTTTTTTATTTACTTATCATTACATATTATTAAATGAGTGAAATAATTTGGAATGTTATTACATGTATATGCACCTGGTCGTCTGTCCTCCTATTAGTAATTTTGTGTCCACTCTGTAACTTTTGAACTGATGAAAGGAAATAAAAACTGCTTGGCAGAAATGTTTAAAAGAATAGGTGCGAAGCATAGGTCTGATCTTCCTGAGGTCAAGGACAGAATTTTCTGTCAGCTCTATCTTTTGAACCCATAACAGAAAATTGAATCTACTTGATAGAAATGTTTTATTTAGACTTACATAGAAAACAAATTTGTGTGAAAGTACAAAACCCAAAGTTTAGATATTTGGCAAGTGGCATTTCCTTGTGGACCTCTACAAAACTGCCATTAATCATGCCCCTTGGGTCAATTTGTGGCTAAAGTTGAATTTATTTAACTGAGCAAATCCATTACACAAATCCAGCAGATTTAAGGGTTAAAGTTTGTTTTTCAAAGCAAACATGTGACCTCCAAGGCAGCCATTATTGACCCTAAAGGCATGATTTGTGTTAGGCAGTACTAAAATGATCTGCGCATTATAAATTTGGGAGAAGACTAATGTTTTGTTTGTATATAAATATTAAAATATATATCAAAAAAGACCCCTGTGGCAGAGGACCAATGCATAGATCCCTGACCTGTTTAATTCTAATTATCAAGTTAGCAGATTCAATATGAATTTCACCACAACATATTTGTTAACAAACCAACCCATGTCAATGTTTGTGGTTAAATCTATCATTATTCAAATGAAAGGTCAGAGTAGGGATCTATCAGTTTTAACATTGAATTTTTTTTTTGTAGAGGACCACAAGGTGATGTTACATGACAAATATCTAGCCCTGAGTATTGTAGTTTCTGAAGAGAAGACTTTTAAAGATTTCATTTTTAGCTTGACTTTTTCCAAAAGAAAAAAAGAACTATTGCTGCAGACATGTTTTCGTTGACGTTGCTGTTAAAAAACTTTAACGTTGGTCATAATGTTTTTATTTCTCAATGGATTGCCTTCCTGCTTGGACAGAATAATACTTTGGACAAGACCTTCAGGTTGACTAGACTGAACTTGACCTTCCTTCATAAATGAAATTGACCTTCAAATATTCAAACCTTTCTTGATTTTTTTATGCTCCCCGAAAAATTTCGGGGGAGCATATAGTCGTTGGGTTGTCCGTCCGTCCGTCCCGAATTCGTGTCCGGCCCATAACTTTGTTATTTGAAGTCGGATTTTAAAACTATTTTACAGAATGATCACCATATTGAGACGACGTGTCGCGCCCAACATTTGGGTCACTACCTTGAAGGTCAAGGTCACAGCATGACCTTGCAGCAAAATCGTGTCCGGTCCATAACTTCATTATTTGAAGTCTGATTTTAAAAATATTTCACAGAAATGATCACCATATTGAGACGATGTGTCGCGCGCAAAATTTGGGTTGCTACCTTGAAGGTCAAGGTCACAGCATGACCTTGCAGCAAAATCGTGTCCAGCCCATTACTTTGTTATTTGAAGTCAGATTTTAAAACTTTTTCACAGAAATGATCACCATATTGAGACGTGTCGCGCGCAACATTTGGGTCGCTACCTTGAAGGTCAAGGTCACGGCATGACCTTGCTGCAAAATCGTGTCCGGTCCATAACTTTGTTATTTGAAGTCGGATTTTAAAAATATTTCACAGAAATGATCACCATATTGAGACGATGTATCACGCGCAACATCTGGGTCGCTTCCTTGAAGGTCAAGGTCAAGGCATGACCTTGCAACAAAATAGTGTCCGGTCCATAACTTCATTTTTTGAAGTCTGATTTTAAAAATATTTCACGGAAATGATCACCATATTGAGACGATGTGTCGGGCACAACATTTGGGTCGCTACCTTGAAGGTCAAGGTCACAGCATGACCTTGCAGCAAAATCGTGTCCGGCCCATTACTTTGTTTTATTTGAAGTCGGATTTTAAAACTTTTTCACAGAAATGATCACCATATTGAGATGATGTGTCGCGCCCAACATTTGAGTGGCTACCTTGAAGGTCAAGGTCACAGCATGACCTTGCAGCAAAATCGTGTCCAGTCCATAATTTTGTTATTTGAAGTCGGATTTTAAAAATATTTCACAGAAATGATCACCATATTGAGACGATGTGTTGCGCGCAACATCTGGGTCGCCCTGAAGGTCAAGGTAACAGCATGACCTTGTAGCAAAATCGTGTCCGGCCCATAACTTCGCTATTTGAAGTTGGATTCAAAAAGTATTTCACAGAAATGATCATCATATTAAGATGACATGTCATGCACAACATTTGGGTCGCTGACTTGAAGGTCACAGCATGACCTTGCAGCAAAATCGTGTACGGCCCATAACTTCCTTATTTGAAGTCAGATTTTTAAACTATTTCACAGAAATGATCACCATATTAAAATGGCGTGTCGCACGCAACATTTGGGTCGCTACCTTGAAGGTCAAGGTCACGGCATGACCTTGCAGCAAAATCATGTCCGGCCCATAACTTTGTTACTGGAAGTCAGATTTAACAACTATTTCACAGAGATGATCACCATATTGAATTGACATGCCACATGCAACATTTGGGTTGCTACCTTGAAGGTCAAGGTCACAGCATGACCTTGCAGCAAAATCATGTCCGGCGCATAACTTTGTTATTTGAAGTCGGATTTTACAACTATTTCACAAAAATGATCACCATATTGAGACAATGTGTTGTGCACAATATTTGGGTTGTTTTTACACTTTGAACTTTGTCTGTGGCATAACTCTGACACAAGAGGTATACCTTCCTGTGTCCAAAACCTATTCGGGGAGCATCACCCGGTTCAACCGGCTCTTGTTTTAAATTGTAACTTTGTTATTTTTGAGTGGATCGTCTTCATACATGTACTTGAGCACACCTACCATAAGGACAAGGTCTTAAAATAGATAAAAACCCATTTTGGCATTGACTTGTTACATTGTAAATGACTGACCTTGAAGGTCAAATTATTGTAATTTTTTTTTTTATTTGCTAAAATTGGCTATAACTTTGTAAGTGTTAAATGGATTGTCTTCATAGTTAGGCACAGCAATTTATAGACAAGACATAAAAGAAAATGTAATTGAACTTGAAATTGACCTTTATACTAAAAGTCAAATTAGTGAATTATGTTCAAAAAAAAAAGTTGACCCAAGTGGGATCTTAACCCAGCCCCAAATTGCCATGCAAATGACTTTAATTCTAGCCTTCTGAAATACTTTTTCAGGACAACGTAATGCATTAGGAGAGTATTACCTCAGAATAGATGAAATTTTGACAATAAATAAAGCACTACCATACTCCTTGTCCTAGCAAACAATTGATGAAGGAGAGTGTGGACTTAAATAAGGATTATGTACTTTATTCCATCTTCATGCATTTTAACAGGGGCATAACCTTTTTATATACTTGTATATAAATGTCAGCCAGATTGATGTTATTTACACTGAAAGGTTGTCAGTCAAAACATACGTGAAATGCGACTGTATTTTTTGTACCAGAGGTGTCTTTGACGGAGTGGTTAATATTGTAGATTTTAAACCACTTGGGCTTTCAAATCTCGCCAGGAGCTATGGACTCTTAATGCTTACAGACTGTCTGTAATTTCACTCAGGTGTCCACTTGTGCTGGAAATAATGCAGGGATGGCACCCTAAGTCTTCTTCAACCAGTAAAGCTGACAAGCTGCCATATGACCTTGACAGTGTTAGTCTGATATAAAACCTAAACAAAACGAAAGAACAAAATGTGGGCAGTTATAAACAAAACTTTAAATATGATTCTAAATTTAATATCATCATAATCATATAAAATATTGACTTGTGCAAGACACAAACAAAAATAAACTTTTAAAATACCGTATAAGTGTTTTTTTCTGCGGTGACTTTATTTCTGCGTTTTCTGCAGTCAGTGTTGGCACTGCAGAAATAAAAACCGCAGAATATTTCTCTTACCTGCTACGATATGTATCCTACATTGTGACCTGTTTCGTCTAAAGTTATAACGACAAACAGATTATAACGGTTAGCGGGTTTTCAAGTTGTATAAAATTGCTGTCGGCTAAGTATGTAATGTGTGTTTGTAAGGATGTACTTATTGTTAATTATGGTAATTTAAGAATAGAGATATTTCAAACCATTCCAACCCTTATACTGCTAAATAATCGTTGTTTACTTAAATTGTCATCTGTTACGATACGGTAAACTTCTATCATTTTCATTAAATTAAAGATCATACTACCAGGGTATATTTTTCACACGTTACTTCACGCTGATCAAAGATGTATACCTTTCTATTGTTGCGCATTATATTTGTTTGCAAACAAACAATATAATTGTTTGTAATTACTATATAGTTTTGCGGTGACGACGATAAACAAATGCGAACATGTACATGCAAATATAATAGATAGGGTAATGTGACTTAGAATTTGATAAGACGAGTCGCAGACATTAAATCATGTTTTGTCCAAAGAATGTGCCGCAGAAATAAAGTTCGCAGAAATAAAAACATGCCAAAATTTGGAAAAACCGCAGAATTTGGAGCCCGCAGAAAAAAACACTTATACGGTACTTATTCCTTGTATGTCTGTACGAGTACAAACATTTATAGGTCACTCTAAAAAATCATTTGATTGAAATCATTTTTATCCAGAAGGATTGCAATAGGATTGAAGTATTTCAAATGAATCGTAAGACATTTACTTTCATTAATTGGCTAACTAATTAACGGGTCGATTATAGAAATAACTGCAAACACTACGCCATTCTTGAACAATTAAATTTTGTCACTTATGAACACTAGTCTTTACTTAAAATCACATTAGAACAGCATTCTAAAATCATTCAGGTACACTAGTACTCATGATCAGGGGTACAATAACTTTTACAGCAGATTTAAATAATACTTGTATGCAACAATGTACAACCCTAATGAAGACAGAGTTTAGCCATCATGTATCAATATACATGTAGTTTAATGAGCAGTTATGAATAATGCAAGATGATCACAAAGTTAATCTGTACTCTGCTATCTGTAAGTGTCAATCCTGAATGAATCACAGCTGTCTTTAATTTGGTCCTTCACACTTTCATTAAGTTGTAATTCCAATGTGATTTCTTGAAAAATATCACTCTTTGAAATCTGAAAACAAAGATGTTAATCTACAGTTATGCAAATGTGACATTATTAAAGTCTCATTATTAAAAGTAATCAAGATTTTTTCAAAATTTACAATAACTGGTGTCAATTTGCCCAGTATCATTTAAAGATACACAATTTTTTTTAACCACCTCCGTGGTCGAGGGGTTAGAGTCGATGACTTCTAATCCAGTTTTCTCTCTGGCGTGGGTTCTATCCCCGGGAGATGCTTTGGTAGTTTAGCGCAGAGGAAGGTAGTCTAGTACTGGTGTAACTCTCCAGGAACGGTGGTTAGGAAACTACCCGCCTATATGACTGAAATACTGTTGGAAAAAGGCTTAAAATGAAACAAACAAATTTTTTGCTGCAAGAATACAATACAAGGATATTGGACATGAATTTCCCTGGAGTAATATTTTATTGACCTATTCTAGCTCATAGATGAAAGTAAATATGGTACTTATCATTATTATCCTGCATTACATTTTAAAAATATATATTACATTAATTTAAACAAGATTATTTTCTTTCATATTAATTTCATATCTCTAAACAGCATCAGATCTACTATTAAACCTTTTCCTACTGGAGGATAATGCATAATTGCTAGATACTCGGCAAGGAATCTTTTTTTAGTTACAGGAATATATCTATGAAAAAAGCACATGTATGTATTGTAAGCTTTTTCCTGCGTACAAAACCTATATTGTCCATAAGTCAGATATAGTTTTAGGGTTAGGCCTATGTGTTCTCGAGTTATTGATCCGAAACAATGTGAAACATACAGACAAACTGACTGACTGATCAACCAACTAAAATCATGCTGCTAAACAATATGTTTATAGTAACTGAAATTGAAAAAGTTAAATTTTAGTTTTGAGTCGTGGCCTATTTGTGTGGTTAAGGCGTCTGACTAGTATTCTGAGGCCTGCCTGCATGGGTTCAAACCCCTTCAAGGACTAGCTGTTGTTTCTATGAGCAAGAAACTTTACTATCGTGGCTAAGTACTGGTAGGTTATAGACTTAAGAGTGTTTCAAAAGCTTATAGCTTCCAACACAATAAACAAAATAGTCAAGCTAATAAATAAGTTTAAACTTAACTGAATATAAATGTATTTATAAATGAAAATAAAATAGCATAAACTTGTATACCTCTTTAAAACCAATCTTCTTAAACATATTTATACTTGGTTTATTAGAATATCCGATCTTGGCAGTAATTTGTGTTACTTTTAGTTCTTCTAAACCTGTAACATCACAATACAATGATAACATGAACACATAGAATACAGTCAAAATTACATGACTACATAGAACACAATTGAAATAACATGCACATAGAATACAGCTGACATAACATGTACATATACACGATAGCAGACAGCTGATAGAATACAGTCAAAATTACATGAACACATAGAATACAGTCAAAATTACATGAACACATAGAATACAGTGAAAGCTACATGTGCACATAAAATACAGTCAAACCTACATGCACGCATACAATACAGTCAAAACTACATGTACACATAAAATACAGTCAAAACTACATGCACACATACAATACAGTCAAAACTACATGCACACATAGAATACAGTCAAAACTACATGCACACATAGAATACAGTCAAAACTACATGCACACATACAATACAGTCAAAACTACATGCACACATACAATACAGTCAAAACTACATGCACACATACAATACAGTCAAAACTACATGCACACATACAATACAGTCAAAACTACATGCACACATAGAATACAGTCAAAACTACATGCACACATACAATATAGTCAAAACTACATGCACACATAGAATACAGTCAAAACTACATGCACACATAGAATACAGTCAAAACTACATGCACACATAGAATACAGTCAAAACTACATGCACACATACAATACAGTCAAAACTACATGCACACATACAATACAGTCAAAACTACATGCACACATACAATACAGTCAAAACTACATGCACACATACAATACAGTCAAAAACTACATGCACACATACAATACAGTCAAAACTACATGCACACATACAATACAGTCAAAACTACATGCACACATAAAATACAGTCAAAACTACATGCACACATACAATACAGTCAAAACTACATGCACACATACAATACAGTCAAAACTACATGCACACATAGAATACAGTCAAAACTACATGTACACATAAAATACAGTCAAAACTACATGCACACATACAATACAGTCAAAACTACATGCACACATAGAATACAGTCAAAACTACATGCACACATACAATACAGTCAAAACTACATGCACACATACAATACAGTCAAAACTACATGCACACATACAATACAGTCAAAACTACATGCACACATAGAATAGAGCTGAAATTACTTGTACACATAGTATACAGTTGAAATGACATCTCTACAAAGAATTTAGTTCAAATTTGAATATGCACAGAGAATACAGCCAAAATTACATAATTATACACATAAATTACAGTCTAAATTACATGTATACATAGAATACAGTCTTAATTACATGTATACATAGAACACAGGCATAGCTTGAAATGCATACATAAAGCCTTTGAACAAATTTTGGAAAGAGTTAACACAATTTTACACTCAACATAAGAATTTATTGAAAAGTACTTGTGATTTGTTTGAAATTATAGATTTTACATAAATGCATCAATTTATCAAATTGGTGATAGGACTGAAGTTCTATACAATTGCATTGAGAGCCATCCAAATTTTTCTCCACAATAATGCATGAAAATCACCAGCTGAGCCAATGTGACTTAATGAAACAGCATCAAAGGACAATGAGTCTTTGTAAAAGATATTACACCAGAAAATACTGATAATAACCACAAATTCTTTTATTTCTTGCCGTGGTGTATTCTGGTCAGTGGTTCCTGAGAGACAGTGAGCTCACTCACAATTCAAGACAAATTAACAGACACAGCAGCTTTTATAAACTCCTGTAAGGGAGCATCAAAGCTGCATGCCTCCAGATAAGCAAAAATATTTCAAGAAAAACAACTTGAGAAAAATTTACTAAGATTTTAAGAAAAATTAAAATTTCACAATGATAATGCAATAAATGATATACATGTTCTATGCAATTAATGTCTGATTCTGCAGTATTTATCACCACATTTCTGCTTAAGGACTGTTTTTGCATATTTTGACCTTTTTTGAACAGTTTCATAGATTTTTAGTGCTATTTGCAATGTGTAAATTACCTTTCTTTGTTCACTTGACATTATTTTAATTTTTAAATACATTTTAATTTTTTTTAATGAAAATTAGCATAAATCTGGAGACAAGCTGCTTTCAATCTTACCATATCTCATCATACAGTATAAAGCCTCTTTTCCAAAACCTTTCCCTCTTGCTGCAGGTTCTGTTAAAACAATAGCAAACAAACAAATGTTAGGGATATGTTATCACATGGAAAGCTTATTGAAATACATCATACACTCAGAGGCACTTATAACCTGACACTGACATTTTTCTGTATAAATAGGTTATTTGTGGCCGGATTTTGTTCATATTTGGACTTGACAAAATTCAACATATCATACTTATTTCCTAGAATTTTTTCTGCCTCTGAGTGTAGTTTGCAGAAACAACATTTATAACAGTCTGACATTTGAGCATATAGAAAACTCTTCCTAGATTTCTATCTTTTCAATCATGTTCATAACAGTGTGTTGGAATGTGGTTAAATTCATTTGATTTTGTTTTACATTTCTACATGTATATTTCAAACAGATGTTTTTTTTTTCAATATTGTTGTTGTTTTCATTAAAGAAAAACTCAAACATACATTAATTAGTACATATTGTATACTAGGTTTATGATCAGCAGGAGCATATGGCTACATTTTTGAGCATTGAAACTTTTTAATGAATCTGTGATAATATTTCAACAAAATATCATTTCTGTTCATAAACATGTGTGTAATATTGAAAATTTGTTTAAAATAACAGGAAAATGATAAAAACCCTGGTAATTTCACAAGACATCATGTCTTTATATAAATATTGATATATGAAGTATGAGGTAATAAAATGATAAAATTACCAGCTATCATAATCTCTATCTCTGCTGATGATGGATTGTCTTCATCATTAAAAAACAAGTTCACATCTCCTACCATACTCTCTATGGTTAATAACAAAAAGAAAATTCAAAATCAGTTGTACAGAAAAGAATCTGTAACGTAATGTATCATTGATTAATTTCCTTCATTAAGCTTGACTTGAGTTGGTTAAATAATAAAATTTTCTGAATATAAAAACTTTATAAAAGACAAGGGCCATCAGTGTTCTTTCAATGTTAATATTGTAGAGACTTTTGGAAATGAATCTATTGGTCCATTACAAAAACCAAATTAAAATACCTTTCTAATCTTATCTTGTGTGACGCTAAAAGGGGCAAAGGCAGTTTTCAGCAATTTCCTGAATATCCCATTTCCCTGCCAGTTAAATCCTAAATCATAAAATGCAGCTTCAGCTCATTTTATTTATTTGAGCACAAGCTAAAAATATTTAAGTATTATAACATGTATAGTCTGACCATTTTTTTTAACCTATGTTCCTTTTTCAAACACAGCTACAATCACAATGGTATAATTGCACCATAAAATTCAAAAAATATATTATGATGATAACTGAATATACAGCCAGCACATCTGTGGTCTTCACTTTTCATTTTTCTGTCAGTAAATTTTTCTAGATTTTGTCCAAAAGTGATTTATTTTGTCCAGATTGAAAGATGGCCAAGTCCTTTTGAGATATTTAGTGGGTAAGGGTAAGATAATAGTTGTACCTATTTCATTGCTTCCATTTGTTTCATATTTCTCTTGGTCCAACACAATGAAGGTACATTCTGAAAATATAGGACGTAAAGAAACAAGCATTATCATATATCACTATATTCTAACATTTAACAACAATACTGTTATAGTCATACAGCTATACTTTTTACAGATATTCTTACATGATTCAAATAGCTTTTTTATATTTAAAACAAGAACCGGTTGAACCGGGTGATGCTCCCCGAGAAGGTTCTGGACACAGGAAAGTATAAAAAAAATGAACAAAGGGCAAAACTCCAAAATTAGGCAAAGCGGAGTTATGTTTTTTTGCACTGCACTTCTATTCAATGAGATCTATCTATCTATAAAGTTTCCTGATGATATCAGAATTATGTCCCAGGTAAAAGTCAAAGTGTAAAAATGAACAAAGGGCAATAACTCCAAAATTAGACCAGGCTTTGTTTAGGTTCTTTAAGCATTGCAATTCTATCCAATTATATCTAGCTACCTACAAAGTTTCATGTTGATATCTCTAATAGTTTTAAAGTATTGTCCAGGACAAAAGTCAAAAAGTAAAAATAAACAAAGGGCAATTACTTCAAAATAAGGCAAGGCAGAGTAATGATTCTTAAGCACTGCACTTCCACCCAATGAGACCTATCTATCTACAAAGTTTCATGTTGATATCTCTTATAATTTTAGAGTAATGTCCCAGACAAAGTCAAAGTGTCAAAATGAACAAAGGGCACCAAAAGTAGGCAAGGCAGAGTTACCGTTCTTGTGCACTGCACACCTACTCAATGAGATCTATCTACCTACAAAGTTTCATGTTGATACCTCTTATACTTTTAGAGTTATGTCCCGGACAAAGTTCAAAGTGTAAAATAAACAAAGGGGGATAATTAAAAAATAAGGCAAGGCAGAGTTACGGTTCTTGTGCACTGCACACCTACTCAATGAGATCTATCTAACTACAAAGTTTCATGTTGATACCTCTTATACTTTTAGAGTTATGTCCCGGACAAATTTCAAAGTGTAAAATAAACAAAGGGGAATAATTCAAAAATTAGGCAAGGCAGAGTTACGGTTCTTGTGCACTGCACACCTACTCAATGAGATCTATCTACCTACAAAGTTTCATGTTGATACCTCTTATACTTTTAGAGTTATGTCCCGGACAAAGTTCAAAGTGTAAAATAAACAAAGGGGGATAAATCAAAAATAAGACAAGGCAGAGTTACCGTTCTTGTGCACTGCACACTTTCTCAATGAGATCTATCTACCTACAAAGTTTCATGTTGATACCTCTTATACTTTTAGAGTTATGTCCCGGACAAAGTTCAAAGTGTAAAATAAACAAAGGGGGATAATTCAAAATTTAGGCAAGGCAGAGTTATGGTTCTTGTGCACTGCACACCTACTCACTGAGATCTATCTACCTACAAAGTTTCATGTTGATACCTCTTATACTTTTAGAGTTATGTCCCGGACAAAGTTCATAGTGTAAAATAAACAAAGGGGGATAATTCAAAAATTAGGCAAGGCAGAGTTATGGTTCTTGTGCACTGCACACCTACTCAATGAGATCTATCTACCTACAAAGTTTCATGTTGATACCTCTTATACTTATAGAGTTATGTCCCGGACAAAGTTCAAAGTGTAAAAATAAACAAAGGGGAATAATTCAAAAATTAGGCAAGGCAGAGTTACGGTTCTTGTGCACTGCACACCTACTCACTGAGATCTATCTACCTACAAAGTTTCATGTTGATACCTCTTGTTGTTTCAAAGTTATGTCCCGGACAAGAAAAGGGGACGGACGGACGGAAAGACGGACGGACGGACGGACAAGGCGGCGACTATATGCTCCCCCGAAATTTTTTCGGGGAGCATAAAAATTAATACAGAGGACAAATGTTAACCCTACACAGTGAAGGGTAAGCAAATCAAATCAGTGATCTTTACCACACAAAGAGGCCCAACATTCCATGTAAGCTTTCAGAAAAAATGCAATGTACTCCTACTTTGCACAAAAACTACTTCATGTACATAATGATGCTCAATTAGTCAATAAGAGTGTGCCACATTCATATCTATCAAATGATGATCACACATATCATATCTTAAAGTATCTATGATGCAAAAAGCATGACTGAGTGAAAGTGTACATTATTATGTTTAAACTTTTGAAAGACTGACAATGTTAGCTATTTAGAATTTTAGATATATTTAAACTTGATATAAGTGTTTTAAATACTGTAATTTTTAAGTGTTTTTTAATACTGTAATGATTTAAAATCAAATAAAAGTTTTGTTTGCTACTCAACTATTATCATCTACCCTCCATGACTGTTGCATCTGATATTCCTCCTCTAGGCTTAATGGCTCTGATGCTGTCAAGGTCTGTAACTCTTCACTCTTCATCCATTCATGGTATCTAAAACAATATAACTTCCCAATTATTCCAACTTACCTGTAGATTTATACTATGCTCAGTAGAAGGAAGAGAATTAGTTCTACTCAAAGTTTGTATAGATTTGAATATTAGTTCTACTTGTGATCCTGGATTTATCCAAAATTTGTGTCCATACAGAGAAAAAATGTTATCCTGTACTGAGAACAATTTGTAAACTATAAACTATCATTTTAATTCAAAATAGTTGTTTCATATATTATATATCTCAAAGTTGGCATATGACAGAAACAATGAAATAAAAAGCTTCTAAACCCTACAAAAGCAAAATAACAAAAAATCAAGTTTTAAATCATTTTCAGTACTTGATTGATTTTAACTAGCAAAGACATGCACATGTATGCTATAAGAAAACTTGTACATTGATGAATGTTTAAACATGCAATCCTGACACAGTCTATGCTTGATATTATGTATCATTATCCCATTTTCTGTTGAAAAAGGCTTTGCAATATGCTTGTGAGAAAACCACTATCCTTCAACCACAGTAACTCTTTGAGAAAACCACTATCCTTCAACAACAGTAACTCTATTTGTATCATTTTATATTCATTGGTTTTCTTTCAACCTTTAACCTGCTGAAAGCGAAAGTAATAAAAGGCTTTACCATCAGTATCACCATTTACCATCAGTATCACCAGACCAGTCTGCACATCTGTGTGGCTAGACTCACCAATGTGTGTAGCTAAATGGCATTTAAATCCCTTAAAATTAAATTCAAAGCTGGGCAAATCAATTACACAAAGTCAGTGGGTTAAGGGTGGGTTAATATCATTGATTTGCTGCTTGTATAAAAATATCTCACTCACTGTTTTTAGTTTTTCAATTATCTCAGCCCATGTACTGTAACATTATTCTTTGATTTTATATTTGAATTGTCTAATACCTGATTCTGTAAGACACTAAATCCTTTAAAAAAATAGCTTACCTCAAAACATGTCCCCATTCATAAGGCACAAGAATAACTTTACTGCAAGTAATTTTTGTATTTTCATTGCATTTCATTCTAAAAGGATGCAATCATGTAGATGTATTTTGAAGTGAAGATTTTTCCTCAATGATTTTTCTGATGTCTCTAGAAGCTGTGTCAATATCCTGTGTACCTGTATCTGAAAATATAAATATCATTCTGCATAATCTATCTAACATAGGAAATAATCATGTAAATACTTTTGAAGTTTTGATGACAAATCTACGATGTTCTGCAATATAGATAGTGATATATAGCACGTAAATGTTGCAATTTTGATGTTTTATTTATTGTTAAATGAAGACAGATGACTTATTGATTAATATTTTCAAGTTCAACGGTGATTAAAGGATATCTATTGATCTATTGTGCTGTTTGCACATATAGATATGAAAATATGTCATATTTTAAAAAAAGAGCAAAATTTTGACTGTGTCTTGAAATACTTTACAGTGAGTTAAATACCTTGTATACTTTTTATATTGTCAATGGGTGCAGGATAGTAATTTTATTCTGGATGATCAACAGTAGATTATTTTATGACAATTTTACCATTATTGGCCAAGGCAAATAAGCTGAATGCCCGTGATCCCTGTATAATACATAACTGATATTACACTAGTTCAGACTTTCTAAACTTCATATGCTCCTTCAGTTTGTTCTGGCAGAACTTGTATGATGTAATATGCGCAAACTGCTTAAGTATAGACATGTATATATTGGAACATTTTTGTTAACATGATTTAAATACTCATGATTCAAGATTACATTTTTTCTTTGCTCGGTACTTTTATTAAAAGCCCCAAAACACCTAAAAAATAAAGTCATTTGTCAACGGTCAAAAAAACATGGTGTTGTTTTTTAACCGTCCATGCAGATTAACCTGCAAAGGTCAATCTAATAATCATGAGGTCAAACATCTAAACAAGATGGCAGCAAAGTGATAAAGTTTGTTACCTTTCAGAAATTATCAGGTAGTTTATGTTCAAAATTTGTTTTTAATATGCTGATACTTGGCTTATTCAAGGATTATATACAAACAGTTTTTGTGTCGCCTTGAAAAGGCGACATATAGGGATTACTTTTGTCGGCAGCGTCGGCGGTGTCGGCGTCGGCGTCCCCTAAAGCTTGTCCAGAGCATAACTCATTCACTTTAAGTTGGATCCCTAAAGCTTGTCCAGAGCATAACTCATTCACTTTAAGTTGGATTGACTTCAAACTTGGTATACATGCTTCTTTCAATAACACGAAGTGCAGTGCACAAGGACGGGTACTCTGCATTTCCTAATTTTTGAGTTATTTCCCTTTGTTAATTTTCATACTTTATTTTTGTCCGGGCCATTTCTCCTAATGTATAACAGCTATGGACTTGAAACTTCATAGGATGATAGATCTCATTAAGAAGAAGTGCAGTGCACACAGGTACTCTGCATTTCTTATTTTTTGAGTTATTGCCCTTTGTTAATTTTCATACTTTATTTTTGTCCGGGCCATTTCTCCGAAAGTATATAAGCTATGGACTTGAAACTTCATAGGATGATAGATCTCATTAAGAAGAAGTGCAGTGCCAAAGAACCGGTACTCTGCATTTCTTATTTTTTGAGTTATTGCCCTTTGTTAATTTTCGTACTTTATTTTAACCAGGTCATTTCTCCTCAAGTATGAAAGCTATAGACATGAAACTTCTTAGGATGATAGATCTCATTAAGAAAAAGTGCAGTGTACAAGAACCGGTTTCTTCTAAACTATATTGTTCACAAGGCGACACATCTGACTCGCGGAGTTCTAGTATTAGATATGCTTCACTTTACTCCATGTCCATGAATGAATAAGAGTGTGCCAGATTCATATCTATATACGTAGAACTGTATTGCATCACACCCTTTTAAGTAGTTTGTGAAGGTGGTATTAGCGCAAGAAATTAAAAGAAGAAATGTACAGTAGAAAAAAAAGTAAAATATGATTATTGATGGACTTTCCCTTATTCAGCAGACCAGTCATGTTACAGTATAAAATGGGTACTGTACAGTACACTTAAGACCAGTAGCTAATACTATGTGTAACAGAGTCATTTTTTAGCATTTTCCCCTTTACGAGTAATTTACTACTTCGCTACCTGTTCTTGTAAGTAAGACAGGTCACAGTTGTGTATGAATATCAATGATAGACTGTTATGATATTAAGATTATGATATATTGTTGATTTCAATGATCTAGTCATATTATCTTATTACCTTAGAGAAAATATGTTGTGTTTATTTATTTCAAGAGCCTATGTAAAATTACAGATGATATGTGATTTGAATTGTCTGCACACCTAAGCTAGATGCAGTAAAGAATTGAGATTGTACATCATCTTTGATTTATCTTATTATTAAGCAAAGCCCGGTTACAAGCATTTTATTCATTAAAATAATTGTTGGTGTTGCAGTAGTCTGACTAATTAGACCTGTCAAAGAAACATCAAGATATAAAATTAAAATTTTTGAACGGGCAATGTCTTTTTCCAATGCATTGGCTGCACTTAATTAAATTAAATAGGCTAGTGTTCAGTTTGCAGAGACATTTCATAACCAAATAAAGACTATCAAAATCAAAAATCTAAAAAAGTCTTGTATATGATCATGTCCGGGAGAAGGTCCAAATTCAGTACTGAATGAAACCACAGGAGTTGATGTTCTGTCAATAAATATGAATTAAAGTCAAATATGCACATACATATTTGACTTTAATTCTTATTTATTGACAGAATAAATAAATTAGAATTCAAGTCAAATATGTGTTTATATACTAGACTTTAATTCTTATTCATTGACAGAATATCAAGATCCCTTGCTAAAACTGAAAAAAATCATTGACCTGTTGACTGTTGAAAATGAAAGTAAAACAGTATCAAACATTCAGCATAAAATGTACTGCTACAGATGTTACAGATCTCAGAAACGGTTTTTCCAGGATCTAAAGTCCTTAGAACTCTTCAATTTCTTATAAACATAAGGGAACAACTAGATATGAATAAAATAGATATTTACTAGTTCGATGTACACATAGTTACAAATGTAGATTTCGTAACAAAGGGAAGTAACTTTTATTGTATTGCGAGTAAATAATCCAGACCTGATAACTTCATTGGCGAAATTTTGAAACATTTTTGTAACTTATTTATTACATTTTTTTTGTAGCAAAAGTAATATTCATTGAATCGTGCAATTTATCATCAGATAATATAGTTTTTGTGATTGAACCTTTTAAAATTACATTTGTTGTAAGGATTATTCAATTTTTTTTTCATTACCATTGTAGATAAGGTAAAGACTGTTAATCGGACTACTGTATGTTGAGACAAAGCGTAATGTTGTTCATTGTATAAGAGTGCCAATACCGATGAGAACTACGTGTAATGTTGGTCTAATATTATAAGGCACAGTGCCATACCGCTTAAACAGCGTGTGCATTTGGTAAGATTTATCACTCTAAATAGTTTAAATTACGTATTTCATTACGTTAGTGCCTATCAAACTGTAAATAGTACTCTTATATATAGATAACCCCGACACTTGGATTATTTTATTGATATAACTTTTTCCAACAAACAAGCACATGTTCAACTTGTATTATTGGAATAGACTATATAATGATCTTTTTAAATTTGGAAAACTTTTTTATGTGTTTTTCTTATGAATGCTGCATTTTTAAATTTGGAAAACTTTTTAATGTGTTTTTCTTATAAATGCTGCATCAAATTTTAAACGTCCGTTCTTTTTAATAAACTATAGCAGGTAGTTAGAATTGTCTTGAACCACTGACTTGGGATTTAAAAAAAAAAGGTAATAATATAAACGCACGCACGCACGCACACACACACACGCACAAGCAAAAAGTAATAACAAACAAATGATTGATGCTGATTTTCCAGAATTGCTGAGCTATTTTATCAGCTGTGTTTTCTTAAATGTTGACTTTATTTACTGCCGTGGGATAAAAATACCAGTTTGCCTGCATTTCCAGATAGTTTTTCTAATGCATCCTAAACACTTTGGACGTGGGTCAAAATTTTAAATATACATTACATTGTAAACGAAGATAACCAAGACATTGCAAAAAAAGCTGTGATTTAGTGCCGGTGTTTTCTTTCCAACAAGTAATTTCAATTATTATCCTCATCCACACACTTCCATTGGACTTAATAAATTCCGTTCAGAATTTCCTGTTTATATATTATGTTTCATCCAAATTATGCATGTTATATGACGAAACCTGTTTCCGCTCATTAGCTACAAAATTATGTGACCTACAGCGGTCAAACTTAATTGAGCGACCACCCTCACTGAGCAGAACTTCCCTTATGTTTTAGGGCTCTCAATGACTTTGGACATGCACTTCTTAAAAACTTGCTAAACTTTTTATAAACCACAGCAAAATCTTCATGTGATTATAAGCCCCATTAATTAGAAATCCCTTTTTATTTTTTGGGCTTCGGTGTATATATGTTTTGATCACCGAATTTTGTCTTAAAGACGGGAAACCAGACACAAGTTTAATCATTAAAGAACGGCAAAAAAAGTATGTTTAAACATTTCATGGTATTTTAACCTCATCTTTCGAAAAGAGTTTTTTCGGTAACCCCCAAACAGGAAGTTTTGATTTATATTTAGTTGAATGACACGTTCTCAAGTTGACAGTCGTGCTTATGAAATTGTAAAGTCTACATCGGATTAAACGAAGTGTAAGATACAGTGTAGTTTAAATGAAGAGCTAATCTTAAAGAAGACAGTCAAATATTATATATTTATAATAAGGTAAGAATAATATTATTGTTTTATGAAGTACATGTAGTTCAATAAGAAAGAAGAAATGATACGATGTTTTTAAAGTTCTTTAAGCAGATCTACTTGC